TCACTCTCCTCAAGTGACACTGCAGGTGGGTGGACTTCAACTCCCAGAATTCCCCAGCCAGCCAGCCATGCCTGTTTTTTCCCTCCTATCCCCTAAAGCGGAGAGATTGCAGAGGAAGGGATTAGAAGAGAGTAAACTGGATCAAAAGGAATGCGTTAGTGCCGGGGGAATTCTAGGAGTTGAAGTCCACCCGTCACTCTCCATTTTGAGATTCTACCGAAGGACTATTGTTGGGGAACTTGGTGCCCAGTTTTAGGAAGTCTTCTTGCCTCTGTGTTGGTCCAGCTTGCTCAACGTTGCTTCAGAAGGCATCAAGGAAGAACAATTGGGATGAAACCATACATAGAGAAGGTGACCTGAAACTCATGTCAGGCCAGAGTTAAGCGCTGAATGTTTTAATGACAACATTAAAACATCTGGTTTCCATCTGATACCAACAAGGGGAGGATGACTCCCCAACAGATGTTTGCAGAAGTGGGATGCTTCTCCTACCTAGGAAGATGTTCTTTTTGGTCTCTTCTATTGTCACATGGGGGCAACTGAAGACCCCTCCCATTAATGACCTAACAGAATTAGAAGACAACTGAAAGCAGATATGAGGTCCTCTATACCAGAGGTCTCCAACCTTGGTAACTTGTGGACTTCAACTCCCAGAATTCCCTAGCACTAATGCATTCTTTTTTTAATATGTAAACCTATTGTGGCCTGCTTACTCTCTTATAATCCCTTCCTCTGCAATCTCTCCGTTCTGGGAGTTGAAGTCCACAAGCCTTAAAGTTACCAAGGTTGGAGACCCCTGCTTTAAACGAGAGTGTCCGCTTCCTTACCTAAGTTCTCGAGATGTTTCAGCTCCCAAAAATCAGTTCCTACTTGGGTTCTACAAGGAGAAGAATAAGAGAGTTTGAGTTGACTCAAGGATTCTCCGAGGTGTGACTGTTTTTGGAAATGTGCTGGCTTGGGAAAGGCGCATTGGGTTGTTTTTATGGTTCTGGAAGGATGCCAAATTTCCCACCTACACATCTTCTGGGGATTAGTTCACCCTTGTTTCACTCCTGCTGGGAAAACACCCTTGCAGTCTGCTGGATACATAGAATAGTGATGCCTTCCAGATGTTTGGGGACTTCTGGTTGTGGATCCCGAGAGTTTCAGGCACCACATGCCATGTGGGGAGGGGCCTACTTGGGAATGAATGAAGACTCTGTACAACGTGAACGAGTTAGGTAGACATTAGAACCATCCTTAACAGCATAACAGATCTGGAAGGCACCTTCGAGGTCTTCTAGTCCAACCCCCTGCTCAAACAGGAGACCTTATACCATTCTGGACAAATGGTTGTTCAATCTCTTCTTAAAAATCTCCAGTGATGGAGCACCCATAATTTCTGGTGGCGAGTCATTCCACTGGTCAACTGTCCTCACTGTTGGGAAGCTTCTCCTTAGTTCTAGGTTGATTCTCTCCTTGATTAATTTCCACCTGTTGCTTCTTGTCCTGCCGTCAGGGGCTTTGGAGAATAAATTGACCCCCTCTTCTTTGGGGGCAGCCCCTCAAATACTGGAATAATGCTATCATGTCCCCCCTAATCCTTTTTTAAATTAAATTAGACACACCCAATTCGTGCAACTGTTGGGTATGGCTAATCCAGGATTTTTACCCCTGAAGATGATGATGATGGCTTAGAGCAGTGTTTCTCAACCTTGGAAGCTTGAAGATGGGTGGACTTCAACTCCCAGAATCCCCCAGCCAGCGCTGCTGGCCGGGGGATTCTGGGAGTTGAAGTCCACCCATCTTCAAGCTACCAAGTTTGAGAAACACTGGTTTAGAGCAAGGTTTATCAACCTTGGCAACTTGTAAAATGGTTTGGATTTCATCTCCCAGAATTCCCCAGCCAGCCATACATGTTTTTCTCTACCTCCTAGAGCAGAGAGATTGCAGAGGAAGGGATCACAAAAGACTAACCGTGCCACAATGGGTATACATATCAAAAGGAATGGATCCATGCCAGGGAATTCTGGGAGTTGAAATCCCACGCATCTTCCAAGTTACTAAGGTTGAAAAAAAAATGACCTAATCCGTATTTGGTGTACGAGGAATTCTGGGAATAATCTTTGAAATCGAACGTAGAAGACAGTTGGTAAGGATGCGTTGAGCGATGTGTATACTGTGGTGGTAGGAAATATAGCCCATAAATAAAATTTGATTTAACTATAATGCAAATGACATGCAATTCATTGTGTACAATTAATACCATCATTCACCGCCCCGCATCATTAATATGGTTGGATAATAAGTTTTGGGGAGGTTCTGGGAGCTAGCTCAGCCATTTTTTAGAGGTCCTCCTGCCCCATGGTGCATGAGAGGAAGTGGGCACTGCCAAGTCTCATGGGGTAAAGGAAAACAACCCATGACATGCTTAACTGAACAGGGAATATTATGCTCGAAGGGACCCCAGAGATCTTCTAGTCCAATCTCCCCAAATCAAGGCAGGAGGCATTAAGCAGCAGGGAGAAAGTGATAAGAAAGTTAATTTTAACTGCAAACAGCTGGTGGAAAAAGGAAGGGAGAAGGAAGGTTGAAGAGGGAGGGGGAGGGAGGGAGGGAGGGAAAGTGGCAGGGAGCAAGGGAGGGAGGATGGAAGAGAAATAATGGGATGGAGGGATGGAGGAAGGAAGGAAGGAGAAGGAAGGAAAGAAAAGGAGTAAGGAAAGAAGGATGGAGAGGGAGGGAGAGGGAGGAAGGGAGGGAAAGCGGGAGGGAGCGAGGGAGGAAGGATGGAAGAGAAAGGATGGGAGGGAGGAAGAAAGGAAGGAAGGATGAAGGGAGAGAAAGTGGAAGGGAGCAAAGGAGAGGATGGAAGAGAAAGGAGATGAAGAAGGAAGGAAGGAAGGAAGGATGGAGAGGGAGGGAGAGGGAGGAAGGGAAAGTGGAAGGGAGCAAAGGAGAGGATGGAAGAGAAAGGAGATGAAGAAGGAAGGAAGGAAGGAAGGATGGAGAGGGAGGAGAGGGAGGAAGGGAGGGAAAGTGGGAGGGAGGGAGGGAGGAAGGATGGAAGAGAAAGGATGGGAGGGAGGAAGAAAGGAAGGAAGGATGAAGGGAGAGAAAGTGGAAGGGAGCAAGGGAGAGGATGGAAAAGAAAGGATGAGATGGAGAAGGAAGGAAGGAAGGAAGGAAGGAAGGAGAGGCATTTGCAAGGATCTTCCCCTGAGACAGCTGCGCAGACCCCCATCAGGATGCCCAGAGATCGCCATGGGTGCCCTCATGCAGATGCTGGGGGTGTGTGTGCCTTTTCCTCGCCCCCCCCTCCCTGCTCCTTCCCCTCAGGAAAGACAAGGGGAGGGGCTGAGTGGAAACTGCTAATTAAGACTGAGTGCGCCTAATTAACGCTCTCCCCTTGCACTGAATTAATTAGGCTCCCGGTTGCCATGGAAATGGGATGTGACCTAGAAACAGACGCAGGGGTTTCGGTGGGGGGGGGGGGAGGGGGGGGGGGTTTTGGGGGGGGGGGGTGTTTTTTCCCCCCCCCCCAAAAATATAGAGAGGTGGGTTTGCAGTTTGCAAGAATGCTTTGACCTGGGAACCGGTTTTCCCAATGAAGAAGGGCAAAAGTGGAGAGCCCAATCAAACATCTCCAGAACATGCCGATAAGTTTGCAGCTTGGTTTATTGGAGCTTCCAACCTTTCTCTCACCCACTGCCCCCCTGCAATGCCCACCTGGCCCAGCTGCATCATCTCATCTCCACCCCACCCACCCACCCCCGTTAACTCTTGCTGCTGACCTTCCTCACCTCCTGACCATATTCTTCCTCCTCCTCAACTTAGGTTGCTCCCCAAAAACCACCTGGTGGAAATCCAGATCTTCTTGTCTCCTGAATTGTCCAGTTCATGATCTCTCCCCCTCCCCATTGCCTCCTGCTCCAGCTCTTCCTGAGCCTCCTGCCACCCCACCCCACCCCAGCCTCTCCTCTCCTGGTAGATCACCTTGGCTTCTTCTCAGGAGACTAGTTTAGGTGGTCCTCCATGCTCCGTTGGGTTGAGGGTTCCTTGGTGCTAGAATAGAATGGAATGGAATGGAATGGAATGGAATGGAATAGAATAGAATAGAATAGAATAGAATAGAATAGAATAGAATAGAATAGAATATTGGAATGAAGAGTAGAGTAGAGTAGAGTAGAGTAGAGTAGAGTAGAGTAGAGTAGAGTAGAGTAGAAGAGAAAAGAGAAGAGGAGAAGAGAAGAGAAGAGAAGAAGAAAGAGAAGAGAAGAAAGAGAAGAGAAGAGAAGAGAAAAAGAAAATATGGAATGGAATGGAATGGAATAGAATAGAATAGAATAGAATAGAATAGAATAGAATAGAATAGAATAGAATAACAGAGTTGGAAGGGGTCTTGGAGGTCTTCTAGTCCAACCCCCTGCTTAGGCAGGAAACCTTACCCCACTTCAGACAAATGGTTATCCGACATCTTCTTAAAAACTCCCAGCGTTGGAGCATTCACAACTTCTGGTGGCAAGTGGTTCCACTGATGAATTGTCAGGAAATTTCTCCTTAGTTCTAAGTTTCTTCTCTGAGCTTGGCTGCTTCCTTGCAGAGGTTTCATTACCCAAACTAGGCAGCGTCATCACTGCTACCGGTAGTCAATTCTCCTCGGTTGGTTGACTTGCTAGTCCGTAGTTCCTTGAAGATCTCCCCGGTTCCTTTGTTCAGTAGGGGTACACCCCCCACAAACCCTGTGGCCTGAGATTCTTTTGCTTTTCGGACCCCTTTCCTTGGGATGGACGTTTCCTGGGTCCAAAGACTGGGGTGACCACAGCAGGTCCACGGCTCCAAGGGGTCTTTGAGTCTTCAGAAGACAAGATGGTCAATCTCTGGCCTCTTCTTAAGGACCTTCAGACGTTGTGGCTGTAGGCATCTCCCGGTCAGGATGGAAGGATGCGTGCGTGTCAAAGGATGGACTGCTATAACGTGGTTCCCTCTGCCTCATGCTGGTGACTTTTCTCGCCCCACAGATATCCGAGACAGTGGGAAAAAACCCGTCATGCTCTTCATCCATGGTGGATCGTACATGGAAGGCACCGGAAACATGTTTGATGGCAGTGTGCTAGCTGCGTATGGAAATGTGATTGTTGTCACCCTGAACTACCGTCTCGGCGTGCTGGGTATGGGGGAGAGGGGTCCCAGGCTGGGCCTCTGCCTCGGGGAGGGGTGGGGGGATGAGTCCAGAGGTCAGGGCCTTTATAAACGTGGCCCCTTTAAGATTTGAGGACTTCAACTCCCAGGATTCCCCAGCCAGCAAACGTGGCCTCTTTGAGACTTATATTTTGCATTTTAACTTTCTTTGGAATAAAATTAAAAAAAACATGTTTAAAAATAGACTTAGGGGCTTCAATTCCCAGAATTCCTCAGCCAGCAAACCTGGCCTCTTTTAAGGCAATGCTGGCTGAGGAATTCTGGGAGTTGAAGTCCACAAGTCTTAAAGGGGCCAGGTTTGGAGACCCCTGGTCTAATCCAACTGTTTCTTGGGTCAAAAAACGGATAAGAGCCTTGGTAGTACAGTGGTCTAAGGCACCCTGTTATTAAGACCAGCTGCCTGCAATTACTGCAGGTTCGAATCTCACCAGGCTCAAGGTCGACTCAGCCTTCCATCCTTTCTAAGGTAGGTGAAATGAGGACCCAGTTTGTGGGGGCAATAAGCTGACTTTGTATAAATATACAAAAGGATGAAGGCTATTGCTTAACGCATTGTAAGCCGCCCTGAGTCTCCGGAGAAGGGCGGCATATAAATCAAATTTAAAAAAAAGAAGAAGAAAAGAAACATGTCCACCAGACCCCTTTCCTTTCCCATAAATCAGGGGTCTCCAAACATGGCGACTTTAAGACTTGTGGACTTCAACTCCCAGAATTCCCCAGCCACCATGAAGAAATCTGGCTAGAGATCACAGGTTTTTTTGGGGGGGGGTAATTTTTTTAAATAGATGGTGGGAATGTGGTGGACATAATATATCATTATTTCAGCAAATGAAAAAAATAACCCATGAAAAACTAAATTACCATATTTTTCAGACTATAAGATGAACCTAGATTTAGAAAAGAAGAAAAAAAATAGTTTTCGGCCTCCCCAGCCCTCAGAAGCATTCTGCAGGCCAAAAACAGGCCCAATTTTGGCCTCCTGAACCCTCCACGCATCCTGTTTTTGCCAAAAACGCACCCATTTTTGGCCTGCAGAGTGCTTCTGGGGCCTGGGGAGGGCGAAAACATGACACGCAAAGGGTTTGGGAGCCCAAAATCGGGTCTGTATTCAGTCTATAAGATGCATCAAAAATTTCACCCACTTTTAGGGTGGGGGAAAGTCAGGAGTGAAATCCAGCAGGTTTTGATAGGTTCTGACGAACCGGTAGCGGAAATTTTGAGTAGTTCAGAGAACCCGAAAACACCACCTCTGGCTGGTCCCAGAGTGGGGAGGGAATGGGGATTTTGCAATATCCTTTTCCCAGGAGTGGGGAGGGAATGGAGATTTTGCAGTATCGTTCCCCTGCCATGCCCACCAAGCCACGCCCACAGAACCGGTAGTAAAAAAAATTGGATTTCACCACTGGGGGAAAGTGCGTCTTATACTCTGAAAAATATGGTAATAAACCGGTTAAATGTAGGCTAAGACGGCATGACAATGATGTGGCAAACTGATATGCTGGCTGGGGAATTCTGGGAGTTGAAGTCCATCTGTCTTAAAGTGGCCACGGTGGAGAAACACAGATTGTGGGATTTAAAGCATGGCTTTAAAAAAACGGTTGTTGTGACGTCCCATTCCTATTGTGCAGCATTGTGGTGCAATAAAACACCACAATCCTGATTTTCCATTGTTTTTCCCACCGGTCCTGTGAATGATCTCAATATTTTCATCACCTAACCAATGCGCACACACACACACAAACCCCCCCCGGAACAGCATATTATTAAAAACATTGCATTTTGCCCTGAAGCCTCCTCATGCAATCCTTTGCTGTGGAGGATGGGCCCTGTAGTACAGCAAGCAGTTGTTCAGCCATGAAGAGGGAGGATTCCTGATTTTTTGAGGCCGACGATGCCAGCTTGGGCGTGAGGTGTGAGGCCTTAAAACGGGCATCGTCCACCGCATCGGCGTGGGGCGTGGCTCCCCTCCTCCCTCCTTCTCCCCTTTTCGCTCCCTCTCTGGGCGTGAAATTTACTCAGGCGCAGCAAAAATTAATATTTCATTAAAAAGTGTTGAATAACTAATGGCCGGGCCTCGTTATCTCTAGCAAAAGAGCCCCGGGATGGAAGGATGATGAATTTTGAAGGAGATCGGTCAGAAGTCGGTGCAAATGTTTAGCCCAGGCAAAAAAAAGAAAAGAAAAGAAAAGATATAAAAAGATGCTTTCCGATCGATCGTGTTCTTCGGCTTCTTTCGTTTAAAATAGACGCAAAGCCATTTCCGCGGCTGGGATGACCTAATCGAAGCACACGTGCGCAAAGCTGGCATAACACCTCTAATATAAGCGGAAGGGTTGAAAAAAATAAAATAAAAAGGGAATGGACTGGAAGAGAAATTCTGGGCTTTGTTTTTGACTCTTAAGTCAGCGGCCTCCAGCTACCGTCACTTTAAGACTGGTGGACTTCAACTCCCAGAATTCCCCCAGCCAGGTATGACAATTAAATGGGAAACGGATATGCTGGCTGGGGAATTCTGGGAGTTGAAGTCCACCAGTCTTAAAGTGGCCCCTGCTGTGTTTCACAACCTCTTTAAGACGGGTGGATTTCAACTCCCAGAATTCCCCAGCCAGCATCATAATTTCCCACTTAATTGTCTTGCCATCTAGCCCGCCTTTAACTCTTTTATTAATTTATCTTACCATGACTTATTTTTTTTCCACTTTGCTGAAATCAAGGTATATTATAGGGACCACATTCCCACCATCTATTAAAAAGTTACTTTATAAAAAAAAAAAATGCGGCAAATGTAGCGTAGCCATATTTCTTCTTGTCCTACCCATTCTGGTAAACCGCTTGCTGGCTGGGGAATTCTGGGAGTTGAAGTCCACAAGTTTTAAAGTCGCCATGTTTGGAGATCCTTGCTCTAAGTCAGTGTTTCTCGCCCTTCTAAGATGGGTGGACTTCAACTCCCAGAATTCCCCAGCTAGCATATCAGTTTCTCGCTTAATTTTCATCCAGCCCAGGGATCTCCATCCTTGGCAACTTTAAGACCTGTGGACTTCAACTCCCAGAATTCCCTAGCACTAATGCATTCTTTTTTTGTATGTAAACCTATTGTGGCCTGCTTACTCTCTTATAATCCCTTCCTCTGCAATCTCTCTGTTCTGGGAGTTGAAGTCCACAAGTCTTAAAGTTGCCAAGGTTGGAGACCCCTGATCTAGCCCACCTTTGATCTGTTCATTAATGTAGCTTCTCATTGGTCACTTTTTCACGTGGCTGAAATCGAGGTATATTACGTCAGCCACCTTCCCACTATCTATTTAAAAAAAAATTGCCCAGTCCAAAAAATGCGATGTAGGTAGTTGAGCCACATTTCTTCTCATCCTACTCATTGCTAAATTCTGGTAAAAACTTGCTGGCTGGGGAATTCTGGGAGTTGAAGTCCACTCAACTGAAAGTGGACGAGGTTGAGATATAATCCCCTATAAAACCAGATCCAGAGCCACCGATGCTAACAGATGACCGGGGTGTTGGTAGTGACACAATACCACCCTTCTTATTTTTCTGATTTCTTCCTTTTTTCATGACAGGGTTCATGAGCACCGGGGACCAGTCGGCCAAGGGAAACTACGGTCTCCTCGACCAGATCCAGGCCTTGAGGTGGCTGAACGAAAATATCGGACATTTTGGGGGCGATCCGGAACGCATCACCATCTTCGGATCCGGAGCTGGAGCTTCCTGCGTCAATCTGCTCATCCTGTCTCATCACTCGGAAGGTAAGGCTGCACCGGCCGTGGATGATGGTAGTGGTAGTGGTCGGGGGTGATGTTGTCGTGGCAGAGTCAGGCGCAAAAAAAATCAGGGACCGGGATTATTCAAAGTCTTAGGACCACAATGGAGTCCATTGCTAAGCGAGACAACTGCTAAGTGAGTTTGGCCCCGTTTTACGACCTCTCTTGCCACAGAACCCCTGCGGTTGTTAGGTGAATCACAGTCACTTTTTTCACTGCCGTGGTTAACTTCGAACGGTCACTGTTGTAAATCGAGGACTACCTGTACAAACTCATTCCATGCTGCCTCTCAACAAACGTATGATTTACTGACGGTCAAGGCAAATTAGTGGCAGATCAGAGTGAACAGAATTCAAGGAGGGCTGGACTTGGCTCGTTGTGGCTGCAAACTTTTTCACGTGGCTGAAATCAAAGTTACATTACATCGACCCCATTCCCACCATCTATTAAAAAAATAACCCCATCCAAAAGGAAACGCGATAAATCTACTCCATTTCTTCTTGACCTACTACCCATGCTGAATTCTGGTAAACCCCTTGCTGGCTGGAGAATTCCTGACCCCTCCCTCCTTCGGGGTCAGCTTGATTATCTCCTTCTCTGAAGGCAGTGGGTTCAAGACATGCCTATCTATCCATATTCTATAATCTTGTCTGTCTGTCTGTCTATCTATCTATCTACCTACCTACCTATCTATCTATCTATCTCTTTATATCTATATCTATCTATCTATCTCTTTATATCTATCTATCTATCTATCTATCTATTATCTATCTATCTATCTATCTATCTCTTTATATCTATCTATCTATCTATCTATCTATCTATCTATCTATCTATCTATACCTACCTATCTATCTATCTGTCTATCTATCTATCTATCTATCTATCTATCTATCTATCTATCTAACTATCTATCTATTTATATCTATCTATCTATTTATATCTATCTATCTATCTATCTATCTATCTCTTTATATCTATCTATCTATCTATCTATCTATTTATATCTATCTATCTATCTATCTATCTATCTATCTATCTATCTATCTATACCTAACCTATCTATCTATCTGTCTATCTATCTATCTATCTATCTATCTATCACCTATTCCAGGGGTCGGCAACCTTAAACATTCAAAGAGCCACAAAAGTCCTAACCGGAAGCCCCTGTTCAATTCTGGAGCCGACCAGAAGTCCGGTTCCCCCATCATAGAGTCTCCTCCTAGCATGCGTCCTTTTTCCTCTGCTGACTGGAAGTCGGTTTCTCCACCATAGAGTCTCCTCCTAACGCGGCATCCTTTTTTCTCTACCTGTCCTAACCAAAATCCCTATCAATTGTGGAGCCGACCAGCAACAGGGAGCCGCAGCAGAGGGATGAAAGTGCCACATGCGGCTCCAGAGCCACGGGTTGCTGACCCCTGATCTATTCCATCCATCCATCTATCTGTCTGTCTGTCTGTCTGTCTATCTATCTATCTATCTATCTATCTATCTATCTATCTATCTATCTATCTATCTATCTATCTCTATGCATCCACCCACCCATCCATCCATCCATCAATCAATCATCTATTCCACCCATCCATCCTCCATCCATCCATCCATCCATCATCTATTCCATCCATCCATCCATCCATCCATCCATCCATCCATCCATCCATCCATCCATCATCTATTCCATCCATCCATCCATCCATCCATCCATCCATCCATCCATCATCTATTCCATCCATCCATCCATCTATCAATCCATCATCTATTCCATCCATCCATCCTCCATCCATCCATCTATCTATCAATCCATCATCTATTCCATCCATCCATCCATCCATCCATCCATCCATCCATCCATCCATCCATCAATCATCTATTCCATCCATCCATCCATCCATCCATCCATCCATCCATCCATCCATCATCTCCTCCATCCATCCATCCATCTATCAATCCATCATCTATTCCATCCATCCATCCATCCATTCATCATCCATCCATCCATCCATCCATCCATCCATCCATCCACCAATCATCTATTCCATCCATCCATCCATCCATTCATCATCCATCATCTATTCCATCCATCCATCCATCCATCTATCAATCCATCATCTATTCCATCCATCCATCCATCCATCCATCCATCCATCATCTATTCCATCCATCCATCCATCCATCCATCCATCCATCCATCTATCAATCCATCATCTATTCCATCCATCCATTTACAGGTGAACCCTTGACTTACAACAGCTCATTTAGTGACTGTTCAAAGTTACAACGGCTCTGAAAAAATGAATTACGACCATTTTTCACACTTATGACCGTTGCAACACATGATCAAAATTCAGGCACTTGGCAGGTGACTCATATTTATGACGGTCACCGTGTCCCAGGGTCACGTGATCCCCTTTTGCGACCGTCCGACAAGCAGAGTCAAGGGGGGAAGCCCGATTCACTCAACAACCGTGTTGCTAACTTAACACCTCCAATGATTTACTTAACAACCGTGGCAAGAAAGGTCATAAAACAGGGCAAAACCCACTGAACAAATGTTTCGCTGAGCAGCATACATTTGGGGCTCAATTGTGGTGGTGAGTCTACCTGTATTTATCGCCTTTAAGAACCGCCCATCTCTCTCGCAGAGGGACTCTGAACAGTGTAGTCCTTGACTTACAACATCCATTTGCCTGAAATGACATGGGGTCTCCTGCTTGGGTGGGGAGGTTGGACTGGAGGACCTCTGAGGTTCCTTCCAACTCTATTATTCCTTCCAACCCTATGTGAGAGCCACGGTGGCACAGTGGTTAGAATGCAGTATTGCAGGCTGACTCTGCCCACTGCCGGCAGTTCGATTCTGAACGGCTCAAGAATGGACCCAGCCTTCCGTCCGTCCTTCCTTCCGAGGTCGATAAAACGAGGACCCAGATAGTTGGGGGCAATAGGCTGACTCTGTTAACCGCTTTCAGAGGGTCGTAGAGCACTGTGAAGCGGTATATAAGTGCTGTTGTTTGGGAAGGAGAGAAGGAAGGAAGGAAGGAAGGAAGGAAGGGAGGAAGGAAGGAAGGAAGGAAGGAAGGGGGCTGTAAAATACTGTGAAGCAATAGATAAGTCTAAATGCTATTGCTTGTGAAAGAAGGAAGGAGGAAGGAAGGAAGATGGAAGGAAATGGAAATGAGAAGGAAGGAAGGAAGGAACGAACGAACAAAGGAAGGAAGGAAAGAAAGGGACTGTAAAATACTGTGAAGCGATAGATAAGTCTTAAATGCTATTGCTTATGAAAGAAGGAAAGAGGAAGGAAGATGAGAAGGAAGGAAATGGAAATGAGAAGGAAGGAAGGAAGAAAGAGAGAGAGAGAGAGAGAGAGAGAAAGAAAGAAAGAAAGAAAGAAAGAAAGAAAGAAAGAAAGAAAGAAAGAAAGAAAGAAAGAAAGCCGTAGTGGTGCAGTGGTTAGAATGCAGTATTGCAGGCTAACTCTGCCCACTGCCAGGAGTTTGATTCTGACTGGCTCAATCCTTCTTTCCGAGGTCGGTAAAACGGGGACCCAGATTGTTGGGGGGGGGGCCCAAGAGGCTGACTCTGTAAACCGCTCAGAGAAGGCTGTACGAAGCGGTGTATAAGTGTAAGCGCTGTGGCTATTCTATGTTCTGCGTTCTAACCTTAGAGCCCGTAACCGTTGTCCGTTTGGGGTCCCATCCCTCGGTCGCTGACCCCTCGTCTCCTTCCCCGCCCAACAGGTTTGTTCCAGAAAGCCATCGCTCAGAGTGGCACCGCCATCTCCAGCTGGTCCGTCAACTATCAGCCGCTCAAGTACACCCGGATGTTGGCCTCCAAAGTCGGCTGCGACCACATGGACACCAGCAGTACGGTGGAATGTCTACGGCGGAAGCCTTACCGAGAGCTGGTGGACCAAGACATCCAGCCCGCCCGCTACCACATCGCTTTCGGCCCCGTGGTGGACGGCGACGTCGTCCCCGACGATCCGGAGATCCTGATGCAGCAAGGCGAATTCCTCAACTACGACATCCTCATCGGGGTCAACCAAGGAGAAGGCCTGAAGTTCGTGGAGGACTCCATGGAGAACGAAGACGGCATCTCGGCCAGCTACTTCGACTTCACCATCTCCAACTTTGTGGACAACCTGTACGGGTACCCGGAAGGCAAGGACATCTTACGGGAGACCATCAAGTTCATGTACACCGACTGGGCCGACCGAGACAACGGAGAGATGCGCCGGAAAACCCTTCTGGCGCTCTTCACGGACCACCAGTGGGTCGCGCCCGCCGTGGCCACGGCGAAGCTCCACGCCGAGTACCAATCGCCCGTCTACTTCTACACTTTCTACCATCACTGCCAGACGGATACGCGGCCTGAGTGGGCGGACGCGGCCCACGGGGACGAGATCCCCTACGTTTTCGGCGTGCCCATGATTGGGGCCACGGACCTCTTTCCTTGCAACTTTTCCAAGAATGATGTCATGTTGAGCGCCGTGGTCATGACCTACTGGACCAATTTTGCGAAGACAGGGTGAGAAGATGATGATGATGATGATGATGATGATGATGATGATGATGATGATGATGATGTCTAAGGAGATTCTCAAGTCATCCGGGTCGTGGTTGTTCTCAAAGGAGGATTTCTTTCTTTTTTTTTCAAGAGGCAACTGGATTTTCTTGGATTTTTTTCTTTGAAGACATTTCACTTCTCATCCTAGAAGCTTCTACGGCTCTGCCTGGAGGGTGGGAAATGGAAACATCTTCAGAGAAAAAACAGGAAAAGTCCACTTGCCTCCTGAAAAAGCACCTTTGGGGGGGGTAAGAGAGGGAGGAAGAGAAGGAAGGAAGGAGAGAAAGGGAAAGAAAGAAAGAGAGAGAGAAAGAAAGAAAGAAAAAGAAGAAGGGAGGGAGAAGGAAAGAAAAAGAAAGAAAAAGGAAGGAAAGAGAGAAGGAAGGGAGGAAGGAAAGAGAGAAGGAAGGAAGGAAAGAAAGAAAAAAAAGAGGGAGGGAGGGAGAAGGAAAGGAAAAGGAAGGAAAGAGTGAAAGAAAGAAAATAAGGAAAGGGAGGGAGGGAGAAAGAAAAAGAAAGAAAAAAGAAGGAAAGGGGGAAAGAGAGAGAGAAGGAAAGAAAGAAAGAAAGAGGGAGGGAGAGAGAAGGAAAAAGAAAGAGAAAGGAAGGAAAGAGAAAGAAAGAAGGAAGGAAGGAAGGAAGAGGAGGAGGGGGAGAGGGAGGGAGAAGGAAAGAAAAAGGAAGGAAAGAGAAAGAAAGAAAAGAAAGAAAGAAAGAAAGAGGGAGGGAGGGAGAAGGAAAAAGAAAGAAAAAGGAAGGAAAGAGAAAGAAAGAGAAAAGGAAAGAAAGAAAGAAGGAAGAATCTTAGAATCAGAGGAGTGGAAGGGACCTCGGTTGTCCCAAAGGTGCTGGTTTTTTTTTTTCAAGAGGCCACTGGACTTTCTTGCTTTTTCTTTGAAGGCGTTTCGCTTCTCCTCCGAGAAGCTTCTTCAGCTCTGACCGGACGGAGGGGAAGGGAAGGATTGATGCTCCTTGCGGACAGCTGGTCCTTTGCCCTTGAGGCCACTGGGAGGTTGGTCTGGGGTCCTCAGGGCCACCCGAGAGGTGCAAACGGCTGCGGAGCCTTCTTGGACCTGCCGAAAGGAGCTGCGTTGAGGACTCCACACCTGTTCGCACCACTCAGGTGACCCTGAGGAGACAGACAAACCTCCACGTGGCCTCAACGACCCTCTAAAACAAAAGTCTTCAAAGAAAAAGCAACTACAAAGTCCAGTGGCCTCCTTTAAAAAGCACCTTCGGGAGGAGACGATGATGTTGATAAGAAGGAGGAGAGCAAACTAATAGTTGCACCAATAGCAATTCGGAGCCCTTGGAGAAGTAGCCAAAGGGACATGGACATGTTGAACGCATCAGACCTGAATATCCAGACTTTGCAAAAAAAAAACCCACCTTACTCGGAGCTGCCTGTATACCCAGAGGCTGCTTTAAGAGCTCTTGTTAGGGCCTGAATCAGAGGTGGGATTCAGCCGGTTCGTACTGCTTTGAACGAACCGGTAGCGGCGACTGCAGGTGGCTGCCTACCCGCCCCGGCGTAATGCCGTCCTATTTAGCCACGTTTTGGAGGCCGGGCACATGCGCGGAAGGCGCGCAGGGCGAATCAGTGGTAAGAAAATGTGAAACACGCTGGCCTGAACAGTTAAGTTTTTACCAGTCCCAGACTGTGAGTCAAATTGAAGATTAGAGTAGGATAGGATAGAGCCGTGACGGCAAACCTATGGCACGCGTGCCACATGTGGCACGCGGAGCCATATCCGTGGGCACGTGAGCGTTGCCCTAGCTCAGCTCCAGCGTGCATGTACGCTCCAGCTAGCTGATTTTCGGGCCTTCCGGGCCCACTAGAAGTCGGGAAACAGAGTTAGGGCCTCCGGGGGGTTGGGGAAGGCTGTTTTAGCCCTCCCCAGGCTCCAAGAAAGCCTCTGGAGCCTGGAGAGGGCGAAAAACGGGCCTACTTGGCCCACCGGAGGCCCTCTAGAGGCCGGAAAAAGCCCGTCTCCTGACTTCCGGTGGGCCCGGAAGGCCTGAAAATTAGTTGGCGGAGCTCAGCTAGGGCAACGTTTGCGTGCCCACTGATATGAAGACCTGGCTTTTCCGGCAGGCCTGGGGCCGTTGATCTCGCTGTCGCAATCTTGCGAGATCCGGCCATGAATGATGTGCGTGGGCTTTTAATGTTTTTTAAACGTTTTTATAATATTTTAAAAATAATTTCCCTATGTTCTTCGTTGTATTACTTTTGCTGTAAGCCGCCCAGAGTCCCTTGGGAGTTGGGCGGCATAGAAATTTGATAAATTAAATTAAATTAATTAAATTAAATATTTTCAGCCCCCGCAACCCTCCGGAATTGGAGCTGGAGAGAAGGAACTCCCTAGAATGCGTGGGGTGGGCAGAAGGGATGGGGGTCATGGCCGGCATCCAGCCGAGATCGAGATCCTGGTCTGTCCTACCAGTAGTAGGGTCAGTGATCCCAGTCAACTATCTGGGAGAAACTCCATACCCGTAGAACGGAAGATTTGTAGCTCAGTGTTGATATGTTCTCTGAGCTGGGTAGTTTTCTTGCAGACGTTTCATGACCCAACTAGGGAACATCATCAGTGCTTGAAGGGAGGGGAGTTTGTGGAGAATAATATATCTTTACCACCAAGTAAAGATATATTACGTTTAGTGCATTCCCACCATCTGTGAAGAAAAGTACCCTTAACAAAACATGCAATAAAGTAATCCGTCCGCATTTCTTCTTTATCCTACCCATGCTGAATTCTGGTAAAACTCTTGCTGGCTGGGGAATTCTGGGAGTTGAAGTCCCCAAGTCTTAAAAGATTTGGAGACCCCTGGCTTAAAGAAATCAGTGGGCGAGGATTGGCAATGTCCAGAAGGAAAATAATTATTCCTGCGCCCCCTAATTTCAAGGCACGACCCTCCCCCAGTTAAGACCCCCACCCCCAAAACAGGGCAGCCTTCCTAGGTTTTTTTTGGGGGGGGGGAACCCAGAAGCGGTGGCATGTCTGTATGGAGGCTGGCAGAGAAAATTAGGTTTCTGTGCCCTCTCTGCTCTCTCAGTGCCAGCTTGCCCCCAGCCCTCCAGGTATCCTCAACCCCAGCTCCCATTATCCCCAGGCAGCAGAGGCCAAGCTGAATTCAGAACTATTGAGGTGAGCCAAGAGGTGTCCTTCTGCAGCCTGCGTCGTGTGTGAATAGGTGTCCCGGAGTGGAAATTGGGCAGCTTCTACGTTGCCTTGAGTTACAGACACTAGATCAGTCAGCCGGTTCGTACCGGTTTGGGTGAATCGATTGCGGAGATTGCAGGTGGGCCCGCCCATCCGCTCCAGCGCTATGCTGTTCTATTGAGCCACGTTTTTGTGGCGGAAGGCGCACATGCGAGCAAAGCACATGCGCAGAAGTCTGGGCACATCCAGGGAAGGCATGCACGTGTGCGCGGTAAAAATCTTTGAAACCCACCTCTGCACTGGATCTCTCGTGGGTCTTGAGGATGCAATGTGAAAAGTGGCATTTTGGACGCACTTTTTGTCGTCAAACAACCCCGGAGCGTTTACATCACAAGGTTTAGTTTAGTGTCTCCCAAACGTGGCCGCTTTACGTGGACTGTACTCCGTGAATAGCTCTTAACGGCTCCTAAACATTCATGTTTTCCTTTTTTAGAAAGATACCCTTTTCCAGCTACACCTTCCAGGAACGGTGTCTGGAAGCTGCCTCCCAGAATCCCTCCAAATGCCAGAAAACGGGCCACGTTTTGTGGACAGTGCCACGGTTTGCAGGCCCTGAGAGAAGAGTTCTAGGCTCGGAGGCAGGGAGGGGAGGTTTTTGCTCGTGAGGTTTTTGCTCGATCGGTGGCAGCTGTCTCTGGTGGGTCAGCTGCGTTGAATATCAGAATAGCAGAGTTGAAGGGACCTTGGAGGTCTTCTAGTCCAACCCCCTGCTCGAGCAGGAAACCCTAGACCATTTCAGACAAATGGTTATCTAATCTCTTCTTCAAAACTTCCAGTATTGGAGCATTCACAACTTCTGGTGGCAAGCCGTTCCACAGGTTAATTGTTCTAACCGTCAGGAAATTACTCCTTAGTTCTAGGTTGTTTCTCTCCTTGATGAGTTTCCACCCATTTCTCTTTCTTTCTCTCTCCCCTCTTCCCCACAGCGACCCCAATCAGCCCGTGCCGCAGGACACCAAGTTCATCCACACCAAGCCGAACCGCTTCGAGGAGGTGGTGTGGACCAAATTCAACACCAAGGACAAGCAGTACCTGCACATCGGCCTGAAACCCCGCGTACGGGACAACTACCGAGCCAACAAGGTGGCCTTCTGGCTGGAACTGGTGCCCCACCTCCACAACCTCCACGAGCCCCCCTACACCTCCACCACCACCCGGGTGCCCCCTTACGTCACCCGCTGGCCCAGCACCCGGGTGGGTCCAAGCACAACACGCCAGCCCATCGCCACCCTCCCTCCGGACGAAGACGACGTGGCACGTCCGCCGCGGTACGTGCCGTTCCCGGGAGACACGCGGGACTATTCCACCGAACTCAGCGTGACGGTGGCGGTGGGCGCCTCCCTGCTCTTCCTGAACATCCTGGCCTTCGCCGCCCTCTACTACAAGCGGGACAAGCGCCACGAGCTGCGGAGCGGACGGCGGCTGAGTCCTCAACGCAGCGCGGCCAACGATTTGGTGCACGGCGGCCAGGAGGAAGAGATCATGTCGCTGCAGATCAAACATTTGGAGCATGACGCGCACGATCTGGAGCCCTTACGACCGCATGAAATCCTACGCCCCGCCTGCCCTCCCGACTACACCCTGGCCCTTCGCCGGGCGCCCGACGATGTGCCCCTGATGACCCCGAACACCATTACCATGATTCCCAGCACCATCACGGGTATGCAAGCCTTACACCCTTTCAACACGTTCCCCACCGGACACAACAACACCCTCCCTCACCCTCACTCCACCACCCGTGTATAGTCGTCCTCGGTGCCCAAAGACCCCCGGTGGGAGGGGGGGTCTCTTGCCAACCTCCTGCCCCCCCAGGGGGAGGCCCTCTTCCTGCCCTGCGGCCCGTACAAGGCCTTTTATATCACACTGTGGGGGAACGGCAACAAGACGGGGAGCCCGGTGGGGTCGGCAGCCCCTTCGCCCAGTTCCGGTGGCACCTTGGTGCATCCGCCATCCTGCAGGACGTGGAGTGGCAGGGAAGCCCACCCTGCGTGGGCAGCCGCCGTACTTCCAAGGAGTCAAGGCGTGGAGTTAGGGGGGGAGAACGGCGTCCTTCCGCCCGAGCGTAGAGAAATGTCAGAAAAGCGGTGATGGGTTTGAAGGGTGTTTGGGCGCTCAGGTCGTTGGGGAGTCCAAGAGAGAGGGGGGGGGTTTGAAGAGGCCTCCCCCTTCGTAAGCAGGGAGGTGCCACAATTTCCTTGGGCAGCCTGGAGAAGAATCTAGGCAAAGGAAGCTGTTTTGGGCGCTGGATAAGCCAGCTTTAAACGTGGTTATCGAAGTGTAGAGGAAGGAAGGAAGGAAGGAAGGAAGGAAGGAAGGAAGGATCTGCCCACATTTCTATCACCATCCTCACAATCTCTTCAATCCACACATCCGGCATCTGGTTGCTCTCCTCCATCCTACTAGGCGGTTCAGCCAACGTTTCTGCAGAGTTTTGAGCAGTGGCTCCCAATTTTCCCGCCTTTGCCAACCGGCGGTGGGGTGGCGGTGGGCAGTTCCACGCACGTGGAGCTGTGCCTGCGAGGCCCAGGCGCCTGCCGCCCGCGTGGTCCAGTTCCAAACAGGGCGTGGCCCAGGACCGGGCTGCAATCCAGGGGTTGGGGAGAGGCCACCCCCTTCGCGACGAGGTTTAGAGGCCCCTGGAGCAGCCAGGAAAGGTCCTTGGTCATCCGTGTTCTCAACATTTTTGGTGCGTCGTTCTCCACGCCGGTCCTGGGTCGGGAGCATCCGGGTTAGAACAGAGCCTCAGCCCTCCATCTGAGGGGGGCGGCAGGCAAGGGCACCAGGGCCAAGCAGGAGAGCAGAGTGGATCTGGCTCCGTCCGTCTTTTTCTCAGAAAAAAGCCCCTCCCCTGCCTTCCCCAGTAGGACCAAGAAGAGAACGTCGCCCCCACCCACCCACCCACCCAGGACTCCTTGGGGGGCAGCTGGACCCCCACTCCCCGTCTGTGCAGGAAGAAGTAGGGGTGACTTACTCTGGGGAGCTCCAGGATGAAATGGGGAGGGGTTTGAGTGCTGGGTGTCTCCTTGTATTATCTTCTTCCCTCCCTCCCTCCCTCCCTCTTTCCCCTTCCTTCCTTCCTTCCTTCCTCCATTCCTCTCTCACTTCCTTCCTTCTGTTACTTCCTTTACTTTTTTCCTTCCCTTTCCCTCCCTCCCTCCCTCTTTCCTTTCCTTTTTCTTTCTTTCCTCCCTCCCTTTCTTCTCCTTCCTCCTCCCTCCCTCTCTCCCTTCCTCCCTTCTATTGCTTTCTTTTTCTTTCCTTTCCTGCTCCTTTCTCCCCTTCCCTCCCTCTCTCCCTCTTTCTTTTTTCTTTTTCTTCCTTCTTTCCTCCCTCCGTCCCCACCTTTCCCTCCTGTACTTTCTTCCCCTTCCTTCCTTCCTTCCTCCCTCCCTCCATTCCTCTCTCACTTCCTTCCTTGTTACTTCCTTTACTTTTTTCCTTCCCTTTCCCTCCCTCCCTCCCTCTTTCCTTTCCTTTTTCTTTCCTCCCTCCCTCCCTTTCTTCTCCTTCCTTCCTCTCTCCCTCTTTTCCTTCCTCCCTACTGTTACTTTCTTTTTTCTTTCTTTCCTTTCTTCCTTCTCCCCTTCCCTCCCTCTCTCCCTTTCTTTTTTCTTTTTCTTCCTTCTTTCCTCCCTCCGTCCCTCCCTTTCCCTCCTGTACTTTCTTCCCCTTCCTTCCTTCATCCCTCACTTCCTTCCTTCTTTTACTTACTTTTTTCTTTCTTTTTCTTTCTTTCTTTTTCTGTCTTTCTTTTTCTTTCCTTCCTTCCTCTTTTTCTTTCTTTCTTTCTTTTTTCTTTCCTTCCTTCCTTCCTTTTTCTGTTTGTTTGTTTCTTTCTTTTTCTTTTTTTCTTTCTTTTTCTTTCTTCCTTCCTTCCTTCCTTTCTTTTTTCTTTCTTTTTCTTTCTTTTTCTTTCTTTTTTTTTTCTTTCTTTCTTTTTCTGTCTTTCTTTTTCTTTCCTTCCTTCCTTTTTTCTTTCTTTCTTTCTTTCTTTCTTTCTTTCTCCTTCCTTCCTTCCTTTCCTTTTCTTCCTTCTTTCCTTTCCTTCCTTCTTCCTTTCCCCTCCCTCCCTTCCCTGAATCCCGGCCATCTTAAGGGGACAGAATGGCTCATAATAGGGGAGGGTCTGCTTCTCTACCTCCCTTTAGAGACCCTCCACCCCCAAGTTCAACTCTTGCCATCCAGAGGGGCCTCAGCCCTCCCCGCCCCCCACATCCCGGCCCTGGCAGAATCCTTCCTGCACCCCCCCCACCCCACCATTTCCTGGGCTCATCCACTGATCGGGAAGGGGGCCGACTCCCCAAATATTGGGGGTGTTCTGAAGATCCCTGGGGGGGGGAGGGGGCGCTGAAGGCTTCGGAATAAGCAGCCCTTCCTGGAGCCTGGCCTTCCAGAGATGGGCTCTCCCACCCACCCTCGCCAGGGGAAGCCAGGGGCTGCTTAGGGGGATCATGGGGATGGGGGGGGGGCAGCTGTTGGCGGGAATTCCGGACTGCCTGTCCAATCCTGCCCTGCGGAAAAATCCAGCCTCCCCTGCTAGGTAGGCCCTTTCCAGCTGTTCCTTCCGTCCTTGGCGAGTCCTGTCGCCATCCTCTTCGCCACGTTTCCATCTCCCTCCCTCCCTCCCGTCCGGACGGGCACCGCAACTGGCCGGCCCCTTTCAACTCTTGAACAGTTGCAACAACACTGTGGTTAAATCGGCACTGTAGACCCCCCTCCCCCCCCCCCCCAAAGGGTGCCCCCCCCCCCCCCCCCCCCCGGGCAGGGATCCCTATTTCTCCTGCCCTCCCCCTCCTGCTGGCACTTGGCTGCCAGGTTGGTCTTTCCCACCTTGTGAGCCCAGCAAAGGATCCTTCGTTCATTCCGGACGTAACTTGGCTCGCTTCCTCGAGTCGCCTGCTTTCCTCCCGATTATCTGCTCTTTTCTTCGGGTGTGGTGGGGGCCCATACATGATCGACAGGAGTGGGGGGGGAACAATTGTGGGGCGCGCCTCCCTCCCCCCATGCAAAGAACCCTATACCTTCCTCAACAGACAGCTAGTCCCTGACTTACAACCATTCGCTTAGTGACGGTTCACAGTTAACAACGGCATTGAATAAAGTGACTTGTGGCCCATTTTCATTGCCGCATCCCGACTCGTATTTATGACGGTCGCAGTGTCCCCAGGGGTTCCGTGATCCCCTTTTTGCAACTTCTGAGGAGCAAAGTCAATGAGGAAGCCAGATTCACTTAACGATGGTGTGACTCACTTAACAACTAACGATTCACTTAACAACCGTGGCAAGAAAAGTCGTAAAACGAGGCAAAACTCGTTTAACAACTGCCTCGCTCAGCAATGGAAATTTTGGACTCCGTGGCGGTCGTAACCCGAGGACTACCTTTGTTCTCGATTTCCACTTAGCCCAAAATTTATGTTATTAAGCGAGACAGTTGTTGAGTGGGCTTGCCCCATTTTACGACCTTTCTTGCCATGGTTGTTAAGTGAATCTTGCTTGTTGGAAGGTCACAAAAGGGGAATCACGTGACACCCCCCCCCCGGGATATTGCAACCGTCATAAATACGAGTCAGGGCCAAACGTCTGATTTTTGATAATGGGAAATGCTGCCCAGGACAGAACTCTGAAAAACTGTCCCAAGTCCCCTTTTTCAATACCGTTGTATCTTTGAATGGTCACTAAATGAACTGTCATAAGTGGAGGACCGCCTGTATACATTCCTTCATTTAATGCGGATGCATTTTCTCTCCTGGAGCCCCGTGAAGAGGGAAGCCACCCATCCATCGTTTCTCCGGTTTCTCTTAAGCCCATCCTGAATTTTCCATCTCTTGCCTCTTTGCCTCGTTCCTCTGTTTTCTTGGAGAAGGAAGGAAGGAAGGAGGAAGGAAAAGAGGAAGGGAGGAAGAAAGGATGGAAGAAGAAGGAAGGAAGAAGGAAAAATGGGATGGAGGAAGGAAGGAAAAGAGGAAGGGAGGAAGAAAGGATGGAAGAAGAAGGAAGGAAGGAAGGAAAAATGGGATGGAGGAAGGAAGGAAAAGAGAGAAAGGGAGGAAGAAAGGATGGAAGAAGGAAGGAAGGAAGGAAAAATGGGATGAAGGAAGGAAGGAAAAGAGAGGAAGGGAGGAAGAAAGGATGGAGAAGAAGGAAGGAAGGAAGGAAGGAAAAATGGGATGGAGGAAGGAAGGAAAAGAGAGAAAGGGAGGAAGAAAGGATGGAAGAAGGAAGGAAGGAAGGAAGGGTGAAAGAAGGAAAAGCGAAGATTACGGGGGGGGGACAGGAAGGGTGGAGGGGGGGCAGTTCCGTTCTAAGCCATTGGGGGACCCCCACCTCTCTTTGCAACGTTGGTTTCCTTTTTTTAAAAAAAAAGAAAAGAAAAAGAGACTTTATTATGAATAAATATATATCTATATCCGTTTTTTTAAAAAAGGAAAACAATTATTTTGTAACAAAACAAAAAAAAAATAGCAAAAGAAATAAAAAACGCAAACATTTGTGCCAAACTCAGCAGCGGGGGGGGGGGGGGGTGAGAGGGGGGGGGCGTTTTTGCTACCGCTTGTTTGGATGATTCGAAGAGGGGGGGGCGGTGTGAGAGGTTCTTTGGCTTGGCGATTTTATATTGGCCGGAAAGGTGCCAACGGGGGGGGGGGGGAAAGAATGCCATCTTAACGTCAATCGCCCAGGGGCACTTTGACCATCTGCCCCCCCCCTCTACACCCCCCCTCCTCAACACTCATGTCCCCCAACCCACCAACAGCCTGATCCGGGTTGCCCCCTCCCTCCGCCATTAGAAGCACACGGGTCGTTTTGGGGTGCCAACCCTAGATGGCAGATGCCCACAAGTTGGTTGAAGCAGTGCCCGGGAGCTAAATTGGGGAAAAAAAAAAACACCTCCTTGGAATCCACTCAACCTTACTCAATCTCCACCCAATGGCTTCCCTTGGAGATCCACCGTTCGTCCTGTGTGGGGTGGGGGGTCCTTTCTGCCCTCCATCCCAGCCAAATTGGTGCCCCCCCCACCCTCACCCCTGGAAGTGGCTTCGCAGGATTTTTTTTTCCCCCCCAAGAGAACGGTGTGAATTTATTCCTCCTGACTTGTGCCCCCCTCCCGTCCTCAGCCCACCTTGGAGGGTGGGGGGGGTCTTGAAGAAAGGATGGATGGATGCCACGGGCCGCCCCCTCCTCGGCCCACCCTGGGGGTCTTCAAGGAAGAGAGAGGATGGATGCCACGACAGACAGGGTGCCTTCTGCAGAAATGCCACCGGTGATGATGAAGATGAAGAGGACGGGCTGCCTTCCTGCCCCCCCCCCCCCCCCCCTTCCCCCCCCCCCCCGAGCCCCCCTTTTGTCTGCTGTGGACATTTTTCATTCTGGGCATGACGGCTGGGCCCCCCCCTCCCCTTCTCCCCCTCCTTCCCCCCCCAATGGAGAGAAAAAAAAATCTATTTTTATGAGACTTGGGACCAGGAGGGGATCAATTTTTCAAGCAACCTGACTCTGAGGAACACTCTTGCACCCCCCCACCTCAAAAGAGCCTTCTTTTCACCCCCCCTCCCCCACCGACTTTTGAGACTTTTGTAGCCCCTCCCAGCCCGGTGGGGAGGGGGGAGGCCTGCTCCCTCCAGCTTCTGTGGATTCGAATCGACCCAACAGATTTTAAGGTGGTGCTTTTATTCCGTTTTTTCCCCCCACCTAACCCCCCACTCCCGTTTGTTATGACCTGGATAATGGATGGATCGAGCAAGCTCCGGTGTGTGGGGGGTTTTTTTCGGGGGCGGGAAGGGAGAGGGGGGTCGTTTGCACACCCCCTCCCTCCGAAGACGAGAACTCGCGGGGGGGGGGAGGCTGGGATGGAGCTGAGAGATGCTGTACACATTTTTAAAACCTTGCAAGAAATGGAAAATGATATTGTAAATATAAAAAAAGATTTAATTGTTGAATCGGCTTTTTCTGGGGCAGGGAAGAAAAGGGGGTGGGGGAGAATATAGACAACCCCCCCCAGAAACTGAGTCTCATTATCCCACAAAAGGCAAGACGTCAGACTGCAATTATGGGAGCCCCCCTCCCCTTCCCAAGCTAACCCTTCTGGAAGCGGAATTCCTGGGGTGCGCTTTCAAAGCGAGAATTGGGCGCGATTTGGGGAACTGGGGGGGGATCCCCACGTGGCGCGGGACTCCCCTCGAGGCCGAGACACGCGTGGGCTTGCAAGCTCAGCTTGGCCCACCGCATTATGCCACGGCTTGCGTAACCACGATCGGCTGGGATAAACCAGCATCCGCTTGTTTCGCGCAACGACTCCGCAGCTGCTGCTACCCACCGCGCGAACCCACGCTGCGCGGTCCCTCCTGCCCACCCGCGCCCCTTCCCTTCTGCGCGCTCATTCTTTCCCCCACCCGCTTCTTCCCAGGGGGCGGGGGGTGTTTCTTAATTTTCTCTCCATTCCACTCGTGCAATTGTGGGTGGGGGGGCTTCCTCCACTCAATGCAACGCGGGAAGTGGGTGGGTTGTGCCCGGCTCCAAAGATCGGGGGCTGGGGGGGAAAAAGGAGCCGCAGCGATGCGGGAAAGGGCGGTGGGCGTCGCAGGGAGGCCGACGACGACGCCCCCTCCTCCCCCTCCGCATTCTTGCCTCGGCAGCTGCTAAAAATAGCCGCGCTTTCCAGGCTGCGCCAATTCGCAGGAAAAGGGAGGCAGCCAATGCGCGCTCCGGGGTGGGGGGTGGGAGGGGGCTTGGGGGCTGCGAAGGAGGAGAGGGGGGACGTCATCGCTGCCCGCTCTCTTGCAGAGCAGAAAGGCGGAGCGGCATTTGGGGAGGGGGCCACGGCGGGGGGGGAAGCCACGAGGGGCGCGCTGGCAGCTGCAGGATGGAACAGCCGCGCAGCGTATCAACTGGGCTTTTTTGGGGGGTGGGGGCGAGGAGAGGGGGTCTTCTTTGGTCTCGTCCCGAGGGGAAGGGGCTGCGGAGCACGCGGGAGCCACGAGGGTCTCGAACAAGGAGGGTGATGCCACGCAGCGCATCAGCTGAGCTTCTTTTTGGGGAGGGGGGGTCTCGCTCCGAGGGGAAGGGGCTTCGCCCACCCAGGAAACCACGAGGGTCTCGAGCCACGGAGGATGAGGGTGGGAGCAGCCACGCAGCGCATCAGCTGGGCTTTTTTTGAGGAGGGGGGCCATATAAACCAGCCACGCGTGTCTCGCGGAGCAGCGAGGGGGGGGTCTCGCCCCGAGAGGGAAGGGGCTTCGAAGCGCCACCCAACCCCAGGAACGCGAGAGGCCCTCTGCACGTGCTTAGCGGCGCACGGAGAGAGCCAGAGGTAGCAAAATTGCGGGGAAGGGGGCATTGTTGGAGTGGAAAAGGGGCAACCCTGACTCGCAGCCGATCGTCGGGATGAGGCCGGCCAGCCCTCCTTCCCCCCCCCCCCGGCTTCAGAGAAACTATAGGAAAGACCCCCCCCGACCCACCAATACCCCAAATGGGGTTTTTTGGGGGGGGGGCAGGAAGCCTGGCACGAAGGCAGCTTCCATCCTCTCGGCGGTGATAGACTACTCCTATACAGGGAGGTTCTCTTTGTTCTTGGGAATCTGCCAGGTTGTTGGGGGTAGGTAGGCAGGGGAGCTTCCCCATCATCTGGGCGGACACGCGTGCCAGCTTTTGCGTGGGCGCCGAGAAGCGAACACGAGAGTTTCCCAATCGGAGCACCCCCCTCCGAAAAAGCCTGGGGAGGGGCTTTTCGGGCCAGAGTGGGAATCCCGAGTCCCGATGGAAGCCCTTGCGTGTAGTGTAGGGGGGGCTATGAGATCACCGGCCCCCACTAAGCTTCTTCGGGTCATTTCACGGTGGGCATCCGAGGGAGGAAAGGGTGGCAGCGGGCAGTGGGTTTCCCTGCGCGCATTTCCTCAGGACGCGCGTTCACACGTTACAAGGCTTTTGCACGCGTGTTTGGGCCGCGCTGATGGGCGGGTGATGTTCGCTGTCAATCCAGCGACCAGGAGGGCTCCCATGTTGGGGAAGACCGGGCTGGAACATCAGGGCAGCTGTGGTCCAAGATGGAGACGCCCTGCCGCCCCCCCCACCCCATCTCTGCACTCCTGCTGCCCCCTGGCGGTCCGAGCAGGTCATTGCAGCTCAGCAGAACGCGGTCGCATCCAGGCCGGTCGTTAAAGAGATGTACTGAGATGCTTTCACGTGCAATTTTCGTGGAAGAACTGGGAGAAACCGTGCAAAAAAAAGAAAAAAAAGGAACCGGAGTTAACGTCGGAACGCGTGACGTTGCGTGAAAGGCAAGCGCGGGTCCCCCATTTCCTCTCCCGCACCTCCCTCCTGCTGGAATAAGGGAAGCCAGAGCACCGAAGACGCCCCCCCCCGCGCGTGGGAGGAAAGAGATGCCAGAGAAAGGAAAGGGCACCACTTGGAAAAGCTCCAAAGGGACGTTCCCGTCTCTTCCGCCAGAGGGCGCCGTGGGTAAATCGTCCGCCTTAATAAATTACGCCGGCAATTGCTGAAACTGCGGCCGCCTCTCCGGCTTCCTGGGATTGGCTCCTGTGCCGTGATTGACGGCCTCGTAGGCGAATCGGATTGGAGGACGCACAGAAAAAACGAAACTAAGGAAGGAAGCTCATTTCCCATTGGATAGTTGCCGGAGTCAGGTCCTCTTTCACCAAGCTTGCCGTTCAGGAAGCGGTAGCGAGCGCTGATTGGCTGAGAAGGACGCGTCGGATGGGCGCGGCTTGCATATGAATGAGGCCCCGCGGACGCCGATTGGCTAAGACGCGCCTAGTGGGGAAGCGTTCGAACCTAGCGGAGGATGGCGGCCGCGGCTACTTTTTTCCGCCGCCTCGGGGCGCTGAGCGGGGCGTCGGCGGTGGGGGCGGCCGCTTATGGGGCGCACGGTGAGCGGGCTTTGCTTGGGAAGGATCGGCCCGGCTGGAGCTCGGAGCCAACCAGTGGAAGCGCTTGGAGAGAGAAAGGAAAAAAAAAAAAAAGAACCCTGCGGCAAAAAGGGGGGGGGGTCTTTATGGGGTGGGGGTCCCTGCTAGAAGCGGGGGGGGGGGGGGGGGGGGGTCGGATGGCGGGGTCCCGGGATGGGGGGGAGGAGGGGCTGCTCGTTTTAAGACGGGGCGGTCGCTTAGCGGCACTCTGAAATGATAGGGGGAGTGGGTTGGACTAGATGACCTCTTAAGGTCCCCTTGCAGCTGGATTCTGAGCCTTTGGGGTGGGGGAACCCGTGACGTCATGCAGGTATGACGTCACCCATTTGCAGATGACCTCACTTGCAAAAAAAAGGCCACCCTGGGATCGTCCCAGTGTCTGGAGAGGTGTCTAGCGAGCCTTCAGGGGTCCCCCCAGCCGCCCCCCCAAGTGGCTCTCGCTTGGAGGCCACGCGGGGGAAACGCCAGTTTGAAGCCCCCCCGCCCCCATTGGACGGGACGGTCAAATAAAACTGGGCTCCCCTCCCCCGTCCTTTTCCCCCCCCCCCCATCATAATCGTCCCCCCCGCTGCTCTTCTTCCAGGCTTCCACCCCAAGGAACAGCCAGAGTACCTGAAAGAGGTAAAAGACCCCCCACCCACCTCCAAAGACCCTCCCCCGAGGGAACCAGCAGCTCCAATGCCAGGCTTCCCCCCCCCTCGGCCAAGCGACCCCCATGTTGGAGGGGTCCTGCCACTCTGAGAGGGGCAGCTGGGGGGGGGGCTCCATGGTTGTGATGCTTATTTATTGTTGTTTTTTCTTTTCTCTTCCCCAGTTGTACGACACGGCCAATAAGTACCATTTCCTGCACAGCCTGGCCCTCTTGGCTGTGCCCCACTGCCGCTACCCCATGCTGGTAGGTATTCTTGGGGTGGGGGGGTGCAACCCCACCCCCCCACCTGCTCCCACCCCCCTCCCACCCCCCCAGTTCCTTCCTCCAAGAACAGAACAGAACATGAATTAGATGATGTATAGGATGGGATAGGATGGAATAGAGTAAGGAATAAAAAGGAATAGATAGAGAATAGAATAGAATAAATATTGGAGTGAAGAATAGAATAGAATAGAATAGAATAGAATAGAATAGAATAGAATAGAATAGAATAGAATAGGAATTAGATGATGTATAGGATGGGATGGGATAGGAATAGAAAAGAATAGAGAATAGAATAGAATAAATATTGGAGTGAAGAATAGAATACAATACAATAGAATAGAATACAATAGGAATTAGATGATGGATAGGATGGGATGGGATGGAATAGAGTAAAGAGTAAAAAAGAATAGGTAGAGAATAGAATAAATATTGGAATGAAGAATGAAATAGAATAGAATAGAATAGAATATTAGAACAGAATAGAATAGAAATAATAGAATAGAAATTAGGATAGGATAGGATAGGAATTAGATGATGGATAGGATGGGATGGGATAGGAATAGAAAAGAATAGAGAATAGAATAGAATAGAATAGAATAAATATTGGAGTGAAGAATAGAATAGAACAGAATTCTTTATTGGCCAAGTGTGATTGGACACACAAGGAATTTGTCTTTGGTGCATACGCTCTCAGTGTACATAAAAAGACATTTGTCAAGAATCAATAGAATAGAATAGAATAGAATAGAATAGAATAGAATAGAATAGAATAGAATAGAATAGAATAGAATAGAATTAGAATCTTGTATTGGCCAAGTGTGATGGGACACACAAGGAATTTGTCTTTGGTGCATAGGCTCTCAGTGTACATAAAAAGACAAGATATGTTCGTCAAAAATCATAAGGTACAACACTTAATGATAGTCATAGGGTACAAATAAGCAATCAGGAAACAATATCAATAGAAACTATAAGGATAGCTTTTGCAAGCTTCACGGCTGCCTCCGGAGGTGACATTTAAAAAAAAAAGTGGGGGGTCACGATCTTCAATTGGGATGGCCCTGCCTTTTTGTGGTATGCAAAAAATAATGAAATACATAGAGACTTTTCCAAGACGTTATGTTAAGGAAGGCTCTACTCTTAATATGGGGAAAACGTTTAAAGCAAAACATGATATGAAAATACCAGTTTGGCTTTCCACAGTGGAAGCACTGATTAATAATAATAATAATAACAACAACAACAACAACAACAACAATAATAATACTTTATTGTCATTGTACATGTATACACAGTATACCCATACAACGAAATTCACTCAACATCCAAAGACAAGGTCTAACACCCATAACAATCCCCAAACGCCCCTCCCACCCACCACAAATTCCCCACCCCTAAACCACCCAAACATCCATACAACAGACCAAGGAATGTTGTCCAACAGCTCACAGATGTTGCAAATCTGGGGAAAAAATGGTTCCGTAGAAAGATATTTTCAATGACAAAGGGGAACTGAAAACTAAACAGGGAATTGCAAAACCAACAAGGAGACCTTGCATAATGGCCATGCTTGCAAATACAAAAAAAATGGGGTTTGGTCCCCAGGAGTGGGGGGACGGGGGCTCCATCTTGCTTCTTTTGACCTCCCCACCCCCATTCCAAACTCCTCCAGGATTTTCACCTGGCTAATTCTTGGTGGGAGGGCATTTAGGTGGTGGGGGTTCCCCCTGCCCTTTCTGAAAATCTGGACCCTCTCCCGATGCAGTCGGATACCTGGGGAGGGGGGTTCTATGTGCTGCTTTAACATGGGAAACCCCCCCTCCCTAAATTCTCTACAGCAGGGGTCTCCAACATTGGCAACTTTAAGACTTGTGGACTTCAACTCCAACTGGCTGAGGAATTCTGGGAGTTGAAGTCTACAAGTCTTAAAAGTTACCAAGGTTGGAGACCCTTGCTCTACAGCATCGTTTTTTGAACTTGGCACCTTTAAGAGGTGTGAACGCCTAGAATTCTGGGAGTTGAAGTCCATTCCTATTCCATTCCGACTGTGGAATTCTGGGAGTTGAAGTCCAGCTCTCTTCCGGTTGCCATAACCCCACAGAAGTTTTGCTTATAATTATGTGGATTGTGTATATTATGTTTACTTCTCTTTTGTTGTGTTCTCATCATATACTAAATGATGATGACGATGATGATGATGGCTGTGGAATTCTGGGATTTGAAGTCCATTCCTAATTTTCATTGCATTCTGGGAGTTGAAGTCTAGCTGTCTTCCAATTGCCATAACCCCACAGAAATTTTGCTTATAATTACATGGATCGCATATTTATGTTACTTCTGTCGTGTTCTCATCATACCAGGGTGGATTTGATTTAAATCGAGTCGATTTAAATCATGATTTAAATCATGATTTAAATCACTAGTAAAAAGGCTTGCTTTAAATCAACTCCATTTAAATCATAATTTTTAAAGAGCAACTGTCATCTCTGCTACTCCTTTGACCCGCTGTTGACTCACCGATAGTCCCAGTGTTGCAGAATATACAGCCGTGTGCTATATAACTAAGCTCCATTTCATGCTGAATAAACTAAATTATTTATGTATCTTAAATAGAAAACTATCTTACGATAGATTTTTACCCCAAAAGTTTTTTATTAAAATAAATTCAATAAAAAAACAAAAAAATCTGATTTAAATCAAAAAATTCGATTTAAATTAAAAAATCCAATTTTTTTTATTTTTTTAAAAAAATCATTGATTTTTATCTACCCTGCATCACACGCTAAATGATGATGATGATGGCTGTGGAATTCTAGGAGTTGAAGTCCACCCCTCTCCAACTGGCCAAAGTTGATAAGCGCTGCTCCTTCCTTCGTCTTCTGGGTGCAGTTTCTCCATCTACACCCAGATGGGGGAAACGGAGCCCGGGCGTTTCCCGGCTTGGCACAGGAAGGGACGTCTGTGGTTTGCAGGGAGGGGCAGACATTAAAGCCCTCTTTGTTCTTTAATAGGCTGGCGGCATCCTGTCGACGGGCATGGGGCTCTTCTGCGGACCGTTTTATTACCACGCGATGACTGGCCAGCCGGCCTTCACCCACGTGGCCCCCTACGGCGGGAGCCTCCTCATCCTTGGCTGGCTGGCTTTGGCTCCCTGACGGCCCCTGGCCAACCTCCGTGTGGGTCTCCAGCCCCAAGAAGCTCTGCTCTGCCCACTGGACCTTCCCACCATTCTCCATTTCTGGGGGGTCAGGAAGGGGCTCGGGCTAAACCTGGAGCAGCGGAAGCCTCTCCCAAAACCTGCCCTGGAATTAAATCCCTGGAAGAGCTGAATCTTCTCTTTTTTTAGGGGAAAAAAAAAATTAGATAAATTAATATTATTGTGGGTCCAGATTTGTGACGGGGAGGAATGGGGTCGTGCCGAGGCTGGTTGGCTTTGCGCGAGACTGTACAGAATCATGCAGCTTTAATCGTGATTTTAATAAACGGACTTGATTTTACCCCTTGCGGATGCGTCTTTTTGGGGGGAAGGTTCGGGGGAGTTGAAGTCCACCAGGCTTAAATTGGCCAAGGTTGGAGACCCCTGATCTGTAGTTTCAAGAAAAGATTGGACAACCATTTGTGCAAGAATGGAAGGCGGACTCCTGCTTTGGGCCCCTGGGGGTTGGACTAGAAGACCTCTAAGGTCCCTCCCAGCCCTAGGAGTCTACAGTTCTAGATTATAGTCCAACACACAGGTGATCCCATTATCACGTGGGAGGTGGCCCCCTCTGAATTAGGGTGACCCCAGATTAACGGTGGAACGGGGCTAAACAGACTTCAGAATTAAAACACCCAACTATGGGCTCCCTTATTCATCTTATTTATTATTAATTTATTATTAATGTATCTATACATTCAGTCTCTGTAGCCTCCCAACTCAACCAAGCTGAACTCCCTAAAACACACCAATGAAAACATCCAAAGGAAGAGTCACGTTTAAAATATTGCGTCAACAGGAATCCCATCGAAACCAAAAATCGGGGTCACCCCAAATGTCGAAATAAACCACCTAGAGTTAAAAACACAAAAGACGCGATCCCAAAGAAAGATTCTCCCCAAATGTGTCAAGTCTTGAGATTTTTGAGTCTGAGTCACTAAAGAGTGACCATCCGCAAACGAAAGACAATTTCTGGGAAATGTCGCAAGACTGAAAAACCCTATTTGTGACTTTCTCACAACCCCTGAAAACCAGTCGGCCTCCGTGGCTGGAAGGAAGGAAAGAAGGAAGGAAGGAAGGAAAGAAAGAAGGAAGGAAGAATGGGCTTAAATCCCACCCCCCAAGACTGAGATTTTGGGGTTCATTTGAAGAGGTCACCCTTGGTAGGTGAATTGAAAAGGCTGGAGAATTTTAAAGAGGGCAAAACCTGGAATTTCCAGGTGTGATGCAATAAAGGAGGTGCCCTTTTTGGGTCGGTAATAGAGACAGTTTTGGGGTGTAGGGCACCCCGCCTTCCCTTCCCTCCCTCCCTCCCTGAGAGTTTCTGCAAACTGAAAGAACAGGCCAGATTCTAGCATTTGGGGCCTAAAAATAGTGATATGTTTATTTTATTTCAATCCACCAGTCAGAATAGAGCCGGAAGGGACCTTAGAGGTCTTCTAGTCCAACCCTCTCAAGCAGGAGCCCCTATACCGTTTCAGACACGTGGCTGTCCAGTCTCTTGCATTTTTATTTTTATTTTTATCTTGTATCCAGTGTCTCTGTCCTTTAACTCTGAAGTGTGGAGCAAAATAGATCATATTAAGGGTGTCCAATCTTGGGCCACTTTTAAGGCTTCCCCATGCTGGCTGGGGAATTCTGGGAGTTGAAGTCCAGAGGTCTTAAAGGGGCCAAGATTGACACCCCGGATTAGACAGAGGTTAGGCGGTAGGTTGAGGAAGGTATGATGGAGAAAAGCAGCTCTCCTATTATTAATATTATAAACTTTTATTCATTAAACATGAAACTGTCAACATTTAAAAATGGATCACAAATATTATTGACTGGCGCTGATGGTTGATACACGTTGCTGCCAGCATCCTAGGTATCAACCATTAGTAGTAGTAATAGTAATAGTAGTAGTAGTAGTATATACTTTATTCATTAAAATGAAACTCAGTCAATTGAACATTTAAAAATGGATCACAAATATTATTGAGTGGTCCTAATGGTTGATATGGGTTGCTGCCAGCGTCCTAAGTATCAAATAATAATAATAATAATAATAATAATAATAATAATAATAATAATAATACGCCATGTCTCATTGCCGTGACATTTCACAACATTTTCCCCATTTGCGGAGCTGGGGTGGGCATGGCCTGCGTGTGACGCATCTGGCCTGTGGGCTGCCAATTTGACATCCCTGCTTAGACAGTCCCCCAGAATAATGGAGGATTCTCTGAGATTCTTTAGTCTACAAGAACAGATAATTTTAGCAGATCTTTATCATAGTATCTTCGAGACCGCCTGCTGCTACCGACGGCCTCCCATCGACCTGTGCGCTCCCACAGAGAGGGCCTCCTCGGGGTGCCATCAGCCAAACAATGTAGGCTGGTGACCCCCAGGGGGAGGGCCTTCTCTGTGGGGGCACCTACCCTCTGGAACCAGCTGCCCCCAGAGATAAGGAGAATCCAAGACCTCGGTGCCTTCTGCCGTGCCCTTAAAACCTTATTTTTCCAGCAAGCCGGGCTGGCCTAACACTTTTTAAAATGTTTTTAATTGTCTGTTATTGTTTTTAATCATGGGGCCAAATTTATATATATCTTTTTAATTGTATTTTTAATGTTTGTAGTTTATGTTTTTACTTGGCTGTTCACCGCCCTGAGTCCTCAGGGAGAAGGGCGGTATACAAATTTAAAATAAATAAATAAATAAAAGTAGATGTATTCAATTTATTTTGATTAAGCTTGTGTAGAAGTTATGTGGAGGAGATACTTCATAGCTGCATAATATTGAAAATAGAACTTGTATGCTCTAAATTTTATGAAAATTATGTTAAACATTGCAACTTTCCTGATATGGTGCCTTCATGAAGAAAAAAAGTGATTAATATTTTCATACTGAGGAAGCTTCTGAATAGTTGGAAACTATATTCTCTTCCCAAAATAAATTCTCAGAAAACAGCTCATCTGTTTTAATTAGAAAAAGAGAAAAGCTTCATTGTTAATTTACAATGTTTATACGCTTTTACTTAATCACGAATAAGTACTAGAAATCCAAACAGTTTTATGTTCACAAAATGATAGGTGTGCTTTAAAAACCAGCTCAATTAATTAATCTTTCTTTTCTAGAGTATTAGATCAAAAGTAGAGTTAACTGTCTGGGATAGTCCGGATGACATTAACCTGGCTTTCACAGCCACATGTCAAGATGGTTCATCATATCCAGGAGTCAGGAAGTGTGGAGATCTTCAGATAGGAGACACGGTGAGTTTGCTATACCTCCATTTTTCAATTTGGGAAAGATTGGGTATTTTCAGTGATTTTTCCTTTAGAGAAGAAGCTGGCCATTGTAATGTTATTTTACAATAATTCAGTGGTGGTGGTGGTGAGGAATCTCATGTCAATTGTAATTTTTTTGATGGTCTTTTTCTCTTTGACTTTTTGATACATATTTTTTTCTCTGTTCGATGGGGAAATTATTCCCCTGATGTCTTCTAAGGTTGTCTCAAGATCTCAAGGAATTGCAGGTGGGGGTTACTGGTTCAAGCCAGCCTGGGCCACATTGTTTAGCATTGTAGTAGTATTGCAAATAGGAGGAATCTTCTCTACTCTCTAGTTATGGGGGCTGATTCTGTGCTCTTTTTCTAAATCAGGGAATGGCGTGGTTGGTATTATTTGTAGCAGAATGTGCTGCAAGTGCCATCTGTATGTTGCCATTTGGCATGGGGAAATAGAGCAGGCTGCAGTCCAGAAAAGCACAGAATCACAAGGGCTCCAAAAGAACAATGAGATCTCCCCTGCCCCCATCTTTTTCAAACAAAGCCCATTTTGAGAAAGGCCCAGAAACAGGCTTTTGAATAAACTTGGGGCAATGCTTATCCCGACATGCATACAGTACTTTCTTTTCAATTGCTAGAACCTGTTTCTTCATTCTATTGGACAAGGACAGGTTATAGCAGTAAATGGTGGGTTTTTTTAAACCAAGCTTCTCACTTACTTATTTTTTTTTAGCAACAGTTCTGCATTCTCCAGGCAGCTTGCAAATTTGTATTCGTGTAGAAAAAAAATGAAAAGGCAGCACTTATTTGTAGTTTAAGCCAGGGGTCTTTACTTCTCTAAATAGTATTGAGCTAAATACTGTTAAGTAGAATGATCCATTTAACAATTACAAAACTAAGCAGCTACTCACTTATAAAAGACCAAATGTATTTTCCTTCTATCTCAGTTAATAAAATATTCTAAAAGTCTGAGGCATTTCCTTTAATGCCATCCCAGTCCCATGCATATCTATGCAGAAATAAATTCACTGATTTGGATTTATTGACAGTGGAATGGCACTGAATATATAGGATCGTGAATTAGTTTTTGTTTTGAAGAAAACATTCTAAATAACTCTTTACAGAATATGGACATTTTAAAAAATACATTTTTAAGTTAAACACATCCCTTAGCATGGAGACTTCTATATTCATGTGTGTGTGTGTGTGTGTGTGTGTGTGTGTGTGTGTGTGTGTGTAGATAGATATATAGATATAGTGTATAGATAGATATATAGATATAGTGTATACCTTGCACTGTTAACCAGAATTATGGGTGCTTACAATTATGCTAATAATGCCTTTGATACTATCTACACATAAGTAACTTTTCAGGTTTCTGATGCCTTTTCACTCTTACTTCTTACTATTCCTATTTAGGTTTCCTTTGAGATATCAGTAGAGGCTCGGACATGCCCAGCTGAGAGCATCTCACACACCTTCACTATCAAACCAGATTGGTTTCGGGACACTGTAGAGGTGACCGTTTCTTACAACTGCACGTGTGGATGTAGCAAACAGATAGAGCACAACAGCAGTAAATGTAGTGGAAATGGCACCCATGTGTGCGGATTATGTGACTGTAACCCAGGCCATGTAGGAGCCAAGTGTGAATGCGAGGAAGGAGAGAGTGGGGCCACGTACCATAACATGTGCCGAGAAACTGAAGGGAAACGTATCTGCAGTGGCCGTGGGGAGTGCTCCTGTCATCGCTGTGTGTGTTACAGAAGTGAATTTGGCAGGATCTATGGGCTCTTTTGTGAGTGTGATGACTTCTCCTGTCCAAGATATAAAGGCATTCTTTGCTCAGGTATGTGTTAGATTGTTTCAGAGTTCATTTGGGTAAGTGGAGGGGGGGACGTACCTAAGTTATTGTTTTTATTTGCTTGCTTGCTTGCTTGCTAATGCTGCTGCAATTCAAAATGACTTTGAGCATCCTATACTTCATAGTGTAGCGTAACATGGCATGGCATAGCAACAGGACTAAAATAGATACCATAAAAACACCTTGATTACAATCATAGTAATCACACACAATTATTAGGAATCACTTGGGGATGTGTCATCCAGTGCAATCCAGCTGTACAAGTCCTTTCCAAAGCCCCTCTAGGAAGACACTAGAAAGGGATAGAGATACCCCTCCAGGAGTAAGTAGGCTGTTATAGAGTATGGGAGTCAGCTATAGGGAAGAGTAATCCTCAAGGTCCATAATGGTACCATTCCCTATGGATTGGGACCTACAACAAGCCTTCCCGACCAGATCTTACCAAATGGGCATGGCAGTCTCAAAGATTCATGGATCCTAAGCTATAAAAGATCTTATAAGATCACCTTGAATTGTATTGGAAGCCTCCTTCTCTCAGTGGGAGGTGTTACAAATCAAGGTGATTTCCTTATTTCTTGAGCCATTGCATTTTGGACCATTTCTGAATGGTCTTCAAGGGCAGCCCCCCCCCCCCCCAAAAAAATTCATTGTACTAATTTAGTTGATTTATTGACCACCACTCAATGAATCTTATCAAAGTTGCTAGTTTGGCATAAGAGTAAAAAATTAAGACTTTACATTTGTGTTATCCTTTCTCTTAATATCTATATTAAATATATATTCATTTGGGAGCCACACAACGGGGGATTGTTTCCTAAAGTTATAAATTACTGCAATTTTACATTATTACATTGGTACATACAGTATATTGTCATCAAGTGGAATAACACTTAAATTTAATGTTCACTACATCAAATACGTGTAATATTTTCCAGCTAGAGAGAAAATTATCATTAATCAAGGAGAAATTCGATGTTTTTTTTCTTCCCTGGAATTTATTTATTTATTTATTTATTTATTGGTTCGATTTATATGCCGCCCTTCTCCGGAGACTCAGGGCGGCTTACAATGTTGTAAGCTAGAGCCTTCATACTTTTGTATATACCTGCTTAGTAGGGCTTTCGGCCCCCCTAAGCGGTGTTCTTTTTATACAAAGTCAGCTTATTGCCTCCACAATCCGGGTCCTCATTTTACCTACCTCAAAAGGACGGAAGGCTGAGTCAACCTTGAGCCTGGTGAGATTTGAACTTGCAGTAATTGCAGGCAGCTGGTGCTACTTAACAGCACTTTAGTCTGCTGCGCCACCAAGGCTCTTCCTAAATAATAGTAATAATTAATACCTAGTAGGTAATGAGATTAAGATAAATGAAAGTGAAAGAGGAACCCCCAAAATAATATGAGGGAGAATGCTGTATACAATTGTTTTGCTTGCCTGAGGTTATAGTCTTAGATTGGCTTTATATGCAAGAAGAAAATGCAAACTGCAGATTTTATGAGTTTGCTTTCCTTTGGCAATGACACTTGTTTGTGTGAAACTCATGGAAATATTTCGCAGAGGATGTTGTGTCTACAGTTCTAGGACATGAAAATTCCCAGAAATGATGGATATGAAAAGGGACAGATTTGGAAGGGCTTCTATGAATTCCACTAAGATATAGTGGCCTGATTCCTCCTTGTCTGCAAGGCTGTTTGGACTTTATTCAATCTTGCTGACTGTTAAGGTCAGAGAACAAACTATCATACAGGAAAGGGGACTTATACACAGTTTTTATGAACTATACAAAAATAGATTTATATCATCAGCTGAGACTGAGTCATGCTGGACACACATGATTCCTGTAAAGACACTGTTCAAAGTTTAAATGAAGAAAAAAAAAGATTTGAAAATTACAGCAATGGCTGCAGAGAAAACTGAGAGGAAATGCAAAATCATTCCTCGATGACTCAGCTTCCCCCCCCTTCCGCCCTCATTCAGAAGGCCATATGGAATGATAACCTTTGTTTATAGTGAGAGCTTAGATGTATTTTCAAGAATTCCTGCTGAGGAGGTTGGGAAAGAAGGAGAGAGACATAGAACAGAAAAGTTCAAACAGTAGCCCTTAAAGCATGCGTGTCCAATATTGGCAGCTTTAAGACATACTGTAGCTTGCTGGGGAATTCTGGGAGTTAATGTCCACAACAGTGGTTGGTTGCCCCTGGTTCCATCCAGTTTTATAGAATCAGTAGTAAAAACGATGGGAGGCTCTGCCCACCCGCCACGACGTCATGATGGGTGATCCGCACGCGTGCTCCCGTTGTGAACCGGTAGTAAAGGTAAGTAGAACCCACCCCTGGTCCAAAAGTCTTATAGTTGCCAAAGTTGGACATGGACACCTCTGCTTTAAAGGCTTCATAAATAATTATGTGGTGAGCCTCTTCCTAACAGGTAGAAAAGAAAGAACTTGTTTCAGTTCCAGCAACCCTAGCATAAGAAACACTTATTCGTATCACATATCTCTGGCAAACCCCATAAAAAGTGACCTGTTGAATATGAGAAAGACTGTACATGAATAGATGCTCCTAAGTCACCAAAGCCTTGTTTGATAGGAAGGCTCACCATTTGTTGCTTTGTTGCTTTGTTGCTTTGTTTCATTCCTTGAAAGCTTGGCTTGCTCTCACCACCCTCTATTCTCAAATAAACATGGAAATAATATAGCATACTTTAAACTAGAATGGGGAAAGGAGAAATAAATTGTCAAAGTAGGGAAAGGAATGAAACAACAGTTCTTCACTTATTAGACTGTCATTTAAAGCCAACTTCTTCAACTAAGCTTCTCCAAAGTAGTTGGATAAGAAGGTTTCACCATACCCAGCCATCATAGGACATCTAGAGAGCTACAGGTTGGGAATCCTTCCTTTTGCTATGTTTCTCCTTTTATTTATTTTATTTTTTACAAATGATGCAGATGAAGCTGATCAAATCCACTTAGTTTTAGAAGCAGTTTGGATTTGAGTACAGCAAAAACCACTGGGAACATCAGGTTGAGAAAGTTTTAGAGAATGAGAAACTCAAGATCTTGTGGGATTTTAGGATTCAGACTGACAGGCACTTGGTCCACAACACACCTGACATAACAATAGTTGAAAAGAAAAAAGTACGGTTCATTGACATTGCAATACCTGGTGATGCACGGATTGAAGATAAGCAGCAAGAAAAAAAATCACAAAGTACCGGGACTTACAAATTGAAGTTGAGCGACTGTGGAAAAAGAAATCGTGTGTTGTCCCGATTGTAATTGGAGCCCTTGGGGCAATACCCAAAGGGCTACCCTGCTATTTAGAAATTCTAAATTTTCCGGACTTGAACATTTTGACTCTACAAAAAAACCACCTTACTCGGAACAGCTTACATCCTCCGACGATACCTTAACAGTTCCTAGGTCCTTGGTTAGGACTCGAGCTGCTGAGCTATTAACCAGCCTCAAAGGCTGTGAATCTCACTAAAGATTAAATAATAATAATAATAATAATAATAATAATAATAATAGTAGTAGTAGTAGTAGTAGTAGTAGTAGTAGCAGCAGCAGTAGTAGTAATGCACAAACTGATTACAAAGCTAGACATGACTGAGTTGCTAAACTAATCCACTGGTCATTATGTAAAAAATATGACTTTCCTGTATCCAAAAAGTCATGGGAACATAAAAGTGGAAAAAGTTATAGAAAATTGAGAAGGTGAAGATCTTGTGGGACTTTCGAATACAGACGGATCGTCACTTGGAACACAACACGCCAGACATCACAGTTGTCGAAAACCGAAACGTACAATTTATTGACATCGTGGTACCAGGAGATGCCAGAGTCGAAGAAAAAGAACTGGGGAAAAAAATCACGAAATATCGCGACCTGGCCATCGAAACTACACGGCTATGGATGAAGCATGCAACAGTGATACCCATTGTCATCGGAGCACTTGGTACCATATATTTTACAAAATATATCAAGAAATTGCAGCTTCCTGCAATAACACCAGCGGATCTGCAAAAAAACTGCGCTACTCGGAACATCGTACGTTTTAAGAAGGTCCTCGGTTGATCCCTAGGACGCTGGCAGCAACCCCTATCAACCATTGGCACCAGTCAATGGTATTTGGGATGCATTTTTGAATGTTCAGTTGACTGAGTTTCACGTTTAATGAATAAAATTTATTACTATTTATTATTATGTATTAGTATTATTTTTAGTGGTCAGTCCAAGCTACAAATGCACTGAAAAAAGTGACTTATGACCATTTTTCACACTTACGACCGTTGCAGCACTCCTATATAGTCACATGATCAAAATTCAGGCACTTGCCAAATGACTCACACTTATGACAGTCGCAGTGTCATGTGATCCCCTGAAAAACAAACTCAATGGAGAAGCCAGATTCGCTTAACAGCCGGGTGACTAGCTTAACAACTGCATTGTTTCACTTAACAACGGTGTGACAAAGCTCACTTAGCAGCTGTCTCGCTTAGCAACATACATTTGGGTTTCCACTGTGGTCGTAAGTCGAGGACTACATATACATATTTTTATTAATGTTATTTATTAAACCATTTTTATATAGCCTCCCAACTCACACATAGGCCAGTGCCTGGAATAACATTTCTTTAAAGGCCCTTTTATTTACTGGCCCCCAAGGAAACTGCATAGCCCAGAAGTCAGGCGCTTCTCTGAGCTTCGGGAGCTGGGTTCAAGAGTTCCCACAAAGACCTGGTTGACCCATTCCCATCACTTTTGCGGGCTTGTGGCTTTGCAGGCTTCGAGACAGGAGAAAGCATTCGAGGAAAAAGCCCCGAGGTTTTCCTCCCGAGGGCTGCTGCGTGGCTGGGGCTGATGGGCGTTGTAGTGAAAGTCCTCCGCAAAGGATGCCTCGCGGAAGAGGCGCGGCAGCGGAGGCTGGCACAAAGGCCAGGCCGGGCGGGGCCGGCGAAGAGGACAGACGTGGGGCGGAGAGGGGGGGAGAGAGAAACCTGCTTGGGCGGGTGGGGGTTGGACTAGATGACCTACAAGACCCCTTTCCAACTCTGTTCATCTGAAATAGGCAAGCCCTTTCCGACGTGCAGGCGATGCTTTCACCGGGCGGGCGAAGGGTGGAGCCGGCAGCCCCCCACCCCACCCCGCAAGGGGTTAACCCTCCCCCGAAGCCCCTCCCCACATCCTTCCAGCTCCGCCCCCCCCTCAAAGCAGAACAAAAAGCGGCGGGGCCGCGCACGCCGCGCCCCCGACAAGCGTGGCTTCCTTGCACCGGCTGGGTACCGCTGCCTTTTCTCGGGGTCTGCAGGTAACGGGGTTGGGGGGGGGCTGGAGAGCGACAAAAGAGGAGGGGTCCGGGAAGGGAAGACCCAAGGCTGGGGGTCGCGGGTTCCCCTCCCCTTCCCCGCCGGGGGTCGCTTTGCCCCCGTTTCTCAAGCTCCCCCCTCCGCCCGCTGCTTTGTTTTTCCTTGAGGCTGCGCAACTCGAGCTCTGTGACCACCCCACCCATCATCCCCGGCCATGATGGGCGGGGGCGGCAGAGAAAGCCGTTTTTCTCGCCCCTTTTCTTTTTTTGGGTCGCAGCTCTTCGAGACGGGCCGCTTCCCTTTTGGCCCTAAAATGTGGCCTACCTTGCCGGGATGTTGTAGGGCAGGGATCGCCGGACCCATAAGGCTGAGTTCTTGGGGCCGCGCGATCCACAGAGGCTAACCTTCGCAGGCTAAGCCCAGCCGCTCCCAGCTCTTCACTTTAAACACCCCCGCCGCCCCCTCCCCAATATGAATGCTTCAGAAACTGGGGGGGTCGCCCATCGCCCGCCGCCCCCTCTTTGCCTCCAGGTAGCGAGGCTTTGCCAGCCGATGCCCGCTCTGCCCTCTTCCCAATCCCGGAGCCCCTTTTGGGTCGGTTCCTCGGTCTTTTCCGCCCGACGAGGAATTCTGTGAAAGTCAGCGGACTGCGCGTTGGATTGAGTCCAGGAAGGATCGTGGTTTTACGTAGTCATCGCTAGCGGGAAAGGTCTGGTTCCTTTCGTTTTCCGGTTGGGAAGTGGGCCCCTTCCTTCCTCTCCTTCTTTCCTTCCTTCCTTTCTTCCTCCCTCCCTCCTTTTTTCCTCCCACTTTCCTCTTTTCTTTGGGTCTTTCCTTCTATTCCTTTCTTACCTTGGGAGTGAGCTTCCTTCCTTCCTTCTATCTTTCCTCCCCTCTTTCCTTTCTCTCCTTCCTTTCTATTTTTTTTTCCTTGTCTCTTTCCCTCCCTCCCTCTCCTTCCCCTTTTCCTCTCCTTCCATTCCTTTCTTACCTTCCTCTTCTCTGTTTTCCCTCCCTCCCCCTTTTTTTCCCTCCTTCCTGTTGCCTTTTTTCTTTCTCTTTCCTCCCTCCCTTTCCCCCTTCCCTCTCTCCTTCCTGCCTCTTTTCTGCCTTTCTTTTTCCTCTCTCCTTTTTTCCTCCCACTTTCTCTTTTCTTTCTGCCTTTCCTCCATTCCTTGCTTACCTTCCTCTTCTGTTTTCCCTCCTCCCCTCTTTCTTTCCCTCCTTCCTGTTGCCTTTTTCTTTCTTTCTTCCTTCCTCTCTCTTTTCTACTTCCCTCCCCTTTCTTCTCTCCTTCCTGTTGCCTTTTTTCTTTCTTTTTCCTCCCTCCCTTTCCCCCTTCCCTCTCTTTCCTTCCTGCCTCTTTTCTACCTTCCTTTTTCCTCTCTCCCTTCCTTCCTCCCGCTCCCTCATTTTTCCTCTCACTTTCTCTTTTCTTTCTGCCTTTCCTTCCATTCCTTTCTTACCTTCCTCTTCTCTTTTTCCTCCCTCCCCTCTTTCTTTCCCTCCTTCCTGTTTTTTTTCTTTCTCTTTCTTTCCTTCCTTTCTCTTTTCCACTTTCCTTCCCTCCCTCCCCTTTTCCCCTTCCCCACCTCTCTCCCTCCTGCCTTTCTTTTTTCTCCCTCCCTCCCTTCCTTCCTTCCATCCTCCCTTCCCTCCCTCCCTTCCCCTCTGTTTTGCGCCCTCCTTGCTGGCGTGGCCTGCTTGGTCGGGGAAGGGACGGCATCTTAAGGACCTCGGCAGGCTTCCAGAAAAATCAACAATACACACCGCCATCAACAAACGCGAGTTCGAGGCCGAAACTCGGGAGGTCTTCAGGATGCCGACTGGAAAGTTTTCAGCAAAAACTCCGCAACATTCTTGCCCTCCATCCCAGCCAAGCTTGAAAATCCGAGAGGAAACCACATCTTTCCTTCCTGGGCACCCCCTCCCCAAACACACACCCCTATTTTTTTTCCCTGGGGGGCTGCTGGCCTTGGGGGGTGGGTGGGGGTGGGCAACGATTCCTCCCCAGCCCCTTTTCTGCCCCCTTCCCCGTCCCCGGTTTCGCAGGGAAGGGCATCATCCCTTGTCTCTCTTTGTCTGTTTGTGTTTTTAAGCAAAAAGCAACAGTGTTGTGTTGTTGTGTGTTTTTTTTCCTTCTTCTTCAAAGCCCCGCGGGCGGCAGGGAGAGGTTTGGGCAAGGCTGGGGAGGAGGAGGAGGAGGAGGGGGAGGACAAGTGGGAGCGTGGCTTAGCGGTTAGATCATCGTCCCCTCCCATCCTTTTCCCTCGCCACCAGGATTGCTGATACCTAGCAAAGGGGTGGGGGGCGCCCGGTTGGGGAAGAAAGGAGGCAGGAAGACGCTGCAGGGCTGGCTCTCCCCCTCCCCCTCCCCCTCCCCCTCCCTTCCTCTCCGCCCCCAGGCAACCGCTGGGAAGGGGATCCAGTTTCCCGGCGATCACGTGCCGACTCGTCCTTGCTTTGCAAGGGCTCCCCTGGACTGACGCCTCCGTGCCGGGCTTGGGAGAGCGAGTTTGGAGCGAAAGGGACGGTACCGGTTCGTCGGTGTTTGGGGAGGTTTTTTTGCAGCGATTCCACGTTTTTGAGGTCTTCCCAACGGGTGAAGTGTGTGTGTGGGGGGGTTGGGTTAGGATTCGAATTCCCTCCCACCCCCCTTCCTTGAAAGGGTGCTTGGCTCTTGCTTTTTGGGGGGCGCCCCTGTTTTTTTTCAGGGAAGAACCCCTTCCCCTTGGCCTCAAGTTAGGGGGAGGGGAAACGGAGGCCTTACCGGTTGGATGTCTGGCCGTGCTTTCCCCAGCTGCCTTGGCGAGTCCTGGTGTGGTTGGCTGGGGTTCCCTCCCCTCCCCGCATACCCCTCCCCACCCCCCTACCCCCCCTCCCCGTTGGCTATTATGCTGCAGATTGGTAGGAATTCAGAGCAAGGCCAGCTTTGGAGGGGGGGCGCGCGTGTGGGGGGAGATTTTGGCATGGAAGAGAGGCCCAGCAGCTGCCTTGGCCCAGGGAAAGGGTGTGTGTGCCCCTGGGATGCGTGTATATGTGTGTTTGCATCCAGCACAAGCTTGGTGCAATGCGTGGCATTTGCTTGCAAACACAGCAATTTTTCCAAGGTGTTGGATTCCGATTCCCAGGCTGCTCAGCCCAGGGGTGGTAGTGGCAGAGCCTTATAGAGACTGTAGTTCCGTGCTTTCTGCAAGGCGCCAAGTAGAAGGGGTGGATGAATCCATACAGGTAGTCCTTGATTTATGACCAGGGGTGAAATCCAGCAGATTCTGACAGGTTCTGCAGAACCGGTAGCGGAAATTTTGAGTAGTTCGGAGAACCGGCAAATACCACTTCTGGCTGGCCGCAGAGTGGGGTGGGAATGGGTATTTTGCAGTATCCTTCCCCCAGGAGTGGGGAGGGAATGGGGATTTTGCAGTATCCTTCCCCAGCCATGCCCACCAAGCTACACCACACCCACCAAGCCACGCCCACAGAACCAGTAGTAAAAAAATTTGGATTTCACCACTGCTTACAACCACAATGGAGCCCCCCCCCAAATTTATGTTGCTAAGCAAGGCGGTTGCCAAGGGAGCTTTCTCCCATTTTACGACCTTTCTTTCCCGCCGCCGTTAAGGGAACCACCATGGTTAAAAAGTTAGCCGTACAGGTTGTTAAGTGAATCCGACTTTGCTTGGCAGGACGACGATCGTGGGACTCTGGGATACTGCCACCGTCATAAATACGAGTCCATTGCCCGGGGTCTGAAGTTTGATCGTGCGACCGCAGGGGGAATGGGGCGACGGTCGTTAAATGTGAAAAACGGTCCTAAGTCACCTTTCCCAGTGACGTTGTAACTTGCAACGGTCACTAAACGAAGTGTTGTAAGTTCAAGGGCTGCCCGTAGCTGGTTTGTGGCAGGAGGGAGCCAGAATCTCTTGTGTGTGTGTTTGTGGGTCTATCTATATCTCATATTGTCTGTAAATACACACACACACACACACACACACACACACACACACACACACACACACACACTATGGTGTGTTGGTTTGTGGCAGGAGGGAGCTGGAATTGTGTTTGTGTATGCATGCACACAAGCTTGGCCACTTTAAGACTATCGGACTTCAACTCCCAGAATTCCCCAGCCAGCACAATTCTGGGAGTTGAAGTCCGCTAGTCTTAAAGTGGCCAAGCTTGCACACTAATGTTCCAGATGATGCAAGAAATAAACGTCCTCCCCCACCCCCCCCAAATTCCTGAAGATTTGGGGGGTGCAAGTGCTGACACACACACACACACATGCCCCCTCCCCTTTTTGTTAAACGAAATCACTGTTTCACGCCAATGTAAACCCAATCAGCTTCTCTTTACTCCTTGCAGGGATCTTTGCAGATGGAAGGAAGAAACGGGTGTTGATCTGAAGTCTACCGGGGTGGGGATCCCTCTCTGAAGTCGGGGATCATGGCAGCTCCAGGTATGTGGTTTTCTCGCATCTCTGCCCCCTTGCGATGCCCCCCCTGTTCGTGACGATAATTGGAACCCAGAATTTATGTCATTAAGCAAGGCGGTTGTTAAGCGAACCGCGGCTGATTTTACAATCACCGTTGCCGAGGTTGTTAAGCGAGTCGCTGCTGCTAAGTGAATCATGCCGTTGCTAATAGAACCATGCCTGATTTTACAATAATAATTGCCGGGGTTGTTAAAACGAATCTGCTGTTAAATGAATCCTGCCATTCTTAAGTGACTTGCGGCTGATTTTTGCAATAATGGTTGCCAAAAAATGTGAAGCGAAACTCTTCCATTGTTAAGTGAATCCCGCTTCCCCCGTTGACTTTGCTTGTCAGGTCGCAAATGGATGTCCGTCGTAAATACGAGCCGGTGGCCAAGCGTCTGAATTTTCATCAGGTGACCGTGGGGATGTAGCAACCGTCATAAGTGTGAATAACGGTCCCAAGTCGCTTTTTTTCAGTGCCACTAAACGAACGGTCGCAATTTGAGGACGTCCCGGGTTCGAATTTGCATCAGGCAATTGGCCAGTGATTTGAACGTCCTGATTTTTGGGGGTTGGGGTGGCGGGAATAGAAATTCTGCGTTGGCAAATTCAACGATAATTTTTTTTGTTTTGAAAAGTTTTATTCCCTTTGGAAATTTGGGTTCAGGCCGGGTCTCTGGATCCACAGATGGAATTACTAAATTTGTTTTGTTTTTCTCTTTTTGGCTGTAATTTTTTCCTTCACTCCCAACTGGTACATTCCTTAAAAGCTGCACGTTTTCCAGGCGCTTTTCATGTTTACTTCTTCTTCAGTCTCAGCAAATGTAAGAACTTCAGTGTAAGACTTCGATGCCCAGAATTCCCAGCCAGCAAAAGTTCCCCAGAATTCAGCACTGGGCAAGACGAGAACAAATGTTTAAAAAAAGGCTGCCATTTCTCAGAAATGGTATAGGGCCGTAATGGTGAACCTATGCCACAGGTGGCACGCGGCGCCATATTGGTGGGCACTCGAGTATTGCCCTCGCTCAGCTCCGGCGCGCACGATTTTTGGGCCTTCCGGTCCCACCAGAAGTCGGGAAACGGGCCATTTCCGGCCTCCAGAGGGCCTCTGTGGGGATGGGGAAGGCTGTTTTCGCCCTCCCCAGACTCCTAGAAAGCCTCTGGAGCCTGGGGAGGGTGAAAAATGGGCCTACCGAGCCCACCGTGCCATCACTGGCAGGTGATGGCAAAAAGGTTAGCCATCCCTCCTGCTTGGGTGGGGGTGGGGGGGGTTGACTAGATGACCTACAAGGTCCCTTCCAACTTCCAAAATGTGGCTAGACTACTTTGTCACATTTTTGGATTTTTTTAAAAAAACTTTCTTAATAGACGTGGGAATGCGGGTGACATAATATATCTTGACTTCAGCAAAGTGAAATAAGAAAGCTGGGAGTTGAAATCCACAAGTCTTAAAGTTGCCAATGTTGGCAAATTCCCTTCCTGTAAACCTGGCCATCATCCGCAAGATTTAAAATCAGGGCAAGAATCAGGGCAGGAAAAAAAAAGGGGGTGGGGAGAAATCTCAACAAGGTCCAGAGATAGACATTGGAACTCCTTGCCACAAGACACGATTCCTGCTTTAGAACGAAAAGGTGAATTTCCTGATCATTGGCTAGGAGGAAAATTCTCTGTATCGATGAACTTCGACCCAATTGCTGGCACCTTCTCTTTTTATATTCTTTGCAAATATAAATATGATTTTTTTTTAAAAAAAACAAACATTTTACGGCTCATCTGCAGCCAACAGGTGGCCCAGCAGAAGAGAAACGAAACTTAAGATGTTTCGTTAACGCTTCCTGGAGGAAGAAGACATGACAGTGAAAATTGATGGCGCCTGAAGGCTTACCAAAACAGGAAAAACGTGAATTTCTCTCTGTAAACAGTAATACTTCTGAGAAATGCAATTTTTAATTTTACATCTTCTCAAAGGAGAATCCTGCTTTGAAAAAAGTGACCTAACTGGAGCTCCATCGTCTTTGTGAATCAGCCAACTTTTTCATTTTTTATTTTTTTAATTTTATTTTAATTGCTTTTAAGTCTTAACTTTCCACCAGGTGCAGCTGTTTAATTGCTGCAAGAGCGAAACCAGCAACAGAAAAGGGAAAATGACATCAGCGTCAGAATAATAATAATAATAATAAATTGTTCTTTTGATGCCAACTTTCCAGAAATGATTGCCTTCTGCCCGAGATGGGGAGGATGGGACTTGTGGTACCCACCCCTTTCCAGAAAGCCCGGGAGGGGGGGGATGCAAGTATTGAGCGAAACCTGGCTCCAAAACAGGAACTGGGAGATGGAACTTGGAGTCCTAGCAGACGATCCCTTAATTGTGAGTTAGTTGTGTGCAGCGGTAGCCGAAAAAGTGAATACGATCCTCGGTTGCATAAAGAGAATCAAAATTGCATGAAGGATTAGCACTGTTTTGTAAAGCCTTAGTAAGGCTACACCTGGAGTATTTTGCATCCAGTTTTAGTCCCCACGTTACAAAAAAGATGTTGAGACTTTGGAAAAAATACAGAGAAGAGCAACTCCTGCTTCAGCAGGGGGTTGGACTAGATGTCCTCCAGGGCCCCCTCCCGCTCGAATCTGATTAAACCCGTATGCCTGCAGAACAGGTGATTCACAGAAACGGAAGGTTGCCATGACGATGATGCGGGCACTCCCGTCTTCGGCGGGGCAGAGCCGGGAGGGTGGATGGAGGGCGTGGCTGGAATGCACCTGGGCAGGTTAGGTGCGGGGAGTGGGGGGGGGAGGCAGAGTGAACCCCTCCCCTTCCTCTGGTGTAACCTGCTGCTGTCACCCTTTGGAACATCATACCCACCCACCCCCTGCTGAGGGAGACCCCAACCATTTTTTGCAATGAGTTTTTATCTCTTGATGGATTTTTAAAAATTTGTTTTATTTTTTTTAAAGTTTGCAAGCTGCCTGGAATCTCTCCCCCGTGGGTGAATTTGGTGGCAACACATAAACTTGCTGAATAAATCAAAACGAAATAAAATTGGTGGGCGGCCTCTTGGGGGTCCCGAGTGCGAGAGGCGCAGCTGTACAGGTAGTCCTCGCCTTAAAACGTCGGTTCATTGAGGGACCGAAGTTACCACGGCGCTGAAAAAGCGATTTACGGCCTTTTCTCACTCTTAACGACCGTTGCAACATCACAAATAATAAAAATTCAGAGACGCTTGGCAACTGTCTCACAGGTATGACGGTTACAGTGGGTGCTTCAACACGGGAGGTATTTAAGAAGAAATTGGACATCCATTTGTCTGAAATGGAATAAGGTCACCTGCTTGAGCAGGAGGCTGGACTAGATGACCTCCAAAGTCCCTTCCAACTCCTGATATTCTGTAAGGGTCTCCTGCCTGAACGGGGTTGGACTAGATGACCTCCGAGGTCCCTTCCAACTCTTATTATTCTGTTATGTCTTGTTAACTTGCCACTTGTTTGCAGCAAAAGTTTCAGGAACCGAGTCTTTATTTCTCTTCCTCCTCTTGCCCAGGGTACCATGTTCCACAGCCAGGATATCCGGTGGCTTCTCCGCCTTACCCCGTCGTGCCGCCACCGCACACTGGGCCCTCCGCCCCCACCCCTGGGTTCAACGTCTACCCCACCGCCAGTCCCGGACCCGGCTACGTGGCTGCCCCCCAGCCGCCCCCCCGAGGATACCGGGACCACTCCGCTTCCCCACAACACCCCCAGTCCGGCGATCCCCACGCGGCCATTACCCCTTACCTGCCTGTTTCGGCTAGCATCCCACCTGGCTTGGAGTACCTGACCCAGGTAAGCACAAAGGCTTTAGGGAGTGGGAGGAGGTGGGCATTTTTTAAAAAAGGGATTTAAAAGTAAGATTCCGCTGTTTATAAGGGCAGAAGGAACGCAGGTTTTGATTTGAGACTACTGACTTCGAGGAACGTGCTTTGCTTGCAAAAGCTCTGGGTTCAAATCTTGCCATTCCCACTACTCGATGCTGGAGGCTCTATTGTCTTCCCTCCAGGTGCTTCCCAACGGAAGGCAACCAGAAACACAGATAGAAATACAGAATTTAGTATCTTACCGGAAAACTACAATAAAGAGAATGCAGACTTCATTTTACATGGGCTAACGGCAGCTACAATTGTATTTTTAAAATTGTATGTTTTAATTTTTAAATGTTTTTATAATGGTTTTCTAAATGCATCGTAAGCCGCCCTGAGTCTCCGGAGAAGGGTGGCATATAAATTGAACTAATAAAATAAAATTAAACTAATCAAATATTTGCACAACAATGGAAAAGTGTAGAGATCCCAACAGAGGAAAACGTAATTTAAAAAAATACTAGAATGTGCAGAAATGGATAGATTAACACTTACAATTAAGGAAAAGGAAGAACCTGAATACTTTTTGACTTGGGACTCATTTTATCAATGGCTAACCGACAGAAACAGAAGTTAGAAATACGGAAATATAAGAGAAGGATTCATTTTCTAGGGAAGGTTTATTAAAACGGATAAGCAAATACTCCTATTATGATGAGATCAATATTCATGCGATGAATATTCATTCATTTCATTTATTAAATTTTTATACCGCCCCTCTCCTGAAGGACTCGTGGCGGTGAACAGCCAGGATTAAAAAACATACAATATAAACATTAAAATACTTTAAAACATAATTAAATCTATATTGGCTTCCCCCAATTTAAAACCCCTTACCCATAAAATTAACCAATTAAATTTTTTTTTATTGTAAATATGATTATTATTTCTCAAAATTATTTGTACGCTGATCACACACCGTTTATTCCACTTAAAAAAGGATGCTTATAAAAGAAAGAAAATAATGATTCTCTATAAGGGTAGTTTGGCGGAAGGGAGCTAAATGCAATATTAAAGCTTGTATGTTAAAGTCAAAGAATAAGATGTATTAGAAAGTTTTGATTTTTAATGTGCTCTTATTTGGATATCACTTCTGGAATTTGGGATTGTGAAGGGGGAAAAAAATATGAAACTCTGATTTTGGTTTTATGGATTAGAAAGATTTGGTGTTATAGACATGGCTAGTTATATCTTAATGTATAAAAGCGAAATGTTGAGTGTGTGTATCTTGTACGGTTCCAGGAAAAGTTGGAAGTCAATGCCCCCTTTTCTTTCTTTTTCTCTTCCCCTTTGTATTTCGCATATTGCTGTTCTCGTTTTCAATCATTTTTTTTCCCTCACAAACTTCCGATGGTTTTGCTTTGGCGATGTAACTACTTATCACCTGTTCTGTTCTGTTTTATCCCTTCAGGTGGACCAAATTTTGATCCATCAGAAGGTGGAACTTGTAGAAGGTACGGGGGTCAAAGCCATTTATTTATTTATTTTTGGAGACCTTGTGCATGGACAGAGTTCAGGGCCTGCCCGGGTCTCCGCTTCCTTGAGGCCTTGAACTCGGGGGGGTGGGGGAGTTGTGATGTTAGAAAGTGGAAGTTGGGGAACCCTATAGATTTGGCGGGGGGGGGTCCAGCCTTGGCTACTTTTAAGACTTGTGGACTTCAACTCCCAGAATTCCCCGGCCGACTCTTTTTTTCGCTTTGCTGAAATCAAGATATATTACATCTACTTCATTCCCACCTTCTCTTAAGAAAGTTACCGAATCAAAAAATGTGATAAAGTGTAGTCTAGACACATTTGTTCTGCCCCTGCTGAAATCTGGGAAATCCTTGGGGTGGGGTGGGGGTCCTTAGTCACCTCCCTTTCAGGCTGGTTGAACATCCCCATAGTAACCTGTTGCGGAGCCTGTAACACACTTTTCACTGAGCACCTCTCGCTCTCCTTTTCTCTCCGTCCCTTTCTCTCCGCAGCTTTCATCGGCTTCGAAGGCAACAACAAGTACGAGGTGCGAAACAGTCTCGGCCAGCACATCTTCCACGCGGAGGAGCACAACGACTGTTGCACCCGGAACTGCTGCGGCTCGCTACGCCGCTTCTCCATGCGGCTGGACGATCCCAGCGGCCGCGAAGTCATCCGATTGGTCCGTCCACTGAAATGCGTCAGCTGCTTTTTCCCCTGCTGCCTTCAGGAGGTAACACAGCGAGTGTGGCCTAGTGGGCGATTGCACCCAGGCTCAACCGGGAGACAGTGAGTTCTAGTCCTACCTTAGGCATGAAAGCACTGGGTGACTTTGGGTCAATCATCGGGAGATGATGAGTTCTAGTCCTCCCTTAGGTATGAAAGCCAGTTGGGTAACTTTGGGCCAATCACCAGGAGACAGTGAGTTCTAGTTTCACCTTAAGCATGAACGCTGGCTCCGTGACTTTGGGGCCATCATCCAGGAGACAGTGAGTTCTAGTTTCACCTTAAGCATGAACGCTGGCTCTCTGACTTTGGCCAATCACCAGGAAATGGACAGTGAGTTCTAGTCCTGCCTTAGGCATGAAAGCCTCAAATCACCCAGCTGGCTTTCATGCCTAAAACAGGACTAGAACTCACTATCTCCCTGTGATTAGCCCTATGGTGGTATGGGAAAGGATCCCCCCCTGTCCTTTTAAAGTTGCCCTGTCCTTCCTGGTGGATTGAAGTTCTGTCAGTCTCTTGACAGCCAACTTTAACCAATCGGGAAATAAATATTCCCCAAGTTTTCTTTAATAAGATTTATGAAAAAGGAATTAAATCCAGTTGTAGGAAATCTCGGCAACGTGACAGTTTTTTAACTCGGGGCCCCAATTTATCTCTCACCCAGTTGGACTAAGCCAAGGATTGGCAACCTTAAACACTCAAAAGAGCCGTTTGGACCCGTTTCCCACAGAAAAGAAAACACCGGGAGCCACAAAACTCTTCCCGTGCCTGACTTATTTCCAGAGCGGCCACAAAACTAGCATATGTAGTTGAATTAAAATTCTGTTTTCTTCTGAAACTTTTCTTTCCTTGGACTTCTCCATGGTTGGCCTACCAGGGGTCGAAAAGCTCAATAAATCGCGTGCCGGCGGGTGTCGCACACTGGCAGTTGTGACACATATTTTGAGCGACAGAGAGCCACAGCAAAGGGATGAAAGGAAGCATTTGTGACTAACTTGGGGAACCTCTCAACCGCGTTTTTCTGATGCCGGCTTTTCTTTCCCTCCACCCAGATGGAAGTCCAGTCCCCGCCGGGTGCCACCATTGGTTACGTGGTGCAAACCTGGCACCCCTTTATGCCCAGGTTCTCCATCCAGAATGTGGAGAAGGAAACGGTGCTGCGGATTTTGGGCCCCTGCTTTGCCTGCAGTTGTGGCGGCGATGTCAGCTTTGAGGTGCGCGTAGAGTACAGGCAGTCCTCGGCTTACAACGGTTCACTTAGTGACGGTTTCGAAGTTACAGCAACGCTGAAAAAAAAGCGACGGGGCTATTTTTCACACTTACGACCGTTGCGGCATCCCCAGAGTTAACGTGAACAAAATTCAGACACTTGGCAACTGACTCATATTTATGACAGTTGCAGTGTCCTGCGGTCATGCAGTCAACTTTTTTGACGTTCTGTCAAACCAGGTCAATGGAAAAGACAGATTCACTTAACAGCCACATTAATAACTTAATAACTGAAGTGATTCACTTAACAACCGTGGCAAGAAAGGCCGTAAACGGAGGCAAAATTCACTTAACCAATGTCTCGTTTAGCAGCAGAAATGTTGCGCTCAGTTGTCGTCATAAGTTAAGGACTACCTGTAGTGTCTTCAAAATGTGTGGACTTCAACTCCCAGAATTCCCCAGCCAGCTTTGAAGTCCACACATCTTAAAATGCCCAAGGTTGAGAAACCCAGGCCCTGAGAGAAAACAGCTACAGTCCTGGGCTCCAAATCTGGGGGGAAAGGACCTTTTGCACATGCTCAAGAACCCCCTGCCCTTTAGAATAGCCTCACTCGATCTTAAAAACAAAATTGGAGATCCACTTCCTGCGTCCGGTGGAGATGGAAGTACAGTGTACATTCGACATGAGGTCACAGAGAGACGTCCCTTCGTGGTCGCCATCCGGAATGCAAACTCAACCTTCTTCACACCCCCCCCCCCATGTCTTTAGATTTAGATTATCAGAGTTGGAAGAGACCTTGTGGGTCATCTCGTCCAACCCCCCACCCATGCAGGAGACCCTCCACCATTTCTGACCGGTGGCAGTCCAGTCTCTTCTTGAAAGCCTCCAGTGATGAAGCTCCCGCAACTTCCGAAGGCAACTTCTGTTCCATTGGTGGATTGTCCTCACTGTCAGAAAATTTCTCCTTATTTCCAGGTGGAATCTCTCCTTGATCTGTTTCCATCCATTCTTCCTTGTCTGGCCTTCGGGTGCTTTGGAGAATAGCTTGACCCCCTTCCTCCTCTCTGTGGCAGCCCCTCAAATATTGGAAGATGCTCTCCTGTCTCCCCTGGTCCTTCTCTTCACTAGACTAGCCAGGCCCAGTTCCTGCAACCGTTCATCGTATGTTTTAGCCTCCAGTCCTCTCATCCTCCTGGTTGCTCTTCTCTGCACTCTTTCCAGAGTCTCCACGTCTTTTTTCATAGTGTGGTGACCAAAACTGGATGCAGGACTCTAGGTGTGGCCTTACTAAAGCTTTGTAGAGTGGTATTAGTACCTCCCTTGATCCTGATTGCATCCCTCTGTTAATGCAGTTTAGGATTGCATTGGCTTTTCTGGCTGCCGCTGCACATGAGCTGGCTCCTATTTAGCTGATTGTCCACTAAGACCCCAAGATCCCTCTCAATGTGACCGCTATTAAGCCTGGTGTCCTTCCTGCAGGTGAAGACCCGGGACGAGTCCCGCGGGGTGGGCCGGATCAGTAAGCAGTGGAGTGGCCTCCTTAAGGAAATCTTCACCGACACGGACAACTTTGGGATCCAGTTCCCCATCGATCTGGACGTGAAGGTCAAGGCGGTTCTGCTGGGCGCCTGCTTCCTCATTGTGAGTCCCGGTCCGGAGTTGAGAAATGACGATAAGATCTGGGGTGGGGGATCCCCTTTCCCTACACCTCCCCAAAAAATGAGACCACCTGGCACTTCACTCCAAGCAACTTCTCTTCTTTTTTTCTTTTCTTTTCTTTTTTTTTTGCAGGATTTTATGTTTTTCGAGAAGACGGGAGAAGTTGGACAGAGGCCCTCTGTGCTGTCCAGCTGAAATCATCTCAAATTAGGGACAATATTCCTGGTTCTGACCTGACGGAGAGAGAGAGAGAGAGAAAAAGAGAGAGAGTTTGTGTGTATGTGTTTTTGTGTGTGTAGAGGGGGTGTGTTTGGGTCTGACAGCGATGGTTTCTCAGTTAGAATTGTCTTCTCTTCCTGGACTGTCTCCATTCGTTGCACAGATGCGCTTAGCAGTTTTAATAGATTAACAAAGTTGGAAAGGACCTTGTAGGTCATCTAGTCCACCCCCGCCCAAGCAGACTGTACGCCATTTTTGACAAGATGGCGGACTGCCCAGTTGGAAGGTTTCCAAGTGTCCAAGAATTGGGTCTCTATCCTAGTTGCTTCGGTTCCCAAAAGACTGTTGTTGGCTTGTACAAACCTTGTTAGACTCTGTCCTGCGTGCTCTTTATCTGTCGTCTTCAGGCTAGGGCAGGTGTCAGCAACCTGTGGCTCTGGAGCCGAATGCGGCTCTTTGGGCCCTCTGCTGTGGTTCTCTGTTGGGTGTTCCCACCATTGCCCTCCCCTCCCAGTCACTCCCCACCTGGCCTGAAAAGGTAAGGGCGCAACAGCGGGTGATGGAGAAGCAGCTGGAGCAGAGACAGAGAGATACAGAGAGAGGGGGAGAGAGAGAGAGACATAGAGAGATACAGAGAGGGAGTCATGTGACTGGTGGAAATGAGTGACATCGAGTTGGCCACGCCCACCCAGGTGCTGTGGCTCCCGGTGTTTTCTTTTCTGTGCGAAACGGATCCAAATGATTCTTTTGAGTATTTAAGGTTGCAGACCCCTGGGCTAGGGGATTATGGGACTTGAAGTCCAGCTCTCTAAAGGAGAGAAGAGGTTGGGGAACGGGTTGGCTTAGATATTCTGCTGTTACGAGTTTAAAGTTGTGATTTTTAGGGAAGCGGTTTGGCATAGAGGATCGTTGTGGGTGATCAAATGAGTTGGGGTGCCTGCTCAGGTTTTTGGGGTGCGGGGGCCAAGGCTGTTTTAGGGTCTGGTCAAAAAAAATTCAGAACGGTAGATTATTGTGTAACCAAAACGTTGCACATAAAAACAGGAGAGTTTCACCCTCTAATCCGGGAGAATTCTGTTTCTCAATTTCAGCGAGTTTTAAGAGAGGTGGACTTCAGTTCCCAGAATTCCCTTGCCCAGATAGAATTATGGACTTAGTAGATCAGGGGTATGCTTGCAGACATAGTATATCCGAAGCTGGATTTCTAGCGATCGTCTCCTTTATCAATGATATCATAGCTGGCTGGGGAATTCTGGGAGTTGAAGTCCACACATCTTAAAAGTGCCAAGTTTGAAAACTACTGCCTTACAACGAGGTTTATTCCTCGTCGGGTGCAGAATTAGTAATTCCCCAGGGATGGGTGTCGGTGCCCCCCAGAGTCTCCAGACCTCCAAGCAGAGAGGCTGGGAGGGCACAGTAAAAAAAAAAAAACCCAACAGAGAGAGATGCCAGGTGGATAATTCATAAAATAACACTTGGCAGAATAAATATAACTATATATGGGCAGCTGTGCCATCATTCTTCCCAAAAAATTCCCTGAAAAATTAGGATGGGGGGGGAAAAAAAATAATGCCTGCTTGTTAACAGCAAAACAAAACAAGCCAACTTCGGTTTAACAAAGGCTTCGTTGTTGGACCCAAATCATACGATGTCAAGACAAGGAACCGAGCGCATGGGTGCCTCTTAAGTTTGCAAACCAGCACATCTGGAGACATCTGGCTGTCTCAATTGCTGATTCACAATTTTTGTTTAAAAAAAAAAAATTTTGCTGGCACGGGTCGTGGTTGGACTTGTTTTCGCCAACAATAGGCTGGGCTGCCCTGAGAGGGATGGGCGTTGTAGTCTTAAGCCGATCACGAAGGGAGCGACTGGGATGCCACTTCGGGTTTGTGAGTCTGTCTGGATTATGTACAGTGGGTGTCGGCGTGGCACGGACCTGTTGGCACGAAGGACGAAACATTATGGATATGTTGAGCCAAATGTTCGCCGTTTTTCCTCTTTCCAGCGCAAATTTGTGGATAATTTTGCTCTCCGAACGAATTTTAATTCCTGTTTTCAATGCCTTGGCCAGGCGTGGATGTTTGCAATGATTGCCACGTTGCCTTAACCATTAACCTAGCAAGACCCCCTCCCTTTTTGAGGGCTGTTAGGGTCTCCCCACAATCAGCTCAGGGTTGGGGGTCACGGCGAGGCAAACCCACCCCCTTTCCTTCCCCCCCCCACCCTCCGAATTTCAATGTCTTGCATAATATTAATATTCGGTGTCTTTTTCCGTACTGTATTTAAATACCAAATGTTTTGGGGAGGATGGGGTGGGGTGGGGTGAATGTGTACCCCACAACTCTCGTAGGTCAAGAAGCTGGAAAAAAGAGAAGATGGACTCTTGAAGTTGATGCTTGCTTGAGTAAATTCAAGTTTCTGAGTTTGGGGTTCCTTGAGAGTCCTCCGAGTGGGGGCCATCTTCTCCGACCCGTGGCACGGGTGATGGGATTTGTAGTTCCACCCCATGTTGGAGAAAGGCCTGGACCTCGTTTTGGAAGGTCAGGCGGGCGGAAGGATGCAATTTTGGGGTCTCGCGAACGACGGAGCTTTCGAGTTTCCAGGCTGATCCAAAAACGAATAAATATGTAGCATTTGCTGTTTTTTTTTTTTTCCTCTTTGATGGATTAAGTGTTGATTTTATTGGACTGATAACAGCTGTCCGTCTTGACGTGAGAGTGGCTGTCAAACCGTAAAAAGCAGCCGAAGCGAACAGAAAACCAAAGTTATCCTCAACTTAGAACAGTTCGCTTAGCGACCAAAGTTACAGCATTGAAAAAAACGTGACTTACGATCACGTTTCACACTTACGACCGTTGCCACATCCCCGTGGTCACGTCATCAAAATCCAGACTTGGAAACTTGATTCATATTGATGGACCGTTTTTCACACTTACGACCGTTGCCCCATCCCCGTGGTCACGTGATCAAAATTCAGATGCTTGATTCATATTTATGACGGTTGCAGTGTCCCAGGATCAGGTTTTTTTGCGACCTTCCTATGACGAAAGTCAATGGGGAAGCTGGATTCACTTAACAACCGTGTCCCAAACTGAACGACTGCAGTGATTCGCTTAACAACGGTGGAAAGAAAGGCTGTTATGATGGGGCGACGAAACAGGTTTTGCAAATGTTTCACTTAGCGACAGAAATTTGGGACTCAATTGTCGTAAATCAAGGATTACCTGGACTGGACCTAATTCTTACTAACGGAGAAGAAGTGATGGGGTTGAAGTGGCCGGAACTTGGGACGAGAGTGACCACGTTATAATCGAACAGATTAACAAGAGTCGGAAGGGACCTTGGAGGTCATCTAGTCCAACCCCCCCGCCTCCCAAGCAGGAGACCCTACCCCATTTTTGACAGACGGCGGTCCAGTCTCTTCTGGAAAGCTTCCAGGGATGAAGCTCCCACAGCTTCTGAAGGCAACTTCTCTTCTATTGGAATTCAATATAAGGCAAACAAGAAATAATAGAATATAATGAAATCAGCCTCTTAAAAGAGCCGATTTCAACAAACTTGAGAATTTGGGGGAGGATTCCGCGGGTGAAAATGTTAACGGGGACAACTGGAGAAGCGTGGGAAACTCTGAAAAATATAATAAACCCTCTTAATTGTCATCATCGATACATCACTGCTCTCTTCAGACAAGCAGGAGGAGAAAGTTTTGGGCCCAAGGATAAGCACTTCGTAAGCACTGATTTCCTGCAGAATTTTGAATTTAGTAGAGGGGGGGTAGGCTGCAGACATAGTTTATCCGAAGTTGGATTTCTAGCGATACGGCTCCTTTAGAAAATGGGGAACGTGGGGGGGGGGGATTCAATGGTACCTGGAGAAGGAATGCGGAGATGATCTTGGGGAAGGGACGAATGGCCCCAGCTTGGCCTACCTCGCAGGGTTGATTGTTAGATGGACTCCATGCTGGGCTCGGTGACCTTATCGAAGGCGTCTCCTTCATGGCTACACTTAAGATGTGGGGGTGGGGGTGTAATATTAAGTGGAGTTATCGATGAATTGCCGCATTGGGGACGCTGCGAGGGTCATACGCGCGAGAACTGGTCAGAAGTCACTTTCAGTGCCATGTAACTTCAAATGGTCATTAAATGGATGGTCGTACCTCGAGGACTACCTGTAAAGCCAGAATGGAAAGTCTTCCTCCCTGCCGCCCCCTCTTCCTCACCTCTTCCTCCTCCTGTCCTCTGCTCCTTCTCTTCCTCTTCCCTTCCCTCTCCTCTTCCTCTCCCGTTCCTCACCTCTTCCCCTTCTCTTCCTCTTCCCTGCCTCCTCCTTCCCTCCCTCCTCTTCCTTATCAGTTCCCCTCCTCCCCTTCCTCCTCCTTTTACCCTCCTCCTCTTCCCACTTCCCTTCCTCCTCCTCCTGCCCCTTCTCTTCCCCTTCCTCTTCTTCCTCCTCCTCCTTCCCCTCCTCGCCTCTTCTCCTTCTCTTCCTCTCCTTTCCCTTTCCCTTCCTCTTCCCCTCGTCTCTTTCACTTCCTTCCCTTCTGCCCCTCCTCACCTCTTCTTCTCTTCCTCTTCTTTCTCCTTCCCCTTCTCACCTCTTCTCCTTCTCTTCCTCTTCTTTCCCTTTCCCTTCCTCCTCCTCCCCCTGCCCCTTCCTTACCAGTTCACCTCCACTTCCCTCTCTTCCCTTCCTCCTCCTTTTTCCCTCCTCTTCCCTTCCTCCTTTTTCCCTCCTTCCCTTCCTCCTCCTCCTTTTTCCCTCCTTCCCTTCCTCCTCCTTTTTCCCTCCTTCCCTTCCTCCTTTTTCCCTCCTTCTCTTCCCTTCCTCCTCCTCCTTTTTCCCTCCTTCTCTTCCCTTCCTCCTCCTCCAGAGACACCCCAGGAATGCATTAACAGATCCTCACCTTTATTGTCTGATGACCCCATATTTACATAGCCCAAAAGGCCCTTCCATCCAACAGCCCCACTGCCCCCCACCCCTTAAGGCGCACGGGCCTTTGGTGAGGGGGCTATGCCTCCCCCTCCCGCCCGTCCCCAAATACAGCGAGCGTCCACGCAGGGGGAAAAAATCTTAAAAGTAGTTCAAGCTAGCCGGGCTTATAAATAAGAAAACCTGCAAATTGTAAAACGGTGGGGTCCCCTCGGGCCCGTTTTCAGCCCAGGAAGGGAGCCGTAGGGCAGCCCAGTTGAGGTGCCCCTCCTCAAAGAGGACTAGGACCTTGTGTCCCGAGGTTCAGAGGAGGGCTGCATTCGCAGGCTGGTCAACCGGACCATCGTCTTCGGTGCCTCTTGGGCCAAAAGGAAGAGGAGGGGGTTGCCTGGTGTGGGTTTGGGCTGCCCCCTCCGTGCGGCCATCGTCGTAAGTGGCCGGACAATCAGCCGGGAGTCCTCGGAGGGTGCTGGGGAAGGCCAGGGGGGCTTTTCTGTCCACCACACAGGTGAGTGGGGATCTTGGTCACCTGGGCCCTTCAGGACCGGTCCTGCTTCCCCCCTTCTGCCCCCCACCCCTCAGGTGCTGCTCAGGTCCGGAGCCCCCGGCTGAGGACGTAGCGGGAAGCCATGGCCAGGTTCCAACGATGCTTCTCCAGGATCCGACGGCATTCGTCCCACGACAGAGAGCTCAGGTTGAAGAGCTGGTGGACCTGTGGGAGGGAGGGAGGGAGGGAGGGAAAAGGAAGGAAGAAGAGGGAGGGAGGAAGAGAAGGAAGGAAAAGGAAGGATGGAAGAAGAAGGAAAGGAAAGGATGGAAGGAAAAGTAGGGAAGGAGGGAAAACAGGGAAAAAGGAAGGAATAGAAGAAGGAAGGATGGAGGAAAGGATGGAAGGAATGAAAGAAGGGAAGGAAAAGGAAGGAGGAGAGAGGGAAGGAAGAAAAACAAGGGAGGGAAGAAAGGAAGGAAGGAAAAGTAGGGAAGGAAGGAAAACGGAGGGAGAAAGGAAGGAATAGAAGGAAGGATGGAGGAAAGGATGGAAGGAATGGAAGAAGGGGAGGGAGGGAAGGAAGGAAAATGAGGAAGGCAAGAGGGAGGAAGGGAAGGAAGGAATGAAAAGGGAAGGAAAAGGAAGGAAAAGGAAGAAAAACGGGAGGGAAGAAACGAAGGAAGGAAAGAAAAGGAAGAAAAAGGGAGGGAGGAATAGAAGGATGTAGGAAAGGATGGAAGGAAGGAAAAGGGAAGGAAGAAAGGAAAGGAAGGAAAAGGGAGGGAGGGAAGGAAGAAAAGGGAGGGAAGGAAAGAAGGAAAAGTAGGGAAGGAAGGAAAACGGAGGGTGGGAGGAAGGAATAGAAGGATGGAAAGGATGGAAGGAGGGAAAAGGGAAGGAAGAAAGGAAGGAAAAGGGAGGGAGGGAAGGAAGAAAAATGGGAGGGAAGGAAAGAAAGAAAAGTAGGGAAGGAAGGAAAACGGAGGGAGGGAGGAAGGAATAGAAGAAGGATGTAGGAAAGGATGGAAGGAAGGAAAAGGGAAGGAAGAAAGGAAAGGATGGAATGAAGGAAGGGGAGGGAGGGAAGGAAGGAAAATGAGGGAAGGAAGGCAAAAGGGAGGGAGGAAAGGAAAGGAGATGGAAGAAGAGAGGAAGGCAAGGGAGGGAGAGACGGAGAAAGGAAGAGAAGGAAAGAAAGGGAGGAAGAAAGGAAGGAAAATATGAAAAGGAGAGGAAGGAGAAAATGTGGGTCACGGGGCAGCTCCTCTGGCGCCAGGCCCAAGACGGGGTGCCAATCTCCCCCTTCCCATTTGTGGCTCCCTCCCTCCCCAAGAAATCCCCTCCCCCTCCCCTCCCAGGAGGCACAGCTGGAGCAGCCGGCCGGCCAACCCCACAGGGGGGTCGTTGAGAGGGAAAGGCTGCTTCCCACCTTCAGCAACTGGACGGTTTTGGGGACCTCCCAGGCGTTCATCCGCAGGGCCTCCAGGCACTCCTCCGTGGTCACTCCATGCACCCGCTCTTCAACCTGCCGGGGGGGCAAGGGGGCAGCGTCAGCCGAGGGGCCCAAGGTGGCCCCCCCCAAAACCCCTTCGCTTTTGGGCGGGTGGGGGGGGGCTCAGAAGAAGAAACGGGGAAGGGGCTGCCAATCATGAGCCCACGGGCCTCCTCCCCCCCCAGCTAGCCTTCCAATGCCACATCTTTGGGACTACAAACCCATCTCCCCCAGCAGGGGCCAAACAGAATTCAGGGGGGACGATGGAACTGAGCTTCACTCCCACCCAGGAGGATTTGGGAAATCACAACGAAAATTAAATGTATAAATTAAATGTATAAAGAACACATTTCGTACGGGTGGTCCTCGACTTCCGACCGCAATCGGCCCCCAACACGTCCGCTGCTAACCAAGACCGTTGCGAAGTGAGTTTTGCCCCGTTTTGCAACCTTTCGGGCCACAGCTGTTAAGTGAGTTGTGGCAGTTGTGTTAATTTAGTAACACGGTCGTTAAGCGAGTAAGTGGCTTCCCCCACCTGACTTTGCTCGTCGGAAGGTCGCAAAAGGGAATCACGTGACCCCCCTCCCCCACCCCGGGACACCGCGACCGTCGTAAGTACATGCCAGCTGCCAAGCGTCTAAATTTGGACCCCGTCACTATAGGGATGCTGCCAGCGGTCATAAGTGCGAGAACTGGTTATAATATGTGACTATCTCCATGCCGTTATAAACTTTGAACGGTCTGTTGTAACTTTGGACACTAAACGAACTGTTGTAAATCTAGGACGACCCGTAAAAAATTTGTCCAAGGAGTTTTCTCACTGTCTTTGGAGATCAGCTCTGTGAACATCTCCTGGTGGTCTCTTTTTCCTTTGTGGAACGCTTATTTCAAGCTGTCCAGTCAACTGTTGATCCCTCCCCGGCCCCCTAACCCTGAGGGAAAATGAAGCATCCCAGATCCAGAAGGGGAGGTCAAGGCCCGGATGGATGCCCTCACGGTACCCCCATTGAAGCCACCGGCATCTTCTTTGATCTTCTTACCTCTTTGATCTTCTTCTCGATCTCCCCCATGGTCAGCCTCTGCCCGCCGGGAGGGTGTGGCCCCCCGGCGCCTTTGGGGCCCGGCCGGCCCATCCGCTGGTCCTTCTCTTTGGCCCCCGCAGCTTCCGCCTTGGGCAGTGCCCAGGAAGGCAGTGCCGGGTTCGGGATGCGCCCGGCGGGCTTGGGGCTGCGGCTATCCGGCTGGGGGGGCGACGGGAGAGGGGTGGGGAGGTCGCTGAAGCGCCGCTGGGGGGCCCGGCTGGGCCCGTCCGCCCGGAAAGGGGGGAATCTCGGCTTGTGACGCAGAATGGACCACTCGGAAATGGACTCCAAGCTTTTGGAGAGGCCTATAGGGGGCAGCAGTGCGGTGGTTAATAAAAGGGGGGGCAGAAGACCCCCCAACTACCCATGAAGGGGAGGGGGAGACTCACGGGCCAATTGCAGCAGCTGCTTGTTCTTGCTGGGACTCGGGGGACCCAGATTCCCCCCGCGCGATTTCGGCTTTTTTCTAGGAGAAAGGAGACAAACATCAATGTTCCATTTAGTGACGGCCGATTACAGGCAGTCCTTGCCTTACAACCGTTCCTTTAGCCCCCGAAGTTAGCAACAGCATGGAAAAAGTGACATATATATATATATATATATATATATATATATATATATATAACCGGTTCTCAGATTTATGACCGTTTGACGTTACAACAGCACACAAAGAAAGTGACTTAAAACCTGTTCTCGCACTTATGACCGTTCGAAGTTAGAACGGCGTGGGAGAAGTGACATATAACTGGCCCTCACACTTACGGCCGTTCGAGGTTAGAACGGCAACGGAGAAAATGACTTGCGATCGGTCCTCGTACTTATGACCCTTTGCAGCATCCCTGCGGTCACGGGATCAAAATTCGGGCGCTTGGCAACCGATGCATATTTACGACAGCTGCGTCGTCCCAGGGTCATGTGATCTTTTTTGTGACCTTCCCAGATGGCTTCCCCACCCCCCCACCCCGAAGCAAAGTCAATGGAGGAAGCTGAATTCACTTAATGACCACATGACTCACTTAACGGCAGTTATTTTCTTCACAAGATGGGTTGTAAATGGAGCTGAAACACACCTAACGTCTCCTTCAGCAACAGAAATTCTGCTGCTAATTGTGATCGTAAGCCGAGGACTATTTATAATTCCTTTCAGGGTGCAGAAATTAAACCGGGTGCCTCAGTTGGGCGCTGATCCCGCCCACGTGGCACCCCTGGGGTCACTGAGAGAGCTGGGTGGGGGGGTGTCCAGCTGCCCCCTCCCCTTTCTAGGCTCCTCTCCATTAGCCCTATTTACTTCAGCCTAGACAGAAAATGCAATACCACTGCTGGCCACCGGGTGGCAGGACACACCCAAAAACTGGATATTTGTTCTGCAGGGATCCTAAGACCCTCTTTTTCAATATTAAGTCTTTGTATCTGTGTGTGTGTGTGTCTATCTGTGTGTTTCCCACTCCCCAACATACTCCTCCTTCTGGTCTGGAGACCCCCATCCTCGCTCAGGGTCGATATCCCCGTGACTCAGGTGAAGGAAGGAGCTTCGGATGGGGCGGCTGATCCGCGGGGCTCCAACAGGGGGCGCTCCTTCCTCGACTGCTGCCACGACGGAAGACGGGAAGATGCCAACTTTGAGAGTCCGCTTGTTCTGCCCCCGCCAGGTGGAGGATTCGGGGCTGGAAGGGTAAGAAAGGGGGGGGAAGATGAGAAGAATACGCCCCCAGTAGTCCCCGTTGAGGTCTAAGGATCCTAAGTTTTTGGACTACAAATCCCATCGATTTAGGAAGGTTTTGTGGTATTTTTTTACTACATCTCTGCCGGAGCACAATGAGTCAGGGACAAAAAAATAAACCAAGATTGCTAGAAATCTTGACGAGATACTACATTGATGCTAGATAGATAGAGATTAGCAGGGAAGGGGGTTGGTCTAGACGACCTCACGGATCCCTGCCCTCCAACGACTCTGGGAAAAGAGGCGAGATCAAAAGCGAAGAACAGGCAGATTGTGTATTGAGGACTAGAAACTTGGAAAAACAGAATGGAGTTGAAGGGATAGGAAGGTTGTGCAGATGGGAAGGGGGCTGAAGGAGAGCAGATCCCCCTCCCCTTCCCCCCAAAAGAGGGTCCCGGCAGCCCCACTCACCCGCCTTCGATAATAGTGACCGGGTCGTTCGCTTCCAGCCTCAGCCAGCCGGGCTCCCCAAACCCACAATTGGCCGTCATCTCTTTGGGACGGAGCTGCGTTGAACAGAGACACGGTGCGGTCAAAAAAAAGGCGAGATGGCCGTCGCTAAGCGAGACAGTCATTAAGTGAGTTTCTGACAACCTTCCTTGCCACACTTGTTAAGTGAAACCCCTGGCGTCGTTAAATAAGTCACACGGCTGTTAAGCGAAACCGGCTTCCCCGTGGACTGTGCTTGTCAGAAGGTCGCAAAAGGGGATCATGTGACCACATGGGACACTGCGACCGTCATAAATAGGAACCAGCGGCCAAGCGTCTGAATTTTGATCACGTGACTGTGGGTCTGGCAAACTCCCCGCCTTCCGGATGTGTGGCCTTCAGTTCCCAGAATCCCTAGCAGTGGTAGTGCATGGACATTGCTAAGAATTCTGGGAGTTGAAGTCCACGTATCTATATACCCCCTAACCCAGGGGACTCCAAACGTGGCCCCTTTAAGACTGGTGGACTTCAACTCCCAGCATTCCCCAGCTCGCTATGGAATTCTGGGAGTTGAAGTCCACGTATCTTCATACCCTAGGACCTTCAAACATGGCCCCTTTAAGACTTGTGGACTTCAACTCCCAGCATTCTCTAGACTGCCATGTTGGCTGGGGAATTCTGGGAGTTGAAGTCCACATATCTTCATACCCTAGGACTTTCAAACATGGCCCCTTTAAGACTTGGTGGACTTCAACTCCCAGCATTCTCTAGACTGCCATGTTGGCTGGGGAATTCTGGGAGTTGAAGTCCATGTATCTTCATACCCTAGGACCTTCAAACATGGCCCCTTTAAGACTTGGTGGACTTCAACTCCCAGCATTCTCTAGACTGCCATGATGGCTGGGGAATTCTGGGAGTTGAAGTCCATGTATCTTCATACCCTAGGACCTTCAAACATGGCCCCTTTAAGACTTGGTGGACTTCAACTCCCAGCATTCTCTAGACTGCCATGATGGCTGGGGAATTCTGGGAGTTGAAGTCCATGTATCTTCATACCCTAGGACCTTCAAACATGGCCCCTTTAAGACTTGGTGGACTTCAACTCCCAGCATTCTCTAGACTGCCATGATGGCTGGGGAATTCTGGGAGTTGAAGTCCATGTATCTTTACCCAAGGACCTTCAAACATGGCCCTTTAAGACTTGGTGGACTTCAACTCCCAGCATTCTCTAGACTGCCATGTTGGCTGGGGAATTCTGGGAGTTGAAGTCCATGTATCTTCATACCCTAGGACCTTCAAACATGGCCCCTTTAAGACTTGGTGGACTTCAACTCCCAGCATTCTCTAGACTGCCATGATGGCTGGGGAATTCTGGGAGTTGAAGTCCATGTATCTTCATACCCTAGGACCTTCAAACATGGCCCCTTTAAGACTGGTGGACTTCAACTCCCAGCATTCTCTAGACTGCCATGATGGCTGGGGAATTCTGGGAGTTGAAGTCCATGTATCTTCATACCCTAGGACCTTCAAACATGGCCCCTTTAAGACTTGGTGGACTTCAACTCCCAGCATTCTCTAGACTGCCATGATGGCTGGGGAATTCTGGGAGTTGAAGTCCATGTATCTTCATACCCAAGGACCTTCAAACATGGCCCCTTTAAGACTTGGTGGACTTCAACTCCCAGCATTCTCTAGACTGCCATGTTGGCTGGGGAATTCTGGGAGTTGAAGTCCATGTATCTTCATACCCTAGGACCTTCAAACATGGCCCCTTTAAGACTTGGTGGACTTCAACTCCCAGCATTCTCTAGACTGCCATGATGGCTGGGGAATTCTGGGAGTTGAAGTCCATGTATCTTCATACCCTAGGACCTTCAAACATGGCCCCTTTAAGACTTGGTGGACTTCAACTCCCAGCATTCTCTAGACTGCCATGTTGGCTGGGGAATTCTGGGAGTTGAAGTCCATGTATCTTCATACCCTAGGACTTTCAAACATGGCCCCTTTAAGACTTGGTGGACTTCAACTCCCAGCATTCTCTAGACTGCCATGATGGCTGGGGAATTCTGGGAGTTGAAGTCCATGTATCTTCATACCCTAGGACCTTCAAACATGGCCCCTTTAAGACTTGGTGGACTTCAACTCCCAGCATTCTCTAGACTGCCATGATGGCTGGGGAATTCTGGGAGTTGAAGTCCATGTATCTTCATACCCTAGGACCTTCAAACATGGCCCCTTTAAGACTTGGTGGACTTCAACTCCCAGCATTCTCTAGACTGCCATGTTGGCTGGGGAATTCTGGGAGTTGAAGTCCACGTATCTTCATACCCTAGGACTTTCCAAACATGGCCCCTTTAAGACTTGGTGGACTTCAACTCCCAGCATTCCCTAGACTGCCATGATGGCTGGGGAATTCTGGGAGTTGAAGTCCACCAGTCTTAAAGGGGCCACGTTTGGTGGCCGCTGCCCTAAATTGGCCTGATGCCAGCCACCCGGAAGTCCCAACCTGGCCAGTTCTTGGCCAGACAGGAATCTAGATATTCCAGGCACTTCCTCCCCCCCCTCTTGCCCCCCCCCCCAAACATCCCAGGTGCCACAACTTCCACTCACCTCCTGCAACAGGTGGATAATTTCCCGGAATTTGGGCCTCTCTTCCGGGTTGTGAGCCCAGCATTTCAGCGCCAGGGCGTAGATGGTCCTGGGACAATCCTCCGTCCGTTCTAAGCGGCCTCCTTCCCGGTCTATTTTGATCATGATCTGGGGGGTGTGGGGGGGTCAGGAAGGAGAAATAAAACAGCCGTTTGAAGGTTAGGAGCATACAGAAGCTGCAAACAAGCTCAAAAGTCCATTTATAATTTTAAAAATAAGTGTTTTTTTTTTTTAATGCTGTCTTCCTTATTTTGATTAACGAGGTAATGAAGAGGCCTAAACATTCCTTCCTTCTACTATTTTTCCCATCACAACAGCCCTGTGAGGTGGGTGGGGCAGAGAGAGGGACGACTAGCCCAAAGTCATCTAATCAGCGCTAGAACTCACCATCTCCTAGCGATTGGCCCAAAATCAGCCAGCTGGTTTTCGTGCCTAAGGTGGGACTAGAACTCCCAGACTCCTGGTGATTGGCCCAAAGTCACCCAGTCCCTTTCTTGCCTAATATGGGACTAGAACTCCCAGACTCCTGGTGATTGGCCCAAAGTCACCCAGTCCCTTTCTCGCCTAAGGTGGGACTAGAACTCCCAGACTCCTGGTGATTGGCCCAAAGTCACCCAGTCCTTTTCTCGCCTAAGGTGGGACTAGAACTCCCAGTCTCCTGGCGATTGGCCCAAAGTCACCCAGTCCCTTTCTTGCCTAAGGTGGGATTAGAACTCCCAGACTCCTGGTGATTGGCCCAAAGTAACTCAGCCCCTTTCTCGCCTAAGGTGGGACTAGAACTCACTGTCTCCTGGTGATTGGCCCAAAAGTCACCCAGTCCCTTTCTTGCCTAAGGTGGGACTAGAACTCCCAGTCTCCTGGTGATTGGCCCAAAGTCACCCAGCTGCTTCTATGACAAAGGTGGGACTAGAACTCACCGTCTCCTGGTTTCTAGCCTGACCCCTCAAACACTGCCAAACTGCCTCTAGATAGCAGCCGTCCTCAAACCTTTCCCCATTTTTATGCCCATTTTATGGATGAAAAAAAAATCAAGCAGAGGTTTTTTTTAATACCCCGTTGCCCGGCTGCCATCTTGACTTTTTTGCCCTCTCCTGGCAAAGCATTTCCACCCCTATCGCCATATCGGAAAGCACGCGGCTTCTGAACCGTTCCCATTCTGGCCCATAGCTGGCCGACCCGTTACCACCTCCCGAAGTTTTACAGGTGACAGATTAACAGAGTCGGAAGGCACCTTGGAGGTCATCTAGTCCAACCCCACTCCTCCGAAGCAGGAACACCCTACACCATGTTCCAGTCTCTTCTGGAAAGCCTCCAGGGATGAAGCTCCCACAGCTTCCGAAGGCAACTTCTGTCCCATGGGTCGATTGAGGTCTCGGACTACAATTCCCATCATGCCCCAAACAGGCTTCGGGCTCTACCCACTAGGCCGCTAACCGTCCCCCTCCCCTCTCGGTCTCACCTGCCTGCCCGACAAGCCCACCCAGGGCTCCTCGCAGTAGGAGAACATCTCCCAAAGGGTCACCCCGAACATCCAGACGTCCGAGGCGCTGGTGAAGACGCCCAGGCGCAGACTCTCAGGGGCACACCTGCAAGGGCAGAAAAGGGAGGGGGGTGTCAGTCACCTGGTGGGGCTTGGGGGAAGCCCCCACCCCAGCTTACCTGGGCAGGGCAGGAGGGGGTGGTTCAAATGAGTTACGCTGGTGTTAAAGTGAAGTGGTCCTCGGTTTACGACCACAATCGAGCGTCCAATTTCCTTAGCCATAGAAATGGGGGGGGGCCTCAATTGCAGTCGTAAGTTGAGGACCACTCGTACAAGTAGTCCTCTACTTACAACACTTCCCTTAGTGACCGTTCGAAGTTACAATGGCTCTGAACAAAAGTGACTTCGTTAACGACCGTTTTTCACGCTGCAGCCTCGGGATCAAAAATCAGACGCTTGACAACTGACTCACATTTATGACCATTGCAGCGTCCCGGGGGAGGGGGTCATGTGACCCCCCCCTTTTTGGCGACCTTCTGACATGCGAAAATCCACGGGGGGAAAGCCTGATTCACGTCACCACCGGGTGACTCGTTTAACAACGGCCCCAGTTCGTTTAACAAATGTCGTAACCGTGAGGCCAAGCTCACTGAACACGTCTCACTTCGCAACATAACTTTCGTTGTGGTCGTAAATCGAGGACTGCTTGCGTAAACCACCAATCCTTTAGCACGGCTTGAAATATAAATCAGGATAAATGGAAAGCGGAAGAAAATTGGCAAGCCGGGATTCGCTCTTTAAGCACAAACAGACCATGATTTGCAAAGGGGCTAGTTAGTAAGAGGTTGGTCGGTGCGTTTCTCTGCTCAGGGATCCCCCCCCAACATTTCACCCCTCCCAGCCCAGATCTCCCCCATAAATCCTGGCATGGTACGTTCCTTCATTCAGGTCTTGACAATACATGGCAAGGCGCTAGTCCTCATGACCTCTGAGGGTTCACCAGCCGCCTGAGGAGATGGGGTGGGGGGGGAAAGAGGTGGTTAAATCCTCCCCCGCTTCGGGGAGACTTACCAGGCAAACGGGATGCGCCGGTGGGCGGACATGACATAGCGGTCACTCTTGCTGGACAGCGGGCGCATCAGGCCGAAATCGCCAATCTTGGCGTGGTCCTCGGAGACCAGGAGGATGTTACGGGCGGCCAGATCCCGGTGGACGAAGAGCTTGGACTCCAGGTAAGCCATGGCCCCCGCCACCTGCACGGCGTAGCTCCAGAGCTGGTGCAGAGGGAAAGGCGGCTGGAGCCGGTCGTAGAGCGAGCCCAGCGTGGCCAATTCCGTGACCTGCCGAGAGAGAAAGGGGTTAACTCCCACGGATCCGTCGCCTCGTCTTCTGAACCCCCCAAAATAACTCGGCAGAGTTATTCGGACCTTCCTGGTCTTCAAACCCAGGAAAAGATTGGAAGGAGACTACAAAAGTTAACAGAATATCAGTTGGAAGGGGCCTCAGAGGTCATCCAGCTCAACCCCCTGCTCAAGGAGCAGATCTTATGCCATTCAGGCCAATGGTTGTCCAATCCTCCAGTGTGGGAGCCCCCACCACCTCCGGAGGCGGGTCCTTGGCCTTCCCCCTTACCATCTTGAGGGGCTGGGTGAGCACCACGCCGTGGAGGCGGAGGAGATGGGGGTGATCCAGGCAGCACATGGCGTTGACCTCATTGAGGAAGTCAATCAGGGCCCCCGGGTCGGAGGAGATGTCCGAACGCAGCGTCTTCACGGCCACCGGGATCTAAGAGAGGCAAAGAAAGGTCGGCTACAGGCCGCAGGAGACACAACGCTCGCTGTCCCGGGAATGCCAGAGTCAGATGAGGGGATCACCTCTTGGTCTCCTTCCAATAGTGCAGCTTTATATGGGGAAAGTTCTAGAAAGGGCAACCTGTGCGAAATACAGTGGCCGGATTACTGACCGGCACAAGAACCCAGAATCTCATGATTCTGGTGGGCTGAAAGATCTCCGTTGGCTGCCAGTTGCCGATTGGGCCTTCAATGGCTCAGCATTGGATCACCTGGAGGTGCCCTTTCCTTCTCCCAATATTCCTGGCTATTCTGATCTGCAAAAGTCTTTCGGAAATACAGGGAAGGTCCTTCTCCTGGTGGGGGGGAGCTGGGATGCATAATACTCTCTCTGACAAACTGCAGCGTCTCCCCCGCCCAGGACAGACATTCCTCGATTTACGACTGCAATTTCTGTCGCTAAGTGAGACGTCTGTGAAGCGAAATTTGCCCCATCTCACGACCTTTCTCCAGTTGTTAAGCGAATCCCTGCGATGGTTAAATGAGTCACATGGTCGTTTAAAGCGACTCGGTTTCCCTCTGGGCTTTGCTCGTCCCAAGGTCGTAAAAAGAGGATCGCGTAACCCTGGGACGTTGCAACGGTCATAATGAGGAGTTAGTGGCCAAGCGTCTGAACTTTGGACACGTGACCGCGGGATTGTTACGACGGTCGTTAAGTGTGAAAAAACGGTCGTAAGTCACTTTTTCCAGTGCTGTTGTAAGTCGAGGACTGCCTGTAACGACACGGGCGCCTAGTTCGGCCAGGCGCAGGCAAAGAAAGCCAGGGTCCCTCTTGCTTAGCAGCAGACGGGCAGCAGCCCAGGTGCTTACCAAGGCGCCACCAGGCGCGTGCCACTCGGCGCGATGCACCACCCCGAAGCATCCGTCGCCCAGCCGCTCGCAGATGTGAAGGTCCCACTCGCTGATCAAGCATTTGAGGGAGGCGTCCGTGTCCAGCCGGGAAGGGGCCGGGGGCTGGGGGTTGGGGGTCTCTTCGTTTTCTGGGCTTCGCGCCCCTGTGAACATCTGGCAGGGGCAAAAAAGAGAGAAAGGGGCCCGGTGGCACCACTGCCTCTCGCGATCCCACGAAGCAGCTGCCCGCGGGAGGATTTAATGCCCAAATCTCGACAGCTCTGGGCCACTGAGAAGAGGCAGGAAAACGTCACTAACAGAGTCGAAAAGCAACAGCTCGACACAGGGCGTCCTTGAGTTGTGACCGTCATGGAGCCTGTCTGCCAAGGGCATAAATTGTAATGAAGGAAGGGAGGGAGGGAGGGAGAGAGGGAGGGAGGGAGGAAGGAAGGAGAGAAAGGGAAGGGATGGAGAAAGGGAAGAAGGAAGGAATAGAGAAGGAAGGAAGGAAGGAAGGAAGGAAGGGAGGGAGGAAGGAAGGAAGGAAGGAGGAAGAAAGGAAGGAAGAAAGGAAGGAAGAAAAAGGAAGAAAAAGAAGGAAGGAAGGAAGGAAAGAAAGAAAGAAGGAAGGAAGGAAAAGAAGGAAGGAAGGAAGGAGAGAAAGAGAAGGGATGGAGAAATGGAAGAAGGAAGGAAGAGAAAGAAAGAAGGAAGGAAGGAAGGAAGGAAGGAAGAAGAAAGAAGAAAGAAGAAGAAAAAGAAGGAAAGAAGGAAGAAAAGAAAGAAAGAAGAAGAAAAGAAGGAAGGAAGGAAGGAGAGAAAGGGAAGGGATGGAGAAATGGAAGAAGGAAGGAATAGAGAAAGAAAGAAGGAAGGAAGGAAGGAAGGAAGAAAGAAGAAAGAAAGAAAGAAAGGAAAAAAAGAAGGAAGGAAGGAAAGAAAGAAGGAAGGAAAAGAAGAAGGAAGGAAGGAGAGAAAGGGAAGGGATGGAGAATGGAAGAAGGAAGGAATAGAGAAAGAAAGAAGGAAGAAGGAAGGAAGAAGAAAGGAAGAAGAAAGGAAGAAAAAGAAGGAAGAAGGAAGGAAAGGAAAGAAAGAAGGAAGGAAGGAAAAGAAGGAAGGAAAGGAAAGAAGAAAAATAAAAAGAAAAGAAAGAAAAAAGGAAGGAAGGAAGGAAGAAAGAAAGAAAGAAGAAGAAAGGAAGAAAAAGAAGGAAGAAGGAAAGAAAGAGGAAGGAAAAGAAAGGAAAGGAAGGAAGAAAGAAAAAAAAGAAAGAAGAAAGAAAGAAAGAAAGAAAGAAAGAAAGAAAGAAAGAAAGAAAGAAAAGGTAACTTGACTTGGAACAGCTGACTGACATTTCGCAAGGAGTCCCTTTAACCCCATCGACATCCACATCTGTCTCTCCCAGGCCCTTGGGAAGGAATTGATAGGGGGATAAAAAGGCCAAATCGAGTCTCAACATCTGGATGACTTTGAACGCCACTATAATAATCATACAGCTTCCATCCCGCAGTGACAGCTTTAACATCATTAAGCAACCACATCTGCCTATCCTAAGGTTTTTGGGAAGGGGCTCCACCGGTAGACAAATATTCCAAGCCCAGTCTGAACATCTGGCTCAGTGTGCAACGAACCATAATAGTGAGAGGCGCCTTGGGTGCAATCCCAAAACATCTGGAGCACCCCTGGAACACCATCGGCATTGACCAAATCCCCATCAGTCAATTGCAAAAGGCAGCTTTGCTTGGGAGAGCTGACATCCTTCAGGGATACCTTCAAACACACCGTCAAATGACATCTGTCTGTCTTAGGGGTTTGGGAAGGACTCCAGAGGTGGATAAACAGGCCGAATCCAGTCTGAACATCTGGCTGACTTTGCAACCAACCGTAATAATAGAGCTTCCATCTTTAATGGCCGCCCTAAGTCTTCGGAGAGGGGTGGCATATAAATTGAATTAATTAAATTAAATTAAATTAAATTAAATTAATATCATCAAACAACCACATCTGTCTGCACAATCCAAAGCGCACTGAAGATGTCTCCACGAATGGAACGAAACGCTTGCAAGCACATCGCCAAACTTGGAGCTCAAACCAACAACAGAACATCTGTCTCTCTTAGGGGTTTGGGAAGGATTCCAGAGGTGGATAAAAAGGCCAAATCCAATCTCAACATCTGGCTGACTTTGCAACCAACTGTAATAATAGAGCTTCCACCTTTAACGCCATCAATCAAACAAATTCCAGGTGTTTGGGAAGGACTGAGAGGTGGATAAAAAAGGCCGAATCCAGTCTCAACATCTGCTGGCTTTGCAACCAACCATAACAACAGAGCTTCCCTCCTTAAGGCCATCAAACAGCCACATCTGTCTATCTTAGGAGTTTGGGAAGATGGGTAAACAGGCCAAATCCAGTTGAACATCTGGCTGACTTTGCAACCAACCGTAATAATAGAGCTTCCATCTTTAATGGCCGCCCTAAGTCTTCGGAGAGGGGTGGCATATAAATTGAATTAATTAAATTAAATTAAATTAAATTAATATCATCAAACAACCACATCTGTCTGCACCCAATCCAAAGCGTACTGAAGATGTCTCCACGAATGGGAACGAAACGCTTGCAAGCACATCGCCAAACTCGGAGCTCAAACCAACAACAGAACATCTGTCTCTCTTAGGGGTTTGGGAAGGATTCCAGAGGTGGATAAAAAGGCCAAATCCAATCTCAACATCTGGCTGACTTTGCAACCAACTGTAATAATAGAGCTTCCACCTTTAACGCCATCAATCAAACAAATTCCAGGTGTTTGGGAAGGACTGGAGAGGTGGATAAAAAAGGCCGAATCCAGTCTCAACATCTGGCTGACTTTGCAACTAACCATAACAACAGAGCTTCCCTCCTTAAGGCCATCAAACAGCCACATCTGTCTATCTTAGGAGTTTGGGAAGATGGTAAACAGGCCAAATCCAGTTTGAACATCTGGCTGACTTTGCAACCAACTGTAACAATATAGTTCCCACTCTGAATGCCATCACACAGCCACATCTGTCTATCTTAGGAGTTTGGGAAGATGGGTAAACAGGCCAAATCCAGTTTGAACATCTGGCTGACTTTGCAACCAACTGTAACAATATAGTTCCCACTCTGAATGCCATCACACAGCCACATCTGCCTCTCTTAGGGGTTTGGGAAGGACTCCAGAGGTGGATATAAAAAGACCGAATCCAGTCTCAACATCTGGCTGACTTTGCAACCCACCATAACAACAGAGCTTCCCTCCTTAAGGCCATCAAACAGCCACATCTGCTCATTAGGGGGTTTGGGAAGGAAAAGAGAAGTGAACAAAAATAGAATAAAATCCAGTCTGAACATCTGGCTGACTTTGCAACCAAGCATAATACAAGGGCCCACCCTTAAGAGCCATCAATCAGACACAGCTTTGGGAAAGTGGGTAAACAGGCCAAATCCAGTGGGAACATCTGGCTGACTTTGCAACCCACAGAGTAATAACAGAGCTTCCCTCCTTAAGACCATCAAACAGCCACATCTGCCTATCTTCGGGGGTTTGAGAAGGACCGGAGAAGTAAACAAAAAATATAATAAAACCCAGTCTGAACATCTGGCTGATTTGGAAACCAGCTGTCGTAAATAAAAATATAGCTTCCATTCCGCAACGATGCCTTTTATTTAACGCATCAAAGGAGCACATCTGCCTATTTTTAGGAGTTTGGGAGGGACTCCAGAGGTGGATATCAAAGACCAGTCTGGACATCTGGCTGGCTATAAAACAACCGGTAACAACCACAATAAGCTCATCCTAAACTTCCTTCCAAAGGGCAGTCAGGAAGGGCATATTTTCGTCGCCAACCGAGCAAAGCCAGCCGGCTTAACTTGTTCCGGTGCCCTCCAGGTGTGCAGCCGATGAAGATTCGCGGAAAGGTCTTAAAGGCAAGGAAGAAGACGGCAAACACGGCGCCGTGTTTGCCGCCAGTATCCGCGGGGGGACATGACAAAGTCATGAGGTCACACGGCTCAAATGACAGCGGACGGGGTTTGGCTCCCTCGCCGTTGCCAATGCCACCGTTTGCGTTACTTGCACAACGCGGTGATGGGTGGATGATCCTCGGGGCTGGCTGAGGTTGGCTGTTTGCTAGAGGACGTTTCATGGGCCAAGTAGGGAACAGCATCAGTGCTAGAAAGGAAGGGTAGCGGGGAAGTTGCATTTCTAGTGTAGGGTTTCCTGCCTAAGCAGGGGGTTGGACTAGAAGACCTCTAGGGTCCCTTCCAACTCTGTGATTCTATTCCTCAGTTGGGTCATGAAACGTCTGCCAGAAGATCCCCCCAAAATCAGAAAGCACCCAGAGACCCCACAATCCTCCTCCTCCTCCAACCCCACTCCCTTCCAGCACTGATAATGTTCCCTAGTTGGGTCACGAAACATCTGCAAGAAAACCACCAAGCTCAGAGACACCCCCCCCCAGTTCAAGGCTACAAAGATTCTCCTCTATTGGCAAGTTGGGGTATCACTGCCCCCCACCCAACCCCACAAATAAATCCACTTGTCTTTCGCTTCCCCAAATCTGTCCCGGGGAACAGCTGGATTCCCACCATTGCAGAAATCCCAGGGCGAGCGTATTATACGAAGCCACCCACCTGGCGTGTCTCTTTGAGGGAGGGTCCCCGGCGCTCACCTTATAGACCCAGGACTTGGGACGCTGGCTTTGACCCCTCCGGCGTTTCAAGGCCTCTTCGAGCCGCCGCTGACCTGCAAGATAAAATTTCTCAGTCCAGGGAAAAAACGAATTCGAACCCAAATCAAGGATGCCGGCAAGACTCTTTTGCCTCGATGGGCGACTTACGGGGGCTTCGTGATCTCTTGGAAATGATTCCAAATATAATATTCCTTTCTATAGGTCTGGGGTCATTTTTAAGACTCGTGGACTACAAGTCCCAGAATTCCTCAGCCAGCCATTTTTTTCCCACACTTTGCTGAAGTCAAGATATATTACATCTACTATCGCATTCCCACCATCTATTATTAAGAAACTTACTCTATGGGGGGAAAAAAAAAACGTGATAAAGTTGTCTATTTACATTTCTTCTTGTCCTGTCCGTGTTGAATTCTGGGTAAATCTTTGCCGGCTGAGGAATTCTGGGAGTTGAAGTCCACAAGTCTTAAAAGTTGCCGAACTTTTATTAGGAAGAACTAATAGATAAGATTTTAGAATACGCTGAGATGGGCAGATTAACAAAAGAAATCAAGGAAAAAGAAGAGACAGAATATTATAGAATATGGAATAAATGGTATAACTGGCTTAAGACTAACCATAAAGAACAATAACTATTAGGAGAAAAAAATAGAAGTACAAAATAGTGATGTCCGGAGTGGAATAAAAATGTATATAATATGAAGGTAGAAATGTATAATCGTAATGACATAACTAAAATGGAAAAAAAAAAAGGAAAAAGGAAAAAAAAAGAGAAAAGGAGAGGAGGAAGATGGAGTAATAAATTAAGATAAAGGGGAAGAAGAATTAAAGTAATAACTGGAAGACCACTATGAAACAATGCTTAAATATGAAAAGTTATTTATATGTTGTATGTTGTGTAAATGTCCAATGTGTGTTTTAATAAAATTACAAATTAAAAAAAAAAAGTTGCCAAATGAAGGGAGGGAAGATGCTATTTTTATCCACTTGATAGCCATTCTCGGAAAAGGGAGACCTTTATATCCAATATAAATAGACCTTCGTCCCTTTTGAACCCCTGTATCACACCCAGCTTTTTCTTTCTGCTGCTTCATGAGGACTAGAAACTTTGGAAGCCTTGTGAGAGATGGCATCACTGATTGCAGACTCCTCCGTTACAGGCATCCTCGACTTGCAACCGTTTTAGCGACCGTTCAGAGTTTACAAATGGCGCTGAAAAAGGTCACTAGCGACCGCTTTCCACACTTGTGACCCTTGCAAAATTCGGATGCTTGGCAACGGGTTCATATTTATGACCGTCGCAGTGTCCCGGCGGGGGAGGGGGGCGGAGGCTGTCACGCAATCCTCTTTTTGCGACCGTCTGACCAGCGAAGTCCAGGGGGGGAAGCCGGATTCACGGAACCACCGTGCGACTCACTTAACAACCGCAGTGATTCACTTAACGACGGTGGCCAGAAAGGTCGTAACTCGGGGCGAACATTCACTTCACCGCCGCCTCATAAATTTTGGGCTCTGTTGTGGTCATAAATTGAGGACTACCTATTTACTTACTTACTTACTTACTTACTTACTTACTTACTTACTTATTTATTTATTTATTTATTTATTTATTTATTTATTTATTTAATTTATTTATTTAAAACATACTTTTGAACTCTGGTTTCATCCTCCTTTTGTGCCGTGCACCCTCCCCAGTCTTTCCTTCCTGTACCCCATGAGGACTAGAAACTTTGGAAGTCTTGTGAGAGGCGTCAACTCTGAGCAGAAATAACGCACATTACCACGCATCACAACCCCACGCTCCCCGCCTCACCTGGGCGCCCCAGGCCGATGCGGTCCAGGTCAAAGGGCTTGACGTAGTCAAAATGGCTGGGACGGGTGACGTGAAGCTCATCTCGGATCCTGGTATAAAACTGCTCCAGTTGGATTTCGGTCAGCAGCTGCAGCAGCCATTCGGTCCCGTCGTCCGGCGCCATCGGGGGGGCAGGGGTGGGGGGGGCGGCTACGGGGTACAGGAGTAGACAAGCCTCACATTAGGGGGAAAGCACAAGGAGGAATGCCCAAAAGTCAGCCAAGAATTTGTTGCCCAGGTCAGATTAACTGGTTGCCAGAAATATATATATTTTTTAAACAATTCTTCTCCTGCTAGAGGCATGCAGCTTGGCTCGCTGGCTAGAGTGATCTCTCTCTCTCTCTCTCTTTTTAGTAGATTTGTGGTCTGCCCACAGATTTGCAGAAGTGAAAACTATTATTTATGACTTTCTCTGTTGTTTTGCAAATACGTTGCGCCAGAGATAAATTCCTTGTGTGGGTAACCACACTTGGCTAAAGAGTTTTGTATTCTGTTCTGTTCTATTCTCTATATACTATTCTCTGTCTTCTGTATTTTCTGTATTCTATGTTCTATTCTGATCTGTTTTGTATTTTATTTTCTATTCAATTCAATTCTATATATTTTATATTCTATCTATTCTGCATTCTGCATTCTCTATTCTCTATTCTATTTTATTCTATTCCATTCCATTCCATTCCATTCTTACTTATTCTATTCCATTCCATTCCATTCCATTCCATTCCATTCCATTCCATTCCATTCTATTCTATTCTATTCTATTCTATTCTATTCTATTCTATTCCTGTTCTGTTCCTGTTCTGTTCCGTTCCGTTCTATTTCTATTCTGTTCTGTTCCATTCCATTCCGTTTTATATCTATTCTATTCTATTCTATTCTATTCTATTCTATTCTATTCTATTCTATTTCTATTTCTGTTCTGTTCCGTTCCGTTCTATTTCCATTCTCTTCTATGCTATTCTGTTCTGTTCCGTTCCGTTTCATTCCTATTTTATTCCATCCCATCCCATCCCAGTCCAGTCCAGTCCAGTCCAGTCCAGTCGTCCAGTCCTGTTCTGTTCTATTCTATTCTATTTCTGTTCCATTCCGTTCCGTTCCATTCTATTTCTATTCTGTTCTATGCTATTCTGTTCCGTTCCGTTCCTATTTTATTCCATCCCATCCCATCCCATCCCAGTCCAGTCCAGTCCAGTCCAGTCCAGTCCAGTCCAGTCCAGTCCTGTCCTGTCCTGTCCTGTCCTGTCCTGTCCCGTCCCGTCCCGTCCCGTTCCGTTTCGTTCCATTCTATTTCTATTCTGTTCTATGCTATTCTGTTCTGTTCCGTTCCGTTCCATTCCTATTTTATTCCATCCCATCCCATCCCATCCCAGTCCAGTCCTGTCCTGTCCTGTCCTGTCCTGTCCTGTCCTGTTCCGTTCCGTTCCGTTCCGTTCCATTCCATTCCATTCCATTCTATATATTTATTCCATTCTATATTCCATTCCATTCTCTTAGCTGGCATCTTCCAACGGTGAGGAATTACATCTCCCATTGCCGTGCCTTTGTTAGAAACTTGCCGTCTATTTGCCCTTACAGTTGGAAACAGTTTCTAGAGTGTGTTATTTGCATTTTAAGTCCCGGAAAGCCCTCGTAATCGCTGGGAGGGGGACGAGTCTAAGGTTCTAAGGCTAAGGAATGAATAAACAGATGCCCTCCTCCTCTTCTCCAGATAACGCTAATCAGCCAAAGTGGAAATGTCCGCGTGCAAAAGGGATCGCTGGGGAAGGGGCGTCAGAGGGGGCGGGTGGGGGTGTCAAAAAAAGTCAAAATGATCCCCCTCGGAGCCCCTGTCTCTTTTTTAACAGAATAACAGTGTTGGAAGGGACCTTGGAGGTCTTCTAGTCCAGCCCCCACCTCAAACAAAAGATCCTACGCCATTCCAGACAGGTGGCTGTCCCATCTCTTCTTAGTAACCTCCAGTGATGAAACAAACACCCACAACTTCGGGTGGCAGGCAGTTCCGCTGGTTAATTGTCCTCACTCTTAGGAAGTTTCTCCTTTAATTCCAGGTTGCTTCTCTCCTTGATGACTTTCCATCCGTTGCTTCTTGTCCTGCCTTCAGGGGCTTTGGAGACTAGGTGGAAACCCCCCCCTCCTTTGGGGCAGCCCCTCAGATATTGGAATGCTCCTATCACGTCCCCCCCCTAGTCCTTCTTTTCATTAAAAGTAGACATATCCAGTTCCTGCAACCGTTCTTCGTCTGTTTTAGTCTCCAGTTGCTCTTCTCTGCACTTTTTTCCAAAAGTCTCAACCTCTTTTTTGTAATATTATTATTGTTTATTGGTTCGATTTATATATGCTGCCCTTCTCCGGAGACTCAGGGCGGCTTACAATGCATTAAGCAATAGCCTTCATTCTTTTTTGTATATACCTGCTTAGTAGGGCTTTCGGGGACCCCCTAAGCGGTGTTTTTTTTTATACAAAGTCATCTTATTGCCCCCACAATCCGAGTCCTCATTTTACCTACCTCGGAAGGATGGAAGGCTGAGTCAACCTTGAGCCTGGTGAGATTTGAACTTGCAGTAATTGCAGGCAGCTGGTGTTACTTAACAGCGCTTTAGTCTGCTGCGCCACCAAGGCTCAAGGTTGTAATGTGGTATTTGGTGTGTACGTGTGTGTGCATATCTGTCTGTCTGTCTGTCTGTCTGTCTATCTATCAGAGAAGAACAACCAGGATGATGAGGGGACTGGAGGCTGAAACAGACGATGGACGGTTGCAGGAACTGGGCCTGGCTGGTCTAGGGAAGAGAAGGACCAGGGGAGACAGGAGAGCATCTTCCAATATTTGAAGGGCTGCCCCAGAGAGGAGGAAGGGGGTCAAGCTATTCTCCAAAGCACCCAAAATCCAGGTAAGGAATAATGGATGGAAACTGACCAAGGAGAGACTCAACCTAGAAAATACGGAGGAATTTCCTCTCTCTCTCTATCTACCTACCTACCTACCTACCTACCTCCTACCTCTATCTATCTATCATCTACTTACCTACCTACCTCTCTCTCTCTACCTACCTACCTACCTCCTACCTCTATCTATCTACCTACCTACCTCTCTCTCTCTCTCCCTACCTACCTATCTATCTACCTACCTACCTACCTACCTATATCTATCTATCTATATCTATCTATCTATCTATCTATCTATCTATCTATCTATCTATCTATCTATCTATCTATCTATCTATCTATCTACCTCCTACCTCTATCTATCTATCATCTACTTACCTACCTACCTACCTACCTCTCTCTCTCTACCTACCTATCTATCTACCTACCTACCTGCCTCCTACATCTATCTATCTATCTATCTATCTATCTATCTATCTATCTATCTCTATCTATCTATCTATCTATCTATCTATCTATCTATCTATCTACCTATCTATCTACCTACCTACCTACTACATCTATCTATCTATCTATCTATCTATCTATCTATCTATCTATCTATCTATCTATCTACCTACCTACCTACCTACCTCCTACCTCTATCTATCTATCATCTACTTACCTACCTACCTACCTACCTCTCTCTCTCTACCTATCTATCTACCTACCTACCTACCTATATCTATCTATCTATCTATATCTATCTATCTATCTATCTATCTATCTATCTATCTATCTATCTATCTATCTACCTATCTATCTACCTACCTACCTACTACCTCTATCTATCTATCTATCTATCTATCTATCTATCTATCTATCTACCTACCTACCTACCTACCTACCTACTACCTCTATCTATCTATCTATCTATCTATCTATCTATCTATCTATCTATCTACCTACCTACCTACCTACCTACCTACCTACCTCTATCTATCTATCTATCTATCTATCTATCTATCTATCTATCTATCTATCTATCTATCATCTATTCCTATCTATCTATCTACCTACCTACCTACCTATCTATCATCTCTTGTAAGTAAACCCCCACACACAAAATATGGTACAATGTGGCTTTTTTAGAAGCCTCGTGGCTACCATCTTTTCCTTTTTTGACCCTATTCCCTTCTCCCATTACCCAGCCTTCTGAGCCTATCCCCCCCACCCCTAATTTCCCGCATGGGAGCCCCCCTCCCCAGTAAAGTCTTCCCAGCCAGATGCAAACATCCAGCAGGGTCATTTGGTCATATTGACACACCGGATACCTTGTGTGGGTTTGTGTGGGGAGGGGGTCCTCAGCTGTCTTTGTGAAGAGGCTGCCAGAGGCCCCACCCCTGGCTTGAGTCCCTGTATGAAAAACAGACCAGCCACCCTCTCTCGCGAGTGGGGTGGGGGGGCTGTCCTACCTCTCTCCATAGGGCTGGGGGCCTGCTAAAAAAAAACCCATTTCTTTTTCCAAGATTGGATACAGCAAGAATGAGGAGGGGGCTGCCCCCAGAGGGGTGGGGGTCTTTCTCCTGATAGCCCTGGCAGCTGGCATTGGCCCATCGCCCTTAGATCCATCCCTTCACCCCCACCCCCATGGGAGGAGTCCTTAGTCCAAGCCACCGAGGGGACCCACAAGTGTCTCAGCTGGGCATCTCTGCCAAGTGGGCAACCCCCCCCCCCGCCCCATTGCAAAGGCTGCCCTCACCCAATCCTCTGCCCCACCCCCCTTGCCAGTAACTGCCAGGGAAGGGGAGGCATTAGCTGGCTGTTAAGGGGGCTTTCCCACAGGGGCCCCTGCAGGTTTGCAAATGAAAAGGAATTTAATCCCGCTAATTTTTTTTAAAAAAAAACCCCCAGGGGATCATTTGGCTCTGCAGGAGGCATAAGAGCCCCCCCAGAGCCCCTCCTGATGCCAGGGCTTTTTCATGCATTTCCTGTAATCCAGCATCATAGAATCAGAGTTAGGGGTCTCTCAAGGACATCTAGTCCAACCCCCTGTTCATGCAAGACCCACTAAGGATCGGAGACTTCAACTCCCAGAATTGGAGCGACAGATATTCTCTTTTGGCAAGCCTCCCAGAATTCCCCAGCGAGAGTGCTTTAAGCTGGGTGGACTTCGACTCCCAGAATTCCCCAGCCAGCTTTTCTTAAATCGGATGGACTTCAAATCCCAAAATTCCCCAGCATGCATGCTTTAAGATATCTGGACTTCGACTCCCAGAATTCCCCAGCGAGAGTGCTTTAAAATGGATAGACTTCGACTCCCAGAATTCCCCAGCCAGCATACTTTAAGATGTCTGGACTCCAATTTCCAGAATTCCCCAGCCAGCCATGCTTTAAGACGTCTGGACTCAAATTCCCAGAATTCCCCAGCCATCATAGATGTCTGGACTCCAATTCCCAGAAATCCCCAGACATCATAGATGTCTGGCCTCAAACTCCTAGAATTCCCCAGCCAGCCACTTTAAGATGTCTGGACTCGAATTCCCAGAATTCCCCAGCCATCATAGATGTCTGGCCTCAAACTCCTAGAATTCCCCAGCCAGCCATGCTTTAAGATGTCTGGACTCGAATTCCCAGAATTCCCCAGCCATCATAGATGTCTGGCCTCAAACTCCTAGAATTCCCCAGCCAGCCATGCTTTAAGATGTCTGGACTCGAATTCCCAGAATTCCCCAGCCATCATAGATGTCTGGCCTCAAACTCCTAGAATTCCCCAGCCAGCCATGCTTTAAGATGTCTGGACTCGAATTCCCAGAATTCCCCAGCCATCATAGATGTCTGGCCTCAAACTCCTAGAATTCCCCAGCCAGCCATGCTTTAAGATGTCTGGACTCGAATTCCCAGAATTCCCCAGCCATCATAGACGTCTGGACTCCCATTCATCCACATATAATCTCTTCCGTTTTCCCTTTCACAAAAACCGTCCTCAGGATGATTTCGTCAACCAGATTCTTCTGTTGTCTTGACTCATTTCATTTCATTTATTTATTTATCACAATTTAGGATCCTCCCGTCTCCCTCCCAGAAATGCTGCACCCAAAAAAAAAAAAAAAAGGCATTAAAAACATAAAAACGAGGCGTGAAAGATTTAAAGTAGAGGCAAGGGGCGTTAAAATTTGACGTGAAAAGTGAATTTTTGCCACCGCGGAGGGTCAGAAAAATCACAAGAAACTGTCTCAGGCCGTCCTCGATTTAACGGCCATTCATTTAGCGACCGAAGTTGCGACAGCCCTGGAGAAAGCGACTAACAACCAGTTCTCGCATTTACAACCGTCATTAGGGTTTCCCTAAAGTCACGTGATCAAAATTCGGATGCGGGGCCAACCGACTCGTATTTATGACGGTCGTCGCATCCCGGGGTCACGTGATCCTCTTTTGATACCTTCTGACAAGCCAGGTCCATTGGGGGGGGGAAGGGGGGGAAAGGCCGGTTTTGCTTAACGACTGTGTGACTAACTTAATAGCGACTCATTTAACAACTGCCTGAGTCACTTTACGACGTGTTATTAACCGAACTACAGTGATTTGCTTAAGAAGCCTGGCAAAAATTGGATGCAACTCACTTAATAACCAACTTGGTGAAGAACAAAAATTCTGGGCCCAATTTTGGTCGTAAAACGAGGACTACCTGTGGCTCCTTTTCGGCCTAGGACTATTTATTATGTGTCGGAGCACAACTTTGGCTGGCTACAGATTTCTGATTTTTGGCTGCGCCTATACAAGGTGTCCTCGATTTACGACAGTCCGTTTAGTGACCGTTTGAAGTTACGACAGCACTGAGAAAAGGGACTTAGGCCCGTTTTTCACTCTTACAACCGTTGTAGCATTCCCATGGCCATGGGAACAAAATTCAGACTCTTAGCAACTGACTCGTACTTATGACGTTTGCAGTGTCCTGAGGGCACACGATCCCCTTTTGCGACCGCCTGACAAGCAAAATCCAGGGGGAAACCAGATTCACTTAACAACTGGGTTACTCACTTAACAACGGCAGCGATTCACTTAACATCTGTGGCAAGAAAGATTGTAAAACAGGGCTAAAATTCACTTAACAACTCTCTACTTAGCAACATAAATTTGGGCCTCACTTGTGGTCGTACGTCGAGGACTATCTATGTACAGAGTAACTCTCTCCTTTCCACATGTTCAATATCAGACAACCTTTTGAATAAGCATCATTATTATTATTTTTTTTAATTATGGAATGATTAATTGTATTAACCAGTGGAACTGCTTGCCACCAGAAGTTGTGAATGCTGCATCCCTGGAGGTTTTCAAAAAAACCAGAGTGGACAACCATTTGACCACGATGATATAAGGTCTCCTGCCTTGAGGAGAGAGCTGGACCTACGACCTCAACTGAGCCCAAAGCCTCCGTTACTAAACGAGACAGTTTTTACGTGATTTTTTGCCCCATTTACAATGTCATTAATTCAATCACTGCAGTGGTTAAGTTAGTAACAGCGTTATTTTAAATGACTCCTGCTTTCCCCGTTGATTTTGCTCGTCAGCAGGTCGCCAAAGGGGATCCCCGGGGACACTGCGACCGTCATAAATACGAGTCAGATGCCAAGCGTCCCAATTTTAACCCACAAGACGCCGTAACAGTCAGAAGCGTGAAAAATGATCATGTCCCTTTTTTTTTCCAGTGCCGTTGTAACTTCAAACGGTCACTAAACGAACTGCCGTAAGTCAAGGACACCCTGTGTAGGAGACCTCCGAGGTCCGTTCTAGCCATTTAGGACTCTATGGTGTAAGCCGAATATTGTTGAATTTTTCAGGCGGGGGAGAGAGAGAGCTTCAAAGGGATCTCTGACCTCATCAGCCGCTGATCAAAAAAGATCTCCGGGATCAAAAAAAAGTCTTCCCTGAGTCGGCCTCGGTTGTCCCCATCTGCGAAATGGGCACAAGCCCCAGGCCGAATCGGCGCAGAGAAAGACAAATATTACAAACCCAGGACAGGGGAAATTAAAGGAGTGCGTTGTGGAGGTGTATGTGTCACGAAAAAGTTAATATACAACTCCGAAGGCGCCTTGGGGGAGCTGGCACGGGGCCAAGGCCGGAGTCACCCACGGAAGAACCTGGGGGTGGGCTGGCGGGGGAGAAGGAATGTCTACATTTGTGCCTCCTTCCCCTTGCAAAAACAGGGCTTTTATTTGGCCCTGATAATGATTACCTGCCACGCCAGGTGAGCCAACGCTCCAAAACTTTTTTTTCCCCCTGCCTGGAAAAAAAAAATCCTGGGTGGAAAAGGAGACGGGGAGGGGAAAGTGGGGGGGGGGGGGGAGACCAGAGGGGAAGGGAAGGGGGGCAGAACTGCTGGGGGGGAAAAAATCCCAATGCAGAACCAGAAGTCAAGCAGACAGATTTAATTTCTTAATTAAGAAATTTAGAGATCAAACGGAGGAAGGGAGGGAGGAAGAAAAAGAAAGAAGGAAGGAAGGAAGGAAGGAAAAAAGAGGGAGGGGAGGGAGGGACGAAGGAAGGAGATATAGGTTAGATTTATTTATTTATTTAGCGTATGGCTGGTCACACACAATATTAAAACACTTCATTTTTACAGGTTAAAACAATTAAAACAATTTTAAAAAAGCAGTAAGAGGTTAGAAAGAAAGAAGGAAAGAAGGAAGGAGGGAGGAAGGAAGGAAGGAAGGGCACACAGCTGGCCAGAGAAAGCGGGAAAGGCCCCCCCCCTCTTTGGAAGTTTTGGGAGACTTCTATACCCCCCCACCCCAAATTCTCTGCCCCCCAAGCCCCGCTCACCTGCGATCCGCGGAGAGAGTTTCGCTCCGTCTGTAGTGGCAGCCGAATCTGCTTTCTTTTCTTCTCTCTCTCTCTTTCTTTCCTTCCTTCTTTCCTTCCTTCCTTCCTTCCTTCCTGGACGGGCAGCCAAGGAAGGCGGGCGGCTCCCCCACGCCTCCCCCGCGCCTCACCTGGCCGCCAGGTGGGAGGAGGCGGAGGCGGGGTTGGGCAGGGACAAGCTGCCCGCCCGGGGCCGCCGGGACTTCCCACCTGCGTGGGACAGGTGAGGCGCCACGCAGGTGGGGGAAAAAAATCCCGCTGGCCAGCAGGTCGCTTTCCCCCCCACTCCTACCACGGTGGTCTCTCTCTCTCTCTCTGGAGACCCCCGGACCTGTGCGTGGGTGTTTTTTGCGCGTTTGTGTCTTATTTGTCTGTGTGTTTTTGGGTGCTCGCGTGTCTTTTTGCCCTGCGTGGTGTTTTTTCTTTGTCTTGCTGAGGGTCGACTTGGATGGGTGATGGATGGATGGCGCTGCGAGGGTCTGGGGGCTGCGGGAAGCCGGCGGAGAGAGGATGCGGGAGGGCTGGGTGGGCGCCGGGGAAATAGAATAGAATAGAATAGAATAGAATAGAATAGAATAGATAGAATAGAATAGAATAGAATAGAATAGAATAGAATAGAATAGAATATTGGAATGAAGAGTAGAGTAGAGTAGAGTAGAGTAGAGTAGAGTAGAGTAGAGTAGAGTAGAGGAGAAGAGAAGAGAAGAGAGAAGAGAAGAGAAGAGAAGAGAAGAGAAGAGAAGAGAAGAGAATAAAGAAAATATGGAATGGAGTGGAGTGGAATGGAATGGAATGGAATAGAATATTGGAATGAAGAGGAGAGGAGAGGAGAGGAGAGGAGAGAAGAGAAGAGAAGAGAAGAGAAGAGAAGAGAAGAGAAGAGAAGAGAAGAGAAGAGAAGAGAAGAGAAAGAAAATATGGAATAGAATAGAATAGAATAGAATAGAATAGAATAGAATAGAATAGAATAGAATAGAATAGAATATTGGAATGAAGAGTAGAGGAGAAGAGAAGAGAAGAGAAGAGAAGAGAAGAGAAGAGAAGAGAAGAGAAGAGAAGAGAAGAGAAGAGAAGAGAAGAAAATATGAAATGGAATGAAATAGAATAGAATAGAATATAGAATAACAGAGTTGGAAGGGACCTGGGAGGTCTTCTAGTCCAACCCCCTGCTTAGGCAGGAAATCCTCCACCACTTCAGACAAGTGGTTATCCAACATCTTCTTAAAAATTGGGGAGATTTGCCCCTCGATTGGGTTTCAGGACATGGGGCTTCTTCTCATCCCCTTCTCCCCACCCAGAGCCTGGCACTCAGATGCCCTTCCCAAAAAAGCCACATGCCTGCCTCCTCCAGCTGCCCCTCCCCAATTTACACAGCTGGAACTTGGCTCATAACACGGGGGGGGGGTTGGTTGGTGGGGAGGGGTCCATGGCTAGCAACTATGCCCTAACTCACCAGCTTGCAACTGTGCCCTGCCCGCTCGCCCTTGTATCTTTTTTAATATATCTATATCTACATCTATATCTACATCTACATCTACATCTACATCTACATCTATCTATCTATCTATCTATCTATCTATCTATCTATCTATCTATATTATTTATACATTTTTCTTTAGAAAACATCAAAACTCAATATCTGCCTGAACAGTGTGTTGTCTGGGTACAGTTAGTTTTGAAAAATAATACTCATAACAACAACAATATTCATAACATTGATCATAATCACATAATAATAATAGTAAATATTATTTAGTTAGTTAATAGTTAACAATATAAGATTATTTGCTTATAGGCCGTCACTGTATACCAGTAGTTAATCATTCTCTTAAACTTCCGAGTTTCTCGCTTCTCTTTCTGTCAACTAACCATAGATAAAACGAGTTCCACGTTAAAAAAAATTAAAAATTCTGTTTTTTCCTTCTCCTTTCTTTTGAGTGTTAATCTATCCATCTCTGCGCATTCTAATATATTTTTTTTAAATTACACTTTCCTCTGTAGGGATGTCTTCATTTTTCCACTGTTGTGCAAACACAATTCTCGCTGCTGTTAACACATGTAAAAATTAAATATGTATTCTCTTTATTGTACTTTTCTGGCAAAAATAACCAACAAGAATATTTCTGGTTCTGCTCGCCCTTATCTCTTTCGGACCCACCGTGGGGCACGAAAGCCCCAAAATGTGGGGCTTTCCTTGCCCACTTCCGGTCGCCATCTTGACTTTTTTGACACACACACCCCCCGCCCTATTTGGATGCTTTCAGGTGAAGGAGCCCTTTTGGTTTTTTCCTGCATAAAATGCAATTTGTGGTGCTTTGCATAAAACTCTTTGGACGGCTTTGATTGACATTGGAGCCCTGCTGTGCCCCTCCCCCCCACAGCTCTGGCCCCTCCCCTTTGGGGGTCTTGTCTGGGGCTCAAGGAGAGAGCCCCCCCATGGCTGTTGCAATGGAGGGGAGGTGGGGGGGCTTGTTCCCCAAATATTGGCCTGCAAATCATTACCTGGCACTCTAAATCCAGGGATTTAGTGCTCTGCTTTTAATACCTGTTGGTATACAGGTAATCCTCAATTTACATCCATTCATTTAGTGAACGCTCGAACTTACAATGGCACCGGAAAAAAAATGGGGCTATTTTTCACACTTAACGACCGTTACAGCATCCCCGTGGTCAAGGGATCAGAATTCAGACCCTTGGCAACTGACTCGTATTTATGACGGACGTAGTGTCCCGAAGTCATGTCGTCTCCTATTGTGGCCTTCTAAACCAGTAAAAGTCCAGAGGGAAGGTGGAGTCACTTAACAACGAAGTTACTCACTTATCGACGGCGGGTGATTCGCTTCACAACCGTGTCAAGAAAGGTCGTAATAGAGAGCAGAATTCACTTTCACAACTCTCTCGCTTAGCAATGGAAATGCTCCTGCTTGGGCTCCTGCAAGCTCCCTTACAACTCTGTTATTGTTATTCTGCTATTCTTTTTTCCTTCCTTCCTTCCTTCCTTCCTTCCTTCCTTCCTTCCATCCTTCCTTCCTTCCTTCCTTCCTTCCTTCCTTCTTCCTTCCTTCCTCCTTCCTTCCTTCCTTCCTTCCTTCCTTCTTCCTTCTTCCTTCCTTCCTCCTTCCTTCCTTCTTCCTTCCTTCCTTCCTTCCTTCCTTCCTGTTGGACTAGATGATGTCCAAGCTCTCTTCCAGCTCTGTTATTCTTCTATTCTTTTTCCTTCCTTCCTTCCTTCCTTCCTTCCTTCCTTCCTTCCTTCCTTCCTTCCTTCCTTCCTTCCTTCCTTCCTTCCTTCCTTCCTTCCTGTTGGACTAGATGACGTCCAAGCTCTCTTCCAGCTCTGCTATTATTATTCTGCTATTCTTTTTTCCTTCCTTCCTTCCTTCCTTCCTTCCTTCCTTCCTTCCTTCCTTCTTCCTTCCTGTTGGACTAGATGACGTCCAAGCTCTCTTCCAGCTCTGCTATTATTATTCTGCTATTCTTTTTTCCTTCCTTCCTTCCTTCCTTCCTTCCTTCCTTCCTTCCTTCCTTCCTTCCTTCCTTCCTGTTGGACTAGATGACGTCCAAGCTCTCTTCCAGCTCTGCTATTATTATTCTGCTATTCTTTTTTCCTTCCTTCCCTTCCTTCCTTCCTTCCTTCCTTCCTTCCTTCCTTCCTTCCTTCCTTTGGGTTGGACTAGATGACCTCCAATCTCCCTTCCAGCTCTGTTATTTTGGGCTCAATTGTGGACTGCCTGTATATTCTGCGCAACGGTTTGACTTAGAATAGAATAGAATAGAATTCTTTATTGGCCAAGTGTGATTGGACACACAAGGAATTTGTCTTTGGTGCCTACGCTCTCAGTGTACATAAAAGAAAAGATACATGCATCAAGAACCATAAGGTACAACACTTAATGATAGTCATAGGGCACAAATAAGCAATCAAATATTAATATAAATGTAAGGATATCAGCAACAAGGTTACAGTCTTAAAAGTCATTAGTGGAAGGAGATGGGTGGTGGCAACGATGAGAAGATTAATAGTAGTGCAGACTTAGTAAATAGTTTGACAGTGTTGTGGGAATTAGTTGTTAAGCGGAGTGATGGCATTTGGGAAAAAACTGTCCTTGTGTCTAGTTGTTCTGGTGTGCAATGCTCTATAGTTGTTTTGAGGGTAGGAGTTGAAACAGTTTACGTCCAGGAGGATGCGAGGGGTCTAGTAAATATTTTCCCAGCCCTCTTTTTGACTCGTGCAGGATCCAGGTCCTCCATGGAAGGCAGGTTGGTAGCCATGGTTTTTTCTGCAGTTCTAATGATCCTCCGAAGTCTCCGTCTCTGCCTTGTTGGGTTGCAGAGCCAAACTCAGAGAACTGGAAGCCTTAAAAACCAGCAAGCTAAACGGTTCCTAGATTCGGTGGCATTGCAGCTACTCACACTGGCTGTTTGTTTCTGCCACCCACGCAAATCGCTCCAAGCCACGGACAAGAGAGCTGTGCTGACACACCGTCTGCATCACAAACGCATCACAAACACGGAAGGGTTGCCAAAATCCAGCTGGGCACACGCCACGGGGGGGGGCCCTCCAGAGGTCCTCCATCCGTGGCGAGGCCGGGCTTGTTCACATCCCTGCTCTGCCAACTCCACCCTTGCACGCCCGGCGTGAACAAAGTTGTGTTTGCTCGGAGATGTTCACACACACACGTGTCTCTTCTTTTGGTGTTAGCACCTGTTTTTTTTTTATATATATTATTTTAATTATGAACGGAATGTAATTTTATTTGATGATTTTATATTTCATCTGACTTATTTTATTGGCTGATTTTACTAGTATGATTGTATTGTCTTATATCTTATTTTACTTTTTAATATTTAATTTCACTGGCCATCACTTTATTTTATTGCTTTTTTAGTTTTGTTATTATTATCGTGTTGTGTTGCGTTGTGTTGCATTATTTTGTTTTGCTCTAAAGTTGTGGGTGCTTTCATCCCTGGAGGTTTTCAAGAAGAGACTGGACAGCCACTTGTCTGGAATGGTGTAAGGTCTCCTGTTTGAGCAGGGGGTTGGACTAGAGGACCTCCAAGGCCCCTTCCAACACTGTTATTCTAATAATTAACCAGTGGAACTCCTTGCCACCAGATGTTCTGGGTGCTTTCATCCCTGGAGGTTTTCAAGAAGAGACTGGACAGCCACTTGTCTGGAATGGTGTAAGGTCTCCTGTTTGAGCAGGGGTTTGGACTAGAGGACCTCCAAGGCCCCTTCCAACACTGTTATTCTGTTATTTTATTTTACTTTTTAAATTTAATTTCGTATTTTATTTTACAAAACGACCGCAAGTGCGGTTGTAACTTCGAACGTCCCTAAATGAACAGGTTGCAAGAAGAGAAAAACCTCTATTTTACCAGTATGTTTATTATTTTCTTTATTAAATTTTGATGCTGTCCGTTCTTCCCCTTACGAGGTGACGACTCCCAAAGTTATAAAACCAGGAAAAAGAATTAAAACACGGACAGTCATCCAGGTGAGAAAGATTGCTTCAAATATGAAACAATGGCCCATTTAATTCAATCCTAAAAACTCATTTTTTTAAAAAAAATATATATATATACTTTTTAAAAAAAATATACACGCATGCCTGTTTGTGTAAATACAGCCAGCTCTCTCGGTGGGAAAGGTTACAGAGCTCATGTTCTTGCCCGCCCATTTTCCACGTCTCCTCCCTCTTACACGCTTGCTGCTGGCGTGCCTAAGGACACATAAAAGATTACGAATTTTCTCCCTGTCTTCTTATTTTCTTCCAACCTCAGGACGGAACCGAAACCTGCAAAGATAAAAAGGAAAAAAACAAAAGAAAAATTTCTGTCCAGACAATCCATTTTTAGTGACCTGTTTTTGGAAGGTGATTCATGCTACACGCATGTCAAACATGCCACGTGCTACTCTCTGCAGGCATTTCCCAGAATCCCCTGCTCGGTGCTAGCTCAGAATTCTGGGAAATTACTCCCGACACACTGGAGTTGGTGGGGGTAGGATGCTGCGGTGGGTACGGGTAGTCCTCGAGCTACGCCCACAATCGACGCAGAGCGAGACATATTAAAAGTGAGTTTTGCCCCGTGTTACGACCTTTCTTGCCTCCGTCGTTAAGCGAATCACTGCAGGGGTTAAGGTAGCAACGCGGGGATGAAGTCCTCGGCTTACGACCCCGATGGAGCGAAGCGAAGCAGTTGTTAAAACGAATTTTTTTCCCCGTTTTCTCGTCTTTCTAGTCTAGCCACCGTTGTTAAACGAATCACTGCGCTTGTTCTGTTAGTGACGTGGTCGTTAAGGGAATCTGGCTGCCCCGTTGACTTTGCCCGTCAGACGGCCCCAAAGGGGATCGTCTGACACCCCCCCCCCGGGGACGCCGCGACCGTCATAAAGTATGAGTCAGGTGCCAACGGGGATGGTGCAAAGGTGTGAAAATTGATAAGTCAGTTGTTGTTCAGCCCTGTTGTTACTTTGAACAGTCACTAAATGAGGTGTTGTAAGTCGAGGACTATCGGTACAAAGAAGAGACCCCATTTGGACGAGGGGGTGATCCTTAAACCCAGTTAGGATGACTAAAGAGCTAAATTATGCAGTGTTTGTCAGCCACGGGAAGTTTAAGGTGGGTGGACTTCAACTCCCAGAATTCCCCAGGCCTGGGGGATTCTGGGAGTTGAAGTCCACCCATCTTAAATTTAAGATTGTGATCATTGGATTCACCAAAGACTTGGGCTGTATTCACACAACCCACTGAAACACAAGCTAGCCAACATTGTTTGAGCCAAGCCAATCTTTTTCAAACTGGACTGCTTGCAAATGGGTGGACTACAACTCCCAGCATGCCGGCTGGGGAATTCTGGGAATTGAAGTCCTTTAATCTCCAAGTGGCCACGTTTGAAAAAGGTTGGCCATTGTTTCGGCCAAGCCAGGATTCTACAAACTTTGACCCGCCGTATAGGTGTCGAGACAAAGTTTTGGGGTTTATCCGAGAGGGGTTTGTTTCCATGGTGCCATGGAAAAGCCCCTTCCCCATTCAGCCCCCCCCCCTCCGGCCATCTGCCCCCCTTTCCCGGGGACGTCCACTCACTCTACTGCACAGGAGACCAATCCAAGAAAGAAGCAGGACCCAGAAATGTAGAGGCACAGCTGGATGATCTTTGGCAACCCCTGGTATTCTGTGGGGCAGAAGAGAAGCAGACAGGCTGGAGAGGTTGGAGGGGAAGGAAAGGAGGCAGGAATTGAGGGCAGTGGTCCCAGAGAGCGGGGATTCACCGCACTCTTAGCATTTGTGCAGCTGAGCCACCGTTTATCGGCGGAACTCCCCGCCACAAGATTTGTGTATTAGAGCAGCAGAGAGGGAGGGAGAACAGCCCCTTAGAAGAGGCTTAAGGAGGGGGATGGAAATGGGAGGAAAGTGGGAGAACTGGGGAGGCTCGGCCAGGGAGGGAGGGTCCTGCTTCCCACCCCCCAGGGGGTCAAGAGAGAAAGGAGGCGGGGCCAGCCCCTCACCTGGATAGCAGGTCCTCATATCCCAACAGCGAATCTCCGCCCGGCGACAGGTAGAACAATTGAAGAGAGAGGCCACCACATCTGGAGGAAGGAACCCACAAAGGGATGATAGTTTACCACCACAAAGAGACACAACATTTCGATTTTGCATAGCAGGCTGGAGGATTCTGGGAATTGAAGTCCACCCGTCTTGGAAAGTGGCCATGTTTGGAGACCCCTGATTTGAATCCCAGCAGGGCAAAAAAGTCAAAATGGCAGCCGTACGTAAAAAATTAGACGTGGTTTGGCACAAACGTGAGGGCCATTTTGACCTCTTCTGACCTCCTTGGAGTCCTAAATCAGTTTCACAGGCCTCACTGTGATAAAAATGAATTCTTCTAGCTTCTCTCTTCCTCTTTTCTGCCAGAGCTATAACAATATTTGTTTTCCTAGGTCATACAGTCCTCAACTTACAACCATCCATTTAGCGACCGTTACAACGCTGCCGAAAAATGTAACTGACTACCATTTTTTCACACTTACGACCGTCGTGGACATCCCCGCGGTCACCCGATCAAAATTCAGACGATCGGCAACTGAGTCACGTTTACGACCGTCGCAGTGTAACACCGATGGCAAGAAAGAGGATAAAAGGGGGAAAATTTCATTTAACAAATGTGCTGCTTCGCTCAATTGTGGTCGTAAGTCGAGGACTATCTAATAATAATTATTAATAATAATAATAATTATTATTATTATTATCTTTTATTCATTAAATACAAAACTCAGTCAACTGATCATTTAAACTGAGTTTCATGTTTAATGAATAAAAGTAAATTATTATTACTATCATTATTAGTAGTATTATTTGTATTATCCGTATTATTATTATTATACTTTTATTCATTAAACATGAAACTCAAGTCAACTGAACATTTAAAAATGTATCACAAATATTATTGACTGGCACTGATGGTTATTATTATTATTATTATTATTATTATTATTATTATTTGTATTTGTATTTGTATTTGTATTTGTATTTGTATTATTTGTATTTATATTATTATTATTTGTATGATTATTATTTTACACCTTTCTGCCCCCATCCCTAACGGCAGCTTACCGGAACTTAAAAATGCAAAACACAAACACCAATGCAATTAAAATGAAAATTGGCCTTTTAAGATTAATTGCTGGTCATTAAAATAATTATCCGTCCGAGGGTTTTCAGGAGGAAAACTTACGACAGGCAGGTGGACACAGAGCTAGAGAGAGAGAGAGAGAGAGAGAAGAAACATCACATAAAAATGAAAGCAGAGATACTCCCCCAAACAAATATCCCCCAGATAATGAAAAATTCAGAGCAAACCTTTGTCTGATAATTATTGAGGACTAGATCCTTGTGCGATTTGCAAAACTTTCCAGGACAAAAGACGCTTTGGGAATTCGGGTGTGCTGTTGTTGCACATTTATTGTGTTAAAATCAATTAATTGAATTTATATGCTGCCCGTCCCACGCCATCCAAAATGACAGCCGGACAAATACTTTGATGTCTCTCCATTATCCAATACTCCTAATCTATCTATTATTATTTCTTTGAATTTTATTTTATTTTTTAAATCCTCCCTTCGTAATAAGTAACTCCTGGGACTGTAAGATCCTTTCGTCCCGAGAGTCAACGCCCTTTTGCAGACAGGATCCCCAAATGTCAAGATCAGAAGGAACCCTCGAGGTCATCCAGCCTGACCCCGCCCTGCCAGCTCAGCTCCCTCTCTGAGGAAGGTCCCACGATGCAAACCCTTCTGCGCCCCCCGGATTTGATGCTAGTTGTAAAACACAGGCAGTCCTCGATTTACAACCGTTCATTTAGTGACCGTTCAAAGTTACAACGGCACTGAAAAAATGAGCCACATTTCACACTTAACGACCCTGTGGTCACGTCATCAAAATTCAGACAACTGACTCATTATTTTTGATGGTTGCGGCGTGTGACTCACTGAACGACTGCAGTGATCCGTTTAACAACCATTAGCCAAAAAAAAAAAAGGGGTTCATTGAAGGGGGCATAGGCAGCCCTCTTGACAACTGTCTCGCTCATCGACAGAAATCCTGGGCTCGATTGCGGTCGTAAGTCGAAGACTGCCCTTATTTGAAACGGGGCTGCCGAGAGTCCCGTTTGGGGGCGTCCCTGGGAGACGATGGGCAGGCTTCTATCCGAACCCGCCTCTCGGTGCCGAGTGCGAAACAGCCCATCTTAAGGAAAGCAGGCAGGCAGACTGACCCCGCCCCAAGCCAAACCCCGCCTCCCCCCCAAAGACCCGAGTGCGGATTCTCCCACCTTCTCGGGTCTCGCTTGGGATCTTCACCTCGTGCAGCCAATTCCAAAACTTCGGGAGATCCGTCAAACTTTGCTTTATTTCTAAGGAAAAGAACGGGAGGGGTGGAGTAGTCTTCCAGAGCTTTGGACTACAACTCCCAGCGTCCCCGGCCATGCTCAGAGGCTGCCTGGAGCAATGGATTTGGGGGCCAGCCAGGCCCTTGAACCCCGGCCGAAGCCCCAGGGGACTCAGGGACTCCCTTACCCATCACTCTGAGCACCCGATGGGCTTTCTCCAGGAGGAGGTCCAGGGCTGCCTCATCTGGGGGCGAGAAGACAGAGAAAGGAGGGTCCTTGTTGGAATCCAGGACTGGACCTGTGGGATATCTGCCTGGGGGAGAAAAGTCGGTGGCCCAACCCTATTTGATCCTGAAGCCCCAGAACTGGCGTAGGGTGTCAATTCTGTGCTGTTCGGCCCGTCCTACCTCGCAGGGCTGTTGTTACGAGACTCAGCATCCCTTCCAGCTCTATTCTGATTGATTGATGTGGTCTAGGGTCTCCTAATTTATTTATTTATATTTATTTATTTCAAATTTATATACCGCACCTTCTCCCGAGGGACTCAGGGCGGTGTACAGCCAAATAAAAAAAAACATACAATACAAACGTTAAAAACCACTAAAAAGATATATATATATATATTAATTTGGCCCCCGTTTAAAATAACAAACCAATTAAAAATATTTTAAATATATATATATTAAGCCAGGCTGGTTTTGCTGAAAAAATAAAGTTTTAAAGGCACGGCGGAAGGCAACGAGGTCTTGAGCAGGGGGGTGGACTAGAGGACCTCTAGGGTCCCCCCCAGCTCTATTCTGATGGATTGATTGATGTTACGACCGACCCGAAAAAAGGGAACTTACGACCTGGATCTGAAGTTCCGACGATCAATGCCCCCCCCCCGGCGGATCCAAAAAACCAGGGGTGGGGGGGCACATTGGAACCTAAAGCCCCCCCCTTCCCCGATGTAGGGTAACTTCCCTCCTATGGATATTGTGTGGGGTGCCTCCCCCTCCTTCTCCATCACTCCCCCAGGTTGAAATCCTGGGGTCTCCCTCTACCTAAGGCGAAGTCCCGGACGGCCTTTGACCCCCAGGGGTACTTGGAGCAGCCCCCCCGGCCGAAACGCTCTCGGTAGCGGGCACAGAGGTGGGCAAAACGCATCTTCAGGTTTTTGAACTGATGCCCGCAGTGGAGGCAGCCCTCCGTGGCTCCCCCGGCCAGGAGGAAGAGGAGGAGGATGAGGAAGAGGAGGACGGCTGGGGTGGGTGATGAGCCCCCTTGAAACAGGGACCCCGGGCAGGGGGCTGCTGGAGGGCCCATGGGGAGTACCACGTGGGCGGAGCCAGGAAGGGGTGGGCGGGGCCCTGGGGGTTCTCCGGAACCCCGTTTCCATGGTCTGTTTGGCCACGGGTTCTAGAGCTTGCTGTGTCGTTTGGGCCTGGCAAGAATCTTAGAATCATAGAAACCATTAAGGCAGGAAGGGACCCTGGAGGTCATCCAGTCTGACCCCCCTTAGGGGCCCAAGGCAGGAGTCCTTCTTCTACCACCCCAAATGACAAATCATTGAATAAATGAAGGGAAGATACAGATATATTTAAGAGATGTTAAATATGGATATATTTATATACTATATGATATGAGCCATCACTGGAGGCTTCCAAGAAGAGGTTGGACTGCCATCGGTCAGAAATGGGGTAGGGGCTTCCTGCTTGGGCCGGGGGTTAGACTAGATGACCTACAAGGTCCCTTCTGACTCTCGTTATTCTGTAAACTGCCCAGAGTCCCTTGGGAATTGGGCGGCATAGAAATGCGATAAATTAAATTAAATTAAATTAAATGGACATAAATTCTGGGTCTGCTTTTGGTCAGTAAAACTTTACCGGGAGTTTAGCGCCTAGGAAGTCCTCGGGTTATGACCACAACTGAGCTAAGGAAACAGTTGTCAGGTGAATTGTGCCTCATTTCACGACCTTTCTTGCCCCCGTTGCTAAGCGAATCGCTGCAAACTGTAGAGCGAGACACACCGTTGTTAAATGAATCTGGTTTTCCCCACGGGCTTGGCTTGTGAGAAGGGGGATCGCACATGATCCCGGGGACGCTGAGATCGTCATCAACACGAGTCAGCTTGCCAAGCATCTTGAATTTTGATCACGTGCCCACGGGGATGCTTCGACGTGTGAAAAACGGCCATAAAAATCACTGTTTTTCAGTGCCCTTTTAACTTAGAATGGTCACTAAGCGAGCGGTTCCAAGTCAAGGACTGCCTTTCATCTGTGGCTTTTTGCCGGCTTCACGCATTTCGGTTGTTATCCTCAAAGTTGTTTTTGTTGTTTGACCACAACAGAAGCTGCGAAGAAGAAGCTGGGCGCCGGCTCTCCCAAATGGTTGAACTGGTTTTCCCACACCGGGTTGGACTAGATGACCCTTGAGGGTGCTTTCCAAAGGGCATAATTCGAGGATTTTTCCCCAATCAGTCTGGCAGAGGAGTTTCCCCAGCCTGTCGGCTCTACGGCGCCTCGACAATTGACGATTGTGGTGCGGTGTTACTCCACCTTTGCAACTTGAAGTTGGGTGGATTTCAACTCCCAGAATTCCCCAGCCGGCAAGGCCTGATGGGAGGCCTTTCAATCTTGCCTGACTAGGTGGCTCAGTGGCTAAGACGCTGAGCTTGTCGATCAGAAAGGCTGGCAGTTCGGCGGTTCGAATTCCTAGCACAGGTCTCCTGTGTGAGGTTGGACTACATGACCTCGAAGGTCCCTTCCGTTACTGTTACTTCTAATAAAGAGATTTAAAGGCAGTTGCCTGGATGGTGAATTTCCCAGTCGTGCCTGGCCCCTTAAAGATACAGTTAGTCCTCAATTTACAACACTTCATTGAATGACCATTCAAAGTTAAAGATGTTTAAAGATAAATCAGCTAAGTATTGGAAATGTCATACCCAGTTGCCGGGATCATATTATCATATGTGGTGGTTGTGCAAAGAAGCAAAACATTATTGGGTGAAAATACACAAACATGGTTAATAATTTAATTTAATTTAATTTAATTTAATTTAATTTAATTTAATTTAATATTTAAATTTATATACCGCCCTTCTCCAGAAGGACTCAGGGCGGTGAACAGCCAGAAGTAAAAAACATCAAATACAAAATTTAAAAAACAATTAAAAAATATATTAAACAATTTGGCCCGACAGTTAAAATCCCCCATTTAAAAATCCAAATTAAAATTACACAATTGGAGAAATTAGGCCAGCCCGGTTAGAGGGAAGGTTGCAGCAACATATAGCCAGAGATATTCTTACTGGGAATTTTACCAGAGAATTACAGTAAAGAAGATACATATTTGATCATTCATATAATAACAGCGGCTAGAATTGTATTTGCACAAAACTGGAAAGCAGAGAAAATCCCGTTGGAAGGAGAAATGATAAAGCAAATTTTAGAACGTGCAGAAATGAATAGATGAACATTGAGAATAAAAGATAAAAGAGGAGTTGATGTATTTCAAGACGTGGGGAAAACTTTATGATTGGTTAGAAAAGAAATATGAATAAGGGTATAGAGATAAAATAGATAGAGAATAGATGGGAGAAAACAATTAGAAAAATAGATACCCAGATGATGCCAAGTAAAAGGAGAAAGGGGAGTGGGGGGGTAAAAGGGGAAAAAAAGTGAGATATTATAAAAATGTACACAAATGATGAAATAAAAATAAATAATAACTGAATAAGAAATTGAAATGAGAATAAAGATAATTAGGAAATCGGGGCTGCTCGGATACCACTTTAGATTGAACTGAAAAGGGAAACAACAAGAGAGAGGGGTAGGAGTAGAGGAGGACAATGATGACTACTGTGGGGTCCTTGGCGCTGCCTGAGCTTTTCTTATAGACGTTTCATGACCCAGCTAGGGAATATTATCAATGCTAGAAGGAAGGAGGGGGAGGAAGAGGAGGAGGAGAATGGCTGTGGGGTCCTTGGTGCTGGTTTTTTTCTTGTAGACGTTTCATGACCCAGCTAGGGAATATTATCAGTGCTACAAAGGAATGGGGTTTGTGGAGAGGAGGAGGAGGAGGAGGAGGAAGGAGACGACTGAGAGGTCTTTGGGGCTCTCTGAGATTGTCTGTTTTCTTGCAGACGTTTCATGACCCAACTAAGTAACAACATCAGTGATAAAAGGGAGTGGGATTTGCAGAAAGGAGGAGGAGGACTTTTGGGGGGGGTAGTCCTTGGTGCTCTCTGAAATTGGTCATTTCCTTGCAGACCTTTCATGACCCAGCTAGGCAACCTCATCAGCTTCAAAACAAAGCCACCTGAAAGTCGAAGAAACCCTCTGTACATGCTCCAGGGAGGGAGGGGAGGGAGGGGATATTCCACCTGGCCTTTTGCACCTGCAGCCCCTCCCGCTGGACCAGGTGCTTCGGCGGCCTCCTTGGCTCGATTGCCAGGTGCGTTGGAGCCCCCTCCCCGCTTTCAACCCCCCCTCCTCTCCTGCCCCAAACCTTCTGGTCTAAAAACCCCGTCCTTGGAAGCAAAAATAAACTCTCCCTGCACAAGCGGCCAGGTGAGGTGTGAGCAGGGACCACGTGAGGCTCCTTTGCGTGGCAGAGCCGTGCGGAGGAGAACCCGGCCTGGAGTAAGAGGCTTACTCAGACCCGAAGGAGAATGTAGGTCAGCAGCCACCCCTGCCCCGGGCTGTGTGAATCACCCACAAGGAGTGGTGCAAGAGACACACTTTGCAGCATTAGTGTTATCAAAAAATTACACCCTGCCCTGCCAGGTACCATTCGGAGGTGGCCGACGTTCGCCCTGCGTGATTTTGGCCCTCCGAAAACCCCATCAAGAGCATCGGGTTGAGCAGAAAATAAATCATATTAATATTCCGTTATCTCAAAAATAAGATCTTGGAGCAAACTTGGAGCAGGACTTCGAAGATGCCAAAAAAAAAAGGGATTCCGGAACCCAGAAGGCACCGATTCTGGTCCTTGGGCCTTTGATAGAGGGAGGGAGGAAGGGAGGGGGAATGCAGTTCAAAGCAAGATAAAATAGGATAAAAGCAGGTAATAGGGAAAAAAAACTATAATGGACAATCTTTCAATCAGTGTTTTTTCCCCATCTGGACAACATTAAGAGGGGATGGACTTCAATTCCCAGAATTCAACTCCCAGAACCTACCCTCTCTTAAAGTGGCAGGAATTCTGGGAGTTGAAGTCTCACCCCTCTTAAAGTGGCAGGAATTCTGGGAGTTGAAGTCCACTCCTCTTAAAATGGCAGGAATTCTGGGAGTTGAAGTCCACCCCCTCTTAAAGTGGCAGGAATTCTGGGAGTTGAAGTTTACCTCTCTTAAAGTGGTAGGAATTCTGGGAGTTGAAGTCTCACCCCTCTTAAAATGGCAGGAATTCTGGGAGTTGAAGTTTACCTCTCTTAAAGTGGCAGGGAATTCTGGGAATTGAAGTCTCACCCGTCTTAAAATGGCAGGAATTCTGGGAGTTGAAGTCTCACCCCTCTTAAAATGGCAGGAATTCTGGGAGTTGAAGTCCACTCCTCTTAAAGTGGCAGGAATTCTGGGAGTTGAAGTTTACCCCTCTTAAAGTGGCAGGAATTCTGGGAGTTGAAGTCTCACCCGTCTTAAAGTGGCAGGAATTCTGGGAGTTGAAGTCTCACTCCTCTTAAAATGGCAGGAATTCTGGGAGTTGAAGTCCAATCCTCTTAAAGTGGCAGGAATTCTGGGAGTTGAAGTCTCACCCCTCTTAAAGTGACAGGACTTGAGAAACATTTGAGTTAAGGAATCCCCTAAGGCTCTCTGGTTGGTACCTTTTCCCCTTCAGCCCTCTTTACCCCCTCAATAAACCCCACATCCTGCACTGGGCCTCCAAATAAGCCGAATCCCCCCCCCCGCTTCCTGTCCCGGGAGCGCCAGTTGGAGATTTACTGTAGTAAAAAAAAAGAGTCCATCAACAACAATGGAAAGCTCTGCCCTCTGCTGGCCAATGGCTGTTACTGCATGCTGGGTTCAAAACATCTGGTGACCACAGCTTTCCTACTGTAGACATAACTAACCCAGTTTATTTGTGTCCCAGTGGGGGCAGCAGCAGCCCCGTGGGTCTCGGAACAATTCCGCCATGTTGAGTTGAGAATTCTGGGGCTTGTAGTCCGTACGTCTGGCGGAGGCCCGGGGTGGAGGGGAGCTCACAGCTGTTTTAGGAAACTGGGTTGGGGGGTCTCACAATGGACATTAGCTGCTGTACCTCCCCCAAGCCCCCCCTTCCAACCCCCAGGAGAGAGATTGTGATCGTATGACCTTTTCTGCGTGGCTGGTCGTTAAGTGACTGTGGCGGTCGTAAAGCGAGCACCTCGGTCGTTAAATGAAGCAACAGTTCTTTATGGGCTGGTGTATCTGGACCCAGCTCCCGCCGACTCTTTTTCCAACTTTGTGACTATCTGACAATGAGGTGTATCTCTCTCCGTGGCCGCCTCCCCACCCGCTCCCCAAATACAGCAACCCCAGATTTCATACCGAGAGCTCTGGCCTCACAATCAGGAGGCTGTGAGTTCAATCCTAGGTAGAGGCCGATATCTCTCTCTCTCTCTCTCTCTGGGCACACTGAGAATATATCTGCTGAACAAAACTCCTCATTGGCGACAGGAAAGGCATCCGGCCAGAAAACACTCAACTCCATTCAGTTGCCCAGATTCCACCCCGATGCAAGGGATTATGGGGTCGTTAAAAGAAGAGGATGATCACAAGGGAAAACACAAAATTGCCGAGCTTTATTGTCACATGGCAATTGCACACCGAGGGGGGGTTTTTGCGTTCTCGTGAGCTGTCGCAAAGCCCACCCTACCCCATCCCAAACAGGCAGGTCCTTGCGTTGCTCTCGAAGGGCGAGTGTGTGTGTGTGTTTGTGTGTCACACAATTTTTGTGCAACGTCCTTCCCCGTGGGCACCTGAGCCGAGAACACCATTCGTTCGTTCGTTCTTTTGTGTGTCCCGTTGGCCAAACAACAGATTGGAGGAAAGCCGTCTAAGCAGGGGCCCGAATTCTTCTGCCTTTTCAGAGGGGGTTGGACTACATCTCCCATCGTCCCCAGCGGGAGTCATGCCCTTTTCCGACGCAACCCCCCCCCCGCCCTTCGTGCGCAGAAATGGGAAGCTGGTGTGTGAAAACACACGCCATAAATTAGAAGCAAAATAAGTTAAGAAAAGAAGAAGGGATAAACAATAAACAACCCATTATAATTACAGGTTTATCCCACCCCCCAAATTATATTAATTACAAAACGGCAGAAGTGTCAACGGATGGTCCCACGGATTTACATATTCACAGAGTTGGAAGGGACCTTGCAGGTCATCTAGTCCAACCCCCGCATGAAGATTTAGCCAGGATTATTTCATGATAGGTAGTCCTCGATTTACAACCGTCCTGGAACCCGCCCATCGCGGTCGTTAAGTCAAGACGGTCGTAACGTAGCCGTCACCAACGAGATTTGACGATGTTTTTTTGGGCAGTCGTCGTTATGTGACTGCTGCGGTCGTTCAATGAATCAATGGGTGCGTGCGGGCCGGCTTTGCCAAAAACTACTAAAAGCAAATGCCAGTTTTCGGTCATTAAACGAGTCACCTGGCCATGGGATATTGCAAATGGCTGTAAAAACAGACCAGTTTCCAGGAACTAGACTTGTAGTCCGGCGACCACAGGATGGGGGTGTGTCACAACTTTGGAACTGGGTTGCAAGTACCTTCCCCCTCCCCCCCCAGTGGAGGTCCGTTGTAATTCTGGACAGTCGCTAAGTGAATGGTCGTAAGTGAAGGACTAGCGGTATTCCTTAAATTCTCCTGGATTTAGGGGATTTAGGGGGGAAGTCCAGGTTCACTTAACAACCGTATTCCTGAACTCATCTACCGTGGCGATTCGCTTAACAACCATGGCTAGAAAGGACGTAAAACAAAGCAAAATTCACTTTTTTTAAAAAAAACCGTCCCGCTGAACCACAGATATTCGGGGCTCCATTGGGGTCGTAAGCCGAGGACTACCTGTTCCTTTTTGGGGGGAGTCCGGTTTACCTATTTACAGATTAACAGAGGTGGAAGGGACCATGAAGGTCATCTAGTCCAACCCCGTGCTATAATAGTCTGTCATAACTCCGAACTGCTGCTTAAGTGACCCGTCATTAAGTCGAGGACTTCTTTATGTAGGACGTGAAGGCTGCCGCCCGCACAGACGACCCCGCTTGCGTCGCTGACCCAATGGGCCCTGTGATGTCATCACTCGCAGGGTGACGTCATTCCTCTCCCCTCCCTCCTTCCCTCCCTCCCTCCCCAAGCCTTCCTCCTCCATCGGCTTCCTCGTCCGCCGGAGACCCTTCCTCGCCGAAGCCAAAGGTGGGAGATTTTTGGAGGAAGGAGGGAAGCTCTTCCGTGGCTTTTCCGTGTCAGCTGCGTCCGGAGGCCGAAAGTTCAGGCGACGACGGGTGGGATCTAGAAAGGGGGGGGGGTTGGAGAAGAAAAAGGGGGGTGGGTGAGACAGGGGGGCGAAAAACCGCGAGGCTTCTCGGAGTCAAGGCACACAAAAGCGGATTCTGGAGCCAGCCGGGCGCTTCAAACAAAGACGGGCTTGTCCCCGTCCCAAGTTTTCTCCTCCCTCTGACCTCCGAAGATCACCGTGTACCACTCGCTGCCTGGACTGGGTAGCTCTTCTCCGCTCGGGCTGCCCCAGCCGGTAGGCCTTACAGAAAAACAGAGTGGGAAGGGGCCCTGGAGGTCCTCTAGTCCACCCCCCCGCTCAAGGCAGGAGATCCGTACAGAATAACAGAGTGGGAAGGGGGCCCTGGAGGTCCTCTAGTCCACCCCCCCTGCTCAAGGCAGGAGACCCTATTCCGTTCCAGACAAATGACCGTCCAGACTTTTCGTGAAAAACCTCCAGGGATGATGGATAAATTCTGGTGGCAAGGAGTTCCACTGGTTAATGGTTCTCACTGTCAGGAAATCTCTCCTTCATTCCAGGGTGCTTCTCTCCTTGTGTTAGTTTCCATCCGTTGCTTCTTTGTTTTGCCTTTGGGTGCTTCGGAAAATAAATTGAGCCCCCCCTCTTCTTTGGGGCAGCCCCTTAATCAGTCAATCAAAATAGGGTTGGAAGGGACCTTGGAGGTCTTCTAGTCCAACCCCCTTGCTTAGGCAGGAAACCCTATATTCCAAAAAAATGGGTGTCCGCTCTCTTTTTAAAAGTGGTGGAGCATTCACAAGTTCTAGTGGCAAGCTGTTCCACTGGCTAATTGTTCTCACTGTTAGAAACTCCTTAGTTCTAGCTTGCTTCTCTGCTTGATGAGTTTCCACCCATTGTTTCTTGTCGTCAGGTGCCTTGCAAAATAGCTTTGCCCCTCTTCTTTGGGGCAGCCCCTCAAATACTGGAGTCCTGCTATCATACACCCCCCCCCCGAAAAGTCCTTCTTTTCTCTAGACTAGCCAAATCCTACAACCGTTCTTTATATGTTTTAGTCTCCAGGCCTTTAATCATCTCATAAATTGCTCTTTTCTGCACTTTTTCCAAAAGTCTCAATCTCTTTTTGGTCATGCGGTGGATGCAGAATATTCCAGATGTGGCCTTACTAAGGCTTTACAAAGCGGTGCTAACACTTCACCTGATTTTGATTCTCTGCCTCTGTTTACACAACGGAGCATCGTATTAGCATTTTTGGTTGCTGCTGGACACGGCCAGCTCATGTTTAAGCTTCTGTCCTCCCCATCATCCACTGCCCTCCTTCTAGAGGTTGGGTTTCAGCAGGTTCTGACCAGTTCTGGAGAACCGGTAGTGGAAATTTTGAGTAGTTCGGAGAACCGGTAGCAAACATTCAGACTGGCCCTGCCCCCATCTATTCTCTGCCTCCTGAGTCCCAGCTGATCGGGAGGAAATGGGGATTTTGCAGTATCCTTCCCCCTGGAGTGGGGTGAGAATGGAGATTTTGCAGTATCCTTCCCCCTGGAGTGGGGTGGGAATGGAGATTTTGCAGTATCCTTCCCCTGGAGTGGGGTGGGAATGGAGATTTTGCAGTATCCTTCCCCTGGAGTGGGGTGGGAATGGAGATTTTGCAGTATCCTTCCATTGGAGTGGGGTGGGAATGGAGATTTTGCAGTAACCTTCCCCTGGAGTGGGATGGGAATGGGCATTTTACAGTATCCTTCCACTGGAGTGGGGTGGGAATGGAGATTTTACAGTATCCTTCCCCTGGAGTGGGGTGGGAATGGAGATTTTACAGTATCCTTCCACTGGAGTGGGGTGGGAATGGAGATTTTGCAGTAACCTTCCCCTGGAGTGGGATGGGAATGGCATTTTACAGTATCCTTCCACTGGAGTGGGGTGGGAATGGAGATTTTACAGTATCCTTCCCCTGGAGTGGGTGGGAATGGAGATTTTACAGTATCCTTCCCCTGGAGTGGGATGGGAATGGGCATTTTACAGTATCCTTCCCCTGGAGTGGGGTGGGAATGGAGATTTTGCAGTAACCTTCCCCTGGAGTGGGATGGGAATGGGCATTTTACAGTATCCTTCCCCTGAGTGGGGTGGAATGGAGATTTTTGCAGTAACCTTCCCCTGGAGTGGGATTGGGAATGGAGATTTTACAGAGATTTTGGTGTCACTTGGTGGGTGTGACTTGATGGGTGTGGCAGGGGAAGGATACTGCAAAATCCCCATTCCCTCCCTACTCTGGTGGCATTTGCCAGTTCTCTGAACTGCTCAAAATTTCCGCTACTGGTTCACACCTGGTTTTGCCCCATTTTAGAACCTTTCTGATCACCGTTGTTAAGGGAATGCCCGCAATTGTTAAATGAGTCACATGCTTGTTAAGTGAATCCGGCTTTCCCAAGGACTTCGGTTTGTCAGGAGGTCGCAAAAGGGGATGACGTGACCCCGGGACACTGCGACCGTCTTAAAGAGGAGTCAGTGGTCCAGCGTCTGAATTTTGATCCTGGGATCCTGGGGATGTTTTTAACTGAAGTGTGAAAACGGTCATAAGTCACTTTTTTCAGTGCCGTCGTACTTTTAACGGTCACTAAATGAACTGTCGTAAGTCGAAAACTACCTGTAACACCGTTGGAAGGGACCTTAGAGGTCTTCTAGTCCAACCCCCTACTCAGTCAGGAGACCTTGTACCCCATTTGAGATAAATGTGTAATATAATGGAAGGGACCTTGGAGGTCTTCTAGTCTCTTCTAGTCTGCCCGTGCTCAGGCAGGAAACCCCTAGATCCGTGATGGCGAACCTATGGCACGCATGCCATATCTGTGGGCACGCAAGCGTTGCGTTGCCTTAGCTCACCTCCAGTTCATTTGCGTGCGCCGGCCAGCTGATTTTTGGGTCTTCCGGGCCCACTGGAAGTTGGGAAACGAGCCGCTTCCGGCCTCCAGAGTCTCCGGGGGTTTGGGAAGGCTGTTTTTGTCCTCCCCAGGCTCCTAGAAAACCTCTGGAGCCTGGGGAGGGTGAAAAACGGGCCTACCAAGCCCAACGAGCCATCGCATGCGAAAAGTGGGGGGGACTGCAGGAGGGGTCATGCAGGCATGCGCCGGGGGGTTGCATTGAAGTATGGGTATGCAACCCCCCTCTCCCCGTACTCCCCCCGTTTTTGGCACGTGACGGCAAAAAGATTAGCCATCACTGCCCTAGAGATCATTTCAAACAAATAAATAAACCCGAGAGACCATTTCAGACAGATGCTCCTGCTTACCCTCTCAGTCCGTCTCGAGGTAGCGTCGGCTGCCACGGGCTGCCTCTGCCCCGACATTTGGCTGAGCTATTCACTGTCGCACGAAACGCAAAGAACGGGCGTTCAGGATATCGGCCGGATCCGGGAAGACCGAATCCACTCGGAAGCCTTGTGCCAAGGCCACCTTCAGGACCTCTTCCAGGAATTGGTTGGAGGATCGGATCTCTCGTCCGTCCACCCGCAGCCGGCGGAACTTCTGTTTGACGTACTCCGCGGCGGGCAGTGCGGCTGGGCACGGGGCCCACTCCAAGCACAGATGGTGGCACGTGGTGGCTTCCACGCGGGACCTTCCCGAAGAACCGTCTGGCGTCTCGTCATCCGTCTCTGTGTCTTCATCCGTGGAGTTGTCTAGACAAATTCTCCGATCGCCGTTAGGAGACCAACTGTTCCTTCCTCCGCCTTCCAAGAGGGTTGCTTGAGTTTTGGGAAGGCCTGATCCTTTCTGTGATGGTTCCGGATGTCCACCGGAAGACCCTTCACCCAAATTCCCGTTGACGCACTCAAGGCGGCCTAGGTGTCTCCGCAGGACAGCCAGGAAGTGCCAGTCGGTGCAGAAGACATTTGCAGTGAAGATCTCCACAGTGCAAGAGCTGAGCTCGTAGTTCTGGGGTCCACGGCGCACGTTGAAATGCAGCCGGCGCGGGGTCACGTCCACATCGGCGTGGAGCACCGCGTTGCTCCGCTGGCGCCATCGTTCTGCCTCGACCTGCCGCAGCTGCTCCAGGAGTGGACGGATCTGGTAGAAGTCGGCTTCGGCCCGCAACAGCGACAGCTCGGCGTAGCCCTCCGGAAGGTCCAGACGGCCAAATCGGAGGAAATTCAGGACGTGGCGGAAAGTCTTACCGTCGCGGTCGATGAAATAGTTCCCGCAGCTGTCCAGGAGGGCCGGTTGGGGACCTCGGAACATAGCGCCTAGCATGGAGTCGGGGAAGCGAGTCAGGGTTTCCAGAGTGGTGCTATAGAGCTTCCCCCCCACGTTTAGGGTCACCAGGGGGCCGGGCCGGCCTGGACCCTGGCAAGTATCCGGCATCCTCACGAAGACACCTGTGGGGAGACGAGGAGGGGATGGGGCATGATTTGGGGTGTGCCAGATGGGTCTGCCTGCTGTTTTCACAAGCTTCTGAATTTGAATTTTAATCATTTTGTATTTTTTATTATATTTACATTTAATCTAATATATTATAGATTAATTGGATTTAATTCTGTTTTAAATTATTTTAAATTTTGTATTGTATGTATTTTAATTTGGCTGTGCACCGCCCTGAGTCCTTCGGGAGAAGGGCGGTATACAAATTTAAATAATAAATAAATAAATAAATAAATAAATAAATAAATAAATAAATAAATAAATAAATAATATTATAGTGCTCAGGAGTGGTACGGTGGCCTAGAGGTGGAGCTCTGGCCTCACAATCAGAAGGCTGTGAGTTCGATCCTAGGTAGGTAGGCACTCTGGACACACTGAGAATATATCTGCAAAACAAAACTCCTCATTGGCGACAGGAAAGGCATCCGGCCAGTAAACGCTCAACTAGCTCCATTCAACTGCCCAGACTCCACCCCGATGCAAGGGATGATGGGGTCGTTAAAAGAAGATGATTCATATTATAGCATTCGACTTATCAACCTAATTTAGCCCCTATTTTGATGACTTTTCTTGCCACGGCTGTTAACTGAGCAACATGGTTGTTAAGGGAATTGGCCTTCCCCCCTGTTGACTTTGTTTGTCGGATGGTCACAAAAAGGGGATCTCTTGACCCCAGGACACTGCAACTGTCCGGATTTTGATCACGTGACTATGAAGATGCTGAAACAGTTGTTAAGGGTGAAAAATGCTTTTCACCCACTTTTTTTCAGTGCCGTCATAACTCTGGATGATCTCTAAACGAATGGTTGTAAAGTTGAGAACTACCTGTATTGTGAGCCATCCAGAGTCACTGTAACAATGGGGGGGGGGGCATAATAATTTGATAGAGATAGAGAGAGAGAAAGTTAGATAGAGAGAAAAAGACAGATAGATACAAAGAGAGAAAGAGAGATACCATAGATAGATAGAAAGAGAAAGACGAGGACCCAGATTGTGGGGGCAATAAACTGTATAAAATATACAAAAGGATGAAGGCTTTTGCTTAACGCATTGTAAGCCGCCCTGAGTCTCTGGAGAAGGGCGGCATATAAATTAAAGCAAAAAAAAAAGAAAGAAAGAAATAGAGATAGAAAAAGAGAGTTATAGAGAAAAAGACAGAGAAAGCAAGATAGAGAGAGAGAGAAAAATAGAAAGAGAGAAAGAGAGAGAGAAAAAGAGAGGGGGGAAGGAAATAGAAAGATAGAAAAATAGAGTTAGAGAGAGAGAGAGAGAAAGAGAGAGAGAGAAAGAGAGAGAGATAGAAAGAGAGAGGGAAAATAGAGAGAGAACGATAGAAAAATAGAGTTATAGAGAGAGAAAGAGAGAGAGTGAGAAAGACAAAGAGAGGGAAAAGAGAGAGAGAAAAAGAGAGAGTTATAGATAGCGAAAAAGAGAGAGAGAGAGATAGAAAGAGAGAGAGAAAGAAAGAGAGGGGGAGAATAGAGAAAGAGAAAAATGGAGAGATATAGAGAGAGAAAGAGAGAGAGAGAAAGAGAAAGAGAGAGAAAGAGAGAAAAAGAGAGAAAAAGAGAGAGTTATAGATAGCGAAAAAGAGAGAGCGAGAAAGAAAGAGAGACAGACAAACAAATGACAAAAGAAACAAACAAAGGAAACTTTTCGCACCACCTGATATTTTTTCCCAACGTGGAGGAAAAAAAACAAACAAAACATTTTTGCAACTCCTTCCAAAACCCCATTGTTGGCTCTTGCTTCCCTCCACCCACACTTTTCGGGGAGGGGAAGGGAAGGGAAGGGCTGTGTGTGTGTGTTTGGGGGGGGGTGTTGAAGGCAAGCAGGGGCTGCCGGCAGAGCCGAGAGATCCCAGGGCAAACAGGGGCTGGGGGGGTGGGTGGGCGGAGAAGGGGAAGGGGCGCCTCCTCGGGCCAGGTAGGGGCGGTTCCCAGGCTGGGACGTCCCAGTACCGGGAGGGGCTGAACGGAGAGCACCTTTGGGTGGGTGGGCAGCCGCCCCTTCCTCTTCTCCGCCCCCCCCCAAAGAAGGGGTAGGGGGCAACATCAAAAGGAGAAGCCGACAAGCGCAGCAATAAAAGTGGGGGAGGGAAGAGAAGAGAAGAGAAGAGAAGCCTGGGACTCCGCTCCCATCAGGCGAAGGAGGATGGGATCTGGAGTCCTCCCTCTCCTTGCCCTAAAGTGGGGGGGGGTCGTCGTCCTGGGAAGCCCCCCACTCCCGCGGTTCCCGGCCTGCAATTACTGCAGGTTCGAATCTCGCCAAGGCTCAAGGTTGACTCAGCCTTCCATCCTTCTGAGGTAGGTAAAATGAGGACCCGGATTGTGGGGGCAATAAGCTGACTTTGTATAAATATACAAAAAGTATGAAGGCTTTTGCTTAACGCATTGTAAGCCGCCCTGAGTCTCTGGAGAAGGGCGGCATATAAATTAAAGAAAAAAAAATAGAGAAAGATAGAAAAAGAGAGTTATAGAGAAAAAGACAGAAAAAGCAAGATAGAAAGAGAGAGAGACAAAAATAGAAAGAGAGAAAGAAAAAAAGTGAGGGGGGGAGGAAATAGAAAGATAGAAAAATAGAGAGTTATAGAGAGAGAGAGAGAGAGAAGAGAAGAGAGGGGGAGAATAGAGAAAGAGAAAAATGGAGAGTTATAGAGAGAGAAAGAGAGAGAGTGAGAAAGACAAAGAGAGGGAAAATAGAGAGAGAAAGAGAGAAAAAGAGAGAGTTATAGATAGCGAAGAAAAGAGAGAGAGAAAGAAAGAGAGACAGACAGACAAACAAATGACAAAAGAAACAAACAAAGGAAACTTTTCGCACCACCTGATATTTTTTCCCAACGTGGAGGAAAAAAAACAAACAAAACATTTTTGCAACTCCTTCCAAACCTCATTGTTGGCTCTTGCTTCCCTCCACCCACACTTTTCGGGGAAGGGGAGGGAAGGACTGTGTGTGTGTGTTTGGGGGGGGGGGTGTTGAAGGCAAGCAGGGGCTGCCGGCGAGAGAGCCGAGAGCCCAGGGCGAGAGGGGGCTGGGGGGGGGGCGGAGAAGGGGAAGGGGCGCCTCCCCGGGCCAGGTAGGGGCGGTTCCCAGGCTGGGACGTCCCAGTACCGGGAGGGGTTGAACGGAGGGCACCTTTGGGTGGATGGGTAGGTGGGCAGCCGCCCCTTCCTCTTCTCCGCCCCCCCCCCAAAAAGGAGGGGGAAGGGGCAACATCAAAAGGAGAAGCCGACAAGCGCAGCAATAAAAGTGGGGGAGGGAAGAGAAGAGAAGAGAAGAGAAGCCTGGGACTCCGCTCCCATCAGGCGAAGGAGGATGGATGGGGGTCAGTCCCTCTCCTTGCCCTAAAGTTGGGGGGTCGTCGTCCTGGGAAGCCCCCACTCCCACGATCCCGGAGTGGGATCCGTCCAGCAGGAGGGAGGGGCGCAGGAGAAGCCACGGTGGGTGGGTGGGGGGGGGGAGGGAGGGGGGGCTCTCCTTACCTGGCGGGGGTCTCTGGGAGCGTCTCCGGTGCGGCTCAGGCTCAGCTGATTTCTCTGGGCGCTGCCGGCGGCGGCTCTTTATAAGGGGGGGGCGGGAGCGGCGGGGGCGGGCAGGACTCGTTCCCCGCCCCGGGAAAGCGGCCGGTAGGTGGGGTGGGGGCGCCGCCGCTTCTGTCCCGCTCAGCGACGGAGCCTCGCCGCAATCTGGAGCCGACCCCCCTCCGGGGTCCCCCCTCCAAACCCGGACCCCCGGGCTGGAAGGGGTGGGGAACCCCTAGCTTCTCCCCCCCCCCCCCGGGGGGCGCCCCCCGCGATCATCCCGCCCCGACTGGCCCGAGCCCGCCCCGCCGCATCCCGTAGGAGAAAGCCCCCCCCCCCGACCGGCGGCGGTGGATGATGGGTGGGGGGCGGTGGGGGGCGTCCCGCAACTGGGAGCCCAGATGCCTTCTCTTCCGGCGGGGTCTCCATTCGGTTTCCATTCGGGGCTGGGGGTGCCAGGGACGGGTGGGGGGGTGGGGGACAGCCCCCAGCAGGTCGGGCTTTGGACAGCGCAAACTTTTGAAAAGTTTTGCGTGGGAAAGTGGGAGACCCGGGTTCAAATCTCCCCTGAGTTTCGTGAGAGACTTTGGGCCAGTCCCCGTTCTCTCTCTCTCTCTCTTTCTTTCTTTCTCTCTCATTCTTTTTCTTTGTCTCTCTTTCTTTTTCTTTCTCTCTCTAGCCTTCTTTTCTTTCTCTTTCTTTCTTTCTCTTTTTCTTTCTCTCTCTTTCTTTCTCTTTCTCTCTCTTTCTCTCTCTTTCTTTCTCTTTCTCTCTTTCTTTTTCTCTCTTACTCTCTTATTCTCTCTCTCTCTCTCTCTTTCTTTCTCTCTCTTTCTCTCTCTCTCTCTCTCTTTCTCTCTTTACTTTTACTTTTATTTGATTTATATACCACCCTACTCCGGAAGGACTCTTTCTCTCTTTCTTTTTCCCTCTTACTGTCTTTCTCTCTCTCTTTCTTTCTCTCTTTCTCTTTCTTTCTCTCTTTCTCTTTCTCTCTTTCTCTCTTTCTCTTTTCTCTCTTCTCCCTCTTTTCTTTCTCTTTCTCTCTTTTTCTCTCTTACTCTCACTCTCTCTCTTTCTCTTCTTTCTCTTTCTTTCTCTCTTTCTCTTTCTCTCTTTCTCTTTCTCTCTTTACTTTACTTTTACTTTTATTTGATTTATATACTGCCCTACTCCCGAAAGACTCTTTCTCTCTTTCTTTTTCTCTCTTACTGTCTTTCTCTCTCTCTTTCTCTCTCTCTCTCTTTTTCTTTCTCTCTCTCTTTCTCTCTCTCTCCCTCTTTTCTTTCTCTTTCTTTTTCTCTCTCTCTTTCTTTCTCTCTTTCCCTTTCTTTTTCTTTCTCTCTCCCCCCCCCTGCAGCTCAGCCTACCTAGCAGGGAGGTTGTAATGGGAGGAGGAAATACTGTACACTCAGCTAATCCTTAACCGAGGACCACAATCGAATCCAAAATTTCAGTTGCTCAGAGAAGTCACTTTCACCCCACCCCCCATTTTACAACCTTCCTGGCCACGGTTGTTAAGCGAACCGCTCCCGTTGCTCCATTAGTGACAGTGTCGTTAAGTGAATCTGGCTTCCCCCATGGACTCTGCTGGTCAGAAGGTCCCAAAAGGAGGATCTCGTGACCTCCCCTGGGATGCTGCCACCGTCACAAATACGGAACCAGTTGCTGAGCATTTCAATTTGGATCACACGACGGTAACGGTTATAAGTGCGAGAAACGGTCATAAGTGACTTTTTCCAGTTGTCACTTTGAACGGTCACTAAATGAACTGTCGTAAGGCGAGGACTGCTGGTGTTTTACAACCAACCTCAAATCTGGGGTTTGGGCACAGAAGGGTTCGACTCGGCTGCCAGGGCCGCCTTCTTTTCTCCTTTAGCGCTAACGAAATTCCACTGCTAATTACTCTCCCGTCTCTGCCCGGCCCTGTTTCCCAGGTAAGGAACCAAACAAACCAGATCCCTAAATAAAAAGCAGGCCGCCTCCGCAGCGCCATGCCGGGCCTCGTTTCCAGCATCACGTAATAGTTGTAATTGTCGTGCTTGTCTGAACGCACACCCTCGCTGACCGGCCTCCAAGTGTTGTGTTTTCCGGTGGCGTTGCAAAAACCTGCAGGGAATTTCAGACCGGCTGGGTGAGTCACCGAGTCTGCGACCTGATTCGGCGGCCTTGGGTCACCCCAGCCGTCTCCGCGGTGGGGAAGGAACGCCGGCATCTAGGGCAGGAGATCTCAAAGGCGGCAACTTTTAAAGACAGGTGGACTTCAACTCCCAGAATTCCCCAGCCAGCATGCTCAGCACGGTTTAAATCCGTGCTTTTCAAAGTTGGGAACTTTTAATAGAGTGGACTTCAACTCCCAGAATTCCCCAGCAATGCTCTGCAAGACGGGCTCAGCGCTGTTTAAATCCATGTTTCTCAAACTTTGCAACTTTAAAGAGAGGTGGACTTCAACTCCCAGAATTCCCAGCCAGCATGCTTTGCAAGATAGGCTCAGTGGTACTTAAATTAGTGCTTCTTAATCTTGGAAATTTTAAAAGAGGTGGACTTCAATTCCCAGAATTCCCCAGCAATGCTCTGCAAGATGGGCCCAGTGCTGTTTAAATCCATGTTTGTCAAACTTTGCAACTTTAAAGAGAGGTGGACTTCAACTCCCAGAATTCCCCAGCTAGCATGCTTTGCAAGATAGGCTCAGTGGTACTTAAAATTAGTGCTTCTTAATCTTGGAAATTTTAAAAGAGGTGGACTTCAACTCCCAGAATTCCCCAGCAATGCTCTGCAAGATGGGCCCAGCGCTGTTTAAATCCATGTTTCTGAAACTTAGCAACTTTAAAGAGAGGTGGACTTCAACTCCCAGAATTCCCCAGCCAGGCCCAGAACGGTTTAACTTCTCAAACTTGGGAACTTTTAAGAGAGGTGGATTTCAACTCCCATCTTGCTTTGCAAGATAGGCTCAGTGGTACTTAAATCAGGGCTTCTCAACCTTGGAAATTTTAAAAGAGGTGGACTTCAACGCCCAGAATTCCCCAGCCAGGTTCAGCACGGTTTAAGTCAATGTTTGCCAAACTTTGCAACTTTAAAGAGAGGTGGACTTCAACTCCCAGAATTCAACTCCCAGAGGCTCATCCAATCTCATGGTGCACATGTTGTGCATTGACAATAAAGGTTTGAATTTTAATTCCCCAGCCAGCAAGCTGATGGGCTTCAGTGCTCCGTAAATCAGTATTTTTCAAACTTCGGCTCCCGGAATGGCTGGCTGGGGAATTCTGGGAATTGAAGTCCACTTCACTTAAAGTTTCCAAGGTTGAGAAATGGCCTTTGAAGCTCTCCAAAATTTATTCCTAATCCTGTTATCCTTCCCAATTTTCCCAGAGAGGAACCCCTTTATCTGATTTAGAGATTTTGTGCATGGAAGACCAGCCAAGGACCACCCTGGATTTGACTTGATCCAACTGTCCAACTTTCCAAGGTTCCTTCTCCTCCTTCCTTTCCGAGGTTCAAAGCTCTCCGTCGAAGGATTTGGAGATTGTCATCCGTGAAGATGCTCCGTCGTGCATGAAGCCCGAAGAGACGTTGTTAATCCAAATCAAATCGACTTTGGTTTCACGCCCTGACCTGAAGCAGGTGAGTCAACGAGGGAAGCCATCACCAAAGTTGTGTCACATCCTTTATTGCTCCGTGACGGGTGGCTCGGCCAGAGAACGTGTCTGGGCACCTACACGAAACAGCTGTTCCTTTGCCAGTCACGTCTGCCAGAATTTGGAGACCTTTGGACCGGCCCTTTCGGAGAAGACCTAGGTGGGGTTTCTCAACCCCAAGAGATGAGAACATTGTAGGTGCTCCAGACGTTGTGGGTACTCGAACCCGGGAGGTTTTTAAGAAGAGATTGGACAGGTTACAGGGTCTCCTGCTCCAGCAGGGAATTGGGCTAGAACAGGGGTCTCCAACCTTGGCAGCTTTAAGACTGGTGGACTTCAACTCCCAGAATTCCTCAGCCAGCAAAGGTCCCTTCCAGCTCTAGGTTTCTATGATCTTGGGCAGGGGGTTGACTAGAAGACCTCCAAGGTCCCTTCCAGCCCTAGGTTTCTATGATCTTGGGCAGGGGGTTGGACTAGAAGACCTCCAAGGTCCCTTCCAGCCCTAGGTTTCTATGATCTTAGGCAAGGGGTTGGACTAGACTAGAAGACATCTAAGGCCCCTTCCAGCCTTAGATTTCTATGATCTTGGCAGGGGGTTGGACTAGAAGACCTCCAAGGTCCCTTCCAGCTCTAGGTTTCTATGATCTTGGGCAGGGGGTTGGACTAGAAGACCTCCAAGGTCCCTTCCAGCCCTAGGTTTCTATGATCTTGGGAAGGGGGTTGGACTAGAAGACCTCCAAGGTTCCTTCCAGCCCTATGTTTCTATGATCTTGGGAGGGGGTTGGACTAGAAGACCTCCAAGGTCCCTTCCAGCCCTAGGTTTCTATGATCTTGGGTAGTGGGTTGGACTAGAAGACCTCCAAGGTCCCTTCCAGCTCTAGGTTTCTATGATCTTGGGCAGGCGGTTGGACTAGAAGACCTCCAAGGTCCCTTCCAGCCCTATGTTTCTATGATCTTGGGCAGGGGGTTGGACTAGAAGACCTCCAAGGTCCCTTCCAGCCCTATGTTTCTATGATCTTGGGAAGGGGGTTGGACTAGAAGACCTCCAAGGTCCCTTCCAGCCCTAGGTTTCTATGATCTTGGGCAGGGGGGTTGGACTAGAAGACCTCCAAGGTCCCTCCCAACTCTGTTATTCTATTGTCCTCACTCTCCAAAACGGGTTTATATTTATTCCCGCAGCCATCCAGATTACCTGCCTAATTGATGCTGAGGAGGGGATCTGGATCTGATGGATCCTTTAATGCATTTACATCTAAGTTACACATCAGCAAAATGGGCTTTCTTAGCCAGGGAAGAGGTCAAACTTAACTCGGACCTCTGACCGTTGTCCCCTTCCGCTAAGTTTGCAGTCAAAGCAGGCAGGTAATCCTCGACTTACCACCAACGAGTTTAGCGACTGTTCAGAGTTACGACGGACCACCCCAAAAGCTACTTACGACCCAATTCTGCGGTCAATTTATTTATTTGTTTGTAAAAATTATGATCCACCCACTTTTATGACATATTTTTCCCTGTTTCCAGCCAAACATGCACATAGGAATACATTGATTTCCTTACTCATGGCGTTCACAAAACAATTGTGGCTCATTTAATGACCGCCACACTCAAAAAAAAGAAGGCATAAAATTGGATCCGGTCATAATGCGTACCTTGATTTATGACTGTCCTGACTTACAATGGAAATCCTGGTCTTAAGTTGAGGACTACCTTACGAGCACAGTTGAGCCCAACATTCCGGTTGCTAAGCGAGACAGTTGTTAAGTGAGTGTTGCCCCATTGTACGACTGTCCTGGCCTCCGTTGCTAAGCGAATCACCGCCGTTGTTCAGCGAGTCACGCGGTTGTTAAGTGAATCCAACGTTCCCAGAGAAGGTCGCAAAAAAGGACATTGCAACAGGCATAAGTACACGCTAGTTGCTAAGCCTACGAATTTTGATCGCGCGACCGCGGGGATGCCAAAACGGTCGCTGAGTGTGGAAAAACGGTTCGAAGTCCCTTTTTCTTTTAGTGTCGTAACTTCAAACCGTCACTAAATGAATGGTTGTTAGTCGAGGACTACCTGTAAAGTCGGAGACAGAGCGAGGAAGGGAGGAACAATGGAGGCCGCCAAAGACCGGAAGTCCCAGTCTCAAGATGGAAGCGACCATCTTGAGCGCAAACCAAGGATTCTAGCCAGCATCCAGTCCAAACCAGGATTGTTGATTGTCCGTTTTAGGGATCTGTGGGTGGGGTGGGTGGGTCTTCCTGTTCCCCTTAATTATCCATCTCCATCTCGCAGACGGAGCCGAAGAGCCGACTGCAATGCTCATCGTTCCAGCAGCCGTTCTCGTGAAGGTGGGCACAGTCCTCCCCGCCACCCAGTCCGTGGCCGTACCAGTCGTCCGGCTGTTCGGGGCACCAGTCCCTGGGTCAGAGAGACAAGATGGGCGCCGTGAGTCTGGGGCTGGGGCCGGTGGGAGAGGGGGATTTGGTTAAGTTTTGGTTAAGATTTTCACACCTTCAAACAAAAGAAAAAAGCAAAACGAAAGCAAAATATAAAATAAAACAAAATGCTAAAGTAAAATAAGGTGAAATATAAAATACTAAAATAAAATAAAATACTAAAATAAAATAAAATACTAAAATAAAATAAAACAAAATGCTAAAATAAAATAAAAATATACTAAAATAAAATAACTAAAATAAAGTAAACTAAAATACTAAAATAAAACAAAACAAGATAAAATAGAACAAAATACTAAAATGAAAATAAAAATATACTAAAATAAAATAGTAAAATAAAATAAAATAAAATAAAACAAGATAAAATAGAATACTAAAATGAAATAAAAATAGAACAAAATACTAAAATACTAAAAAATACTAAAATACTAAAATAAAATAAAAATAAAATATACTAAAATAAAATAAATAAAATAAAACAAAATACTAAAATAAAAAATAAAAATATACTAAAATAAAATAAATAAAGTAAAATAAAATAGTAAAATAAAATAAATAAAGTAAAATAAAATAGTAAAATAAAATAAAGTAGAATAAAATACTAAAATAAAATAAAACAAAATAAAACAAGATAAAATAGAACAAAATACTAACATAAAATAAAAATAAAATAAAATACACTAAAATAAAATAAAATAAAATAAAATACTAAAATAAAATAAAGTAAAATAAAATAAAAATAAATAAAATATACTAAAATAATATAAAGTAAAATAAAATACTAAAATAAAATAAAGTAAGATAAAATACTAAAATAAAATAAAACAAAATAAAACAAGATAAAACAGAACAAAATACTAACATAAAATAAAGATAGAACAAAATACTAAAATAAAATAAAATATGCTAAAATAAAATAAAGTAAAAGAAAATACTAAAATAAAATAAATAAAATAAACAAAACAAAATAAAAAATACTGAAATGAAAATAAAACAAAATAATAAAATTAAAATTAAATAAAATAACTGTGAGGACAGGTCATAAGTAGATGTTAAAAAGTCTGTCGTAAGTTGAGGACTACCTCTGCAGAACAATCTTTTGGCAGATTTAAGATGCTTGGACTTCCATTCCCAGAATCCCCCTGCTGTGCTAAATGGGGTGTGGGGTGGGGGGATGGTGTAGATGGCCTCAAGAGTTCCTCTCGAGGCTGCCTATCGATTGGATAGTCAATGGGGAATTCTGGGGGGTGTTCGGGGGGGGGGGAACCCTTCCAGTTGAACCTACCATGAGACTATTGTGTAGGATGAGCCGTCCACCCACTTCCAGCTGCCGCTCCTGTCCGTCAGCCCAATCCACATGAAGTTTGGCCTGACACGGACCGCCACGAATTGCTGTCAGAAAAGAAGAAAAGAGGAAACTTGAGGCACCTCAACACCCGAAAGTCTTGCTCTACCAGTGAAGAAATGTCCTCCCAGCGTATAACAATAAATAGAATTAAAAAGATCTAGTCAAATACATTGGGAAGTGAAACCGATAGATAGAAATAACTCTTTATTTCAGCAACTTTAAGCGGGGTGGACTTCAATTCCCAGAATTCCCTAGCCGGCATATCAGTTTCCTCTTTAATTAATTGTCAGGCCATCTATTTGATATACTATGTCAAATGCATTCCCACCGTCTATTAAGAAAGTTACCCAATTTTTAAAAACGCAAAAAATAAACTAGCCATATTTATTCATTAATTTGGTAAACTTTGGCTGGCTGGGGAATTCTGGGAGTTGAAGTCCACTCCTCTTAAAATGGGCAAAGTTGAAAAAATATTGCTCTCATCCAGGGGTCTCCAACCTTGGTCTCTTTAAAACTTGTGGACTTCAATTCCCAGAATTCCTCAGTCAGCAAAAATGGCCCCTTTAAGACTTGCGGCTTCAACTCCCAGAATTCCTCAGTCAGCAAAAATGGCCCCTTTAAGACTTGCGGACTTCAACTCCCAGAATTCCTCAGTCAGCAAAATTGGTCCCTTTAAGACTTGTGGACTTCAACCCAGAATTCCTCAGTCAGCAAAATTGGTCCCTTTAAGACTTGCGGACTTCAACTCCCAGAATTCCTCAGTCAGCAAAATTGGTCCCTTTAAGACTTACAGACTTCAACTCCCAGAATTCTTCAACCAGCAAACCTGGCCCCTTTAGGACTTGTGGATGTAAACTTTGGCTGGCTGTGGAATTCTGGGAGTTGAAGTCCACTCCTCTTAAAATGGGCAAACTTGAAAAAATATTGCTCTCATCCAGGGGTATCCAACCTTGGTCCCTTTAAGAGTTGTGGACTTCAACTCCCAGAATTCCTCAGCCAGGAAACTTGGCCCCTTTAAGGCAATGTTGACAGAGGAATTCTGGGAGTTGAAGTCCACAACTCTTAAAGGGGCCACGTCTGGAGATCACTGGTTTAATCCAACTTCTCCCTGGGTCAAACAGCCACACAGGTAGGAACCTATCAGCACCTACCTGCTCCTCGTAGGAGTTGATGATCACCAGGTGAGCATCGTAGCTTTCGCACTCGGCTTTGGCTTCCTCCCACGATTTCCCACTTTGGTTTTCCCAGTAGCAGCTTCTCCGAAATGCGTCCCAGCCTTTGGGACAGCAGGCCTCCTTTCGGTCTGGGAAGAAAAGGAAGAAAACCAGCTAAGACGAAAGGAAGAGAGAGAGGCAGAGAGCTTCAACTGTGCTGGACTACAACACCCATCAGGCTGAGCTAGCCTTGCCTCTCCTTCTGGGCGGTGAGAAAATCCTGTCATTAATCGATAAGAGCTTCGCTGGGCATCGTAACAGAGTGGTTTCCCCTCGTGCCATTTTTGGGGACGGAAAATACTTCTTTCCTGTACGGGAGTCCTCGACTTACGACCTCAACGGAGCCCAAACATTTCCGTCGTTAAGTGAGACATTTATTCAAGGAAGGCCATTTTATGACCTTTTTGGCCACCGTTGTTAAGCGAATCGCCGCAGTTGTTAAATGAATTACCTGGTCATTAAGTGAATCCAGCTTCCCCGTTGACTTTGCTTGTGGCAGAAGGTCGAAAAGGGGGTTTACCTGACTCCCCCACCCCACCCCAGGACGCTGCGACCGTCGTAAATACGAATCGGCAGCCCAGCGTCTGAATTTTGATCAGGCTGCGATCGTGTGAAAAAAACGATCCTGTCCCCCCTTTTTTTCAGTGCCGTTCCGACGGTCGCTAAACGAATCGTCGTTAAGTCGAGGACGACCGACATTATTCTTAATTCTGTTTAGAGGGCTGCTGGGAGGCTTGGCAGAGAATAAAAGCAAATGGAAAAACATCCGAAAAACAACAAAATGTTGCAGAACTGGCTGGATCTGGACCGATCCCAAATGCAGGGCGAGGCTCCAGACGCCCTGCGGGAATTATTTTAGGTGCCCCAAAAAATGCAGGTGGCACCTTGAGATGTTTGCAGAGGACGCCCAGCCGAAAAAACGATGGGGAGAAGCTCCCCAGAGATGAAAAGGAGGCCTCGTCCCATCCCTGGTGATTCATCCCGGAATTCGTTCCAAGCCAATCTCCGGAAGAGCCATCGGCTAACCTTGCTGGGCACCAAAGGGAGGGATATTCCCATCATGCACTGGGGGTCAGCATCCTCAGCTCCGCCTCGGGAGCCGACCGCAGAGGGAAGCAGCCCATCTGCCCAGGATGCGAATTGGCTAAGTGGAAGGCTAAGATGGTGGGGTCCTTTGAAGGGGGGGGGGGGGGGGGGGGGGGGGGGGGTCCTGGCAGAGGTTGGGGGGGGAGGGGGGGAGGGGGGGGGGGGGAGGAGGAGGACTGTGGGGTCCTTGATGGCCTCTGAGCTTGGGAGTTTTCTAGCAGACGTTTCATGACCCAGCTAGGGAACATCATCAGTGCTAGGAGGGAATGGGGCTTGTGGAGAGGAGGAGGAGAGGAGGAGGAGGAAGACCAACCCTGAGCTCCAAACATTAAAATGCTGAAAGATCGAAGAGCCCCCAGGGCCGTGGCATGGGAGCTGCGGGTGCCAACCCTGGCGAAAGAAGATGAGCAGGGAGATGCTCCTTTCAGCCAGTCTCTGTGCCAGGCCTCACTCTTGGCATGCCGAGGGTGTAGCTCGGCCGGCCGCCCCACTACCCTTTCCCTCCGCACCTGTCCGGTTGAGCTTGAAGTCCTGATAGTCACAATTGAGAGCGATGTTATTCTTACGTAGCTCCTTCAGCTGGTTGAGGACGTGGGTTGTGGCTGTGAAAGAAAGAAAGAGGAAGAGAAAGAAAGAAAGAAAGAAAAGAAAGAAAGAAAGAAAGAAAGAAAGAAAGAAAGAAAGAAAGAAAGAAAGAAAGAAAGAAAGAAAGAAAGAAAGAAAGAAAAGAAAGAAAGTGGGTGGGTGGGGATAAGGAAGGAAGGAAGAAAGGAAAGAAGAAAGGGTGGGGATAAGGAAAGAAGAAAGGAAGGAAGGAAAGATGCAGGGAGGGAGGGTAGAAGGAAGGAAGGAAAGAAAGAAAGAAAGGGTGGGGATAAGGAAGGAAGGAAAGGAAGGAAAGATGCAGGGAGGGAGGGTAGAAGGAAGGAAGGAAGGAAAGAAAGAAAGAGAAAGAAAGAAAGAAAGAAAGAGAGAGAGAAAGAAAATAAGAGAGAAAAAAAGAAAAGAAAGAACATATTTAAAAAAGTCAGATGAAATGTCCCCCATTAGGAATAGTTTCACAACTTATATTGTTGGGGTGGGCAGCTTTTTATTATTGCTTTTCTATTTCTATTTTTTATTGCATTGTAAACCACCCAGAATCTCTCTGGATAGTGAGATGGAGAGCATATAAACAAAACAAAACAAACAAACAAAAAAAAATCCCCCAAACCCAAAAGAAATAAAAAAATAAAAATAAAATAAAAAATAATAAAATAAAAAATAATAAAATAAAATAAAAGAATAGAATAATAAACTGAAATAAAATAATGAACTAAAATATTAAATAAAAGAATCGATAATAAACTGAAATAAAAGATAAAAGAATAAAAGAATAGAATAGAACAATAAACTGAAATAACAAAAAAAAAAAAAAAAAAAATAAAAGAATAAACAAATAAATTAAATAAATAAAATAAAAGAATTAAAAGAATTATTATAGAATAGAATAGAATAGAATAGAATAATAAGCTGAAATAAAAGAATAAAAGAAATAAAATAAAAGAATAGAATAATAAACTGAAATAAAAGAATAAAATAATAAAATAATAGAATAGAATAGAATAATAAATTGAAATAAAATAATAAACTGAAATAATAAAATAAAATAAAAGAATAGAATAGAATAATAAACTGAAATAAAATAATAAACAAACAAATAAAATAAAATAAATAAAATAAAAGAATTAAAAGAATTATTATAGAATAGAATAGAATAATAAACTGAAATTAAATAATAAAATAAAATAATAGAATAGAATAAAATAAAATAAAATAAAATAAAATAAAATAAATTGAAATAAAATAAAATAAAATAAACTTGGGGATGGGCTGAGTCTGCCAGTGCCTTTCCCCGTGTTCGGTGGGTGCCAAGGGAGGCGTAACCTGCCCTTTGCAAATGCCCCCAAAGAGGGTTCAGCCCAACGGAGCCGCCGCAGGTGCCAGGCAGACGGGCCACATGAAAGCTGCCTTGGCATCCGAGCCGTCCCTCCCGTGGGCGCCAGGCGGGAAGGGCGGAATTTTACCCAGAGGTTACACCTTCCTCGTGGCTCGGCTGCTTCCACCAGGGATAAAATCCATACAGGTTGCCCTCGACGTAGAGCTATTTGCTTAGTGACCGTTCCAAGTTACAACGGCATTGGAAAACCGCTTTTTTTCACACTTACGACCGTTGCAGCCTCCCCGTGGTCACGGGATCCAAATTCAGACGCTTGGCACCCGGCAATGCATATACTTACAATGGTTGCTGGGTGACTTGATCCCCTTTTGCGACCGTCCGACAATCCCAGTCAACGGGGAAGCCAAGTTCGCTTAACAACGGTGGCAAGAGGAGTCGTAGAACGGGTCCAAACTCAATGGTCTTGCTTAGCGACAGAAATGTGGGGGCTCGTTTCTGGCTGTAAATCGAGGACTGCCTGTAATTGGATCTGGTCTTTCGGCCCCTGACAGGAAGGGACAATTCGGGTTTTCCTTCCTTACCCCCGTCGGCCTCCTCCGTCAACTGCTTCACTTTGGCTTCCATCTCCTTCAGTTTTGCGTCCGAGTCGTTCTCTGCAAAACAGAGCTGGAATGAAAAACCAGCCCTGCGAGGTAGTCCAGACACAAGGAGGACTCGGAAGTGAGCTCAGAAATCGGAATAGAAGCTGGAAGGGACCTTGGAGGTCTTCTAGTCCAGCCCCCTACTCAAGCCATTTCAGAACAAAGCCCCTGAAGGCAGGACAAGAAGCAACGGATGGAAACTAATCAAAGAGAGAAGCAACCTAGAATTCAGGAGAAATTTCCTGACCGTGAGGACAATTCACCAGTGGAACTGCTTGCCACCAGAAATTGTGGGTGCTCCATTACTGGAAGGTTTAAAAAAAAAAAAAAGACTGGACAGCTACTTGTCTGAAATGGGCCTTCTGTAGGGCCTCCTGCTTGGGGGGGGGGGGGGTTGTGTGGGGCTGGACTAGATGACCTTCAAGGTCCCTCTTGTTAATCCGGGAGTAATCTGGGCGAGTTTTTACCTTTATCCTGAAGGGAGGCGAACTTCTTCCCAACCGTTTCGTTGAGGCTCTTCACGCTGTCCTGCGTCTCCTTCAACTCCGAGTTGTAAAAATGTCCTGATGGGAGGAAAAGGGAAAAAACGGTTGAGGAAGAGAAATGGTCTCCTCCTTTGGGGATCACCTGGTGGTCACCGCTCCCCCTCGGCTTTTGCTGTTTGCTCAGGCCGTAAGGACGCCGTTTTCGGGCGTAAGCGACGCACTCACCTTTGACTCCAAAGACGATAACCGAGATGGTGAGGATGACACTCAAAAGCAGCAGGATTAGAACCAGGCGCCGGCTGGGGAATGTACGTCGCACCCATGTCTGGCTTCTGGGGAGCTTCAGAGGGGCTAAGAAAAGAGGGAGCCAACATTGGTTTCTTTCCCAAACCTTAATAACCAGGTATGTTTGTTTGCTGGAATCTGTAAGGAATAGCTAAACAAAGTTTAAACTGGGTGGACTTCAACTCCCAGAATTCCCCAGCCGGCCATGCCGGCTGGGGAATTCTGGGAGTTGAAGTCCACCCAGTTTAAAAGTTGCCAAGATTGAAAAACAAGATGGACTCCTCTCCAGAATCCTTTCTAGCTCTTCCACTCTATGATTCTAATTCCCAGCCGCTCTATCACCAAGGCAGAGAGGATGCTGGGAATTGTAGTTCAGAGGGAACCCCATGCGAGAACCCCATTCCCCTCCAAGAGCAACATGTCAATCCACTGATGGAACAGAAGTTGTGGGAGCTTCATCCTTGGAGCCTTTCCAGAAGAGACTGGACTGCCATCGGTCAGAAATGGGGCAGGGACTCCTGCTGGGGCAGGGGGTTGGACTGGATGACCTCTGAGGTCCCTTCCGACTCTGTTAATCTGTAGAAACAGCGCGTGGCTTCCCTCCAGAATTTGTGGGTGCTCCCAACACTGGAGATTTTTCAAGAAGAGACTGGACAACCAATCGTCTGGAATGGGATAAAGTTTCCTGTTTGGATAGTGGGCTGGACTGGATGACCTCTAAGGTCCCTCCCGGCTCTATTCTATTCTAATTCCCCAAGCCAGTGAAGGAAGCTGTTTTAAATTCAATTTATATGCCGCCCTGAGTCTTCGGAGAGGGGCGGCATATAAATTGAATTAATTAAATTAAATTAATTAAAGGTGCTACAATTGCAAAAACCTTGGTGAGTGAAGGAAGGAAGGAGGCAGGTCAGGCAGAAGTAGAGCAGTTCAGAGGAAATAAAGGAAAAACCGGAAGGACAGGAGGAGGAGGAGAAAAATAGGAATTAGGAGTACACCGTGGAGTAATAAGAGAGACGGAGCATCTGACCTAGCATTAAACTCCTAGTAATTCCAGATGTAACCTATAATTAATTATATATATATTGTGACCTTCTGGCAGGCCAAATCGACAGGGTTAAGCCGGATTCGCTTAACGACCACGTTGCTCATTTAACAACGGCGGTGGGTTCGCTTAAACCATCGTGGCAAGAAAGAGAAGTTAAAAACAGGGCCCGATTCACTTAAGGACGGTCTCGCTCAGCCGCCGATGTCTCGGGGGCTCGACTGTGGTCATAAGTCGAGGACGGCCTGTAACTGATTCAGCCGGATGACCTGAAGCTTCCACTCTCTTTAATCACAATTCTCTACGAGAATGCTTTTGAAAACGGGGGGAGCCACGCAATGCCACGAAACCCACAAATCGTGGCATTTCACAACACAGCAGTTGTTGAATTGCTAACTACGACTGTTCCTCTTTTTTTAAAGGTCCCTTACTCGGGACCTTTCAAGAATTGGGGACGGGGATGGGGGCACAGCTGGAGCCCCCCTGTCCAAGGAATGAGCCACGGATCGAGGATTGCAGAGCGTGGCCTTGGGGGTCTTTCGTGGAAAGCCCTTTGCGAGACAATCTGGCAACCCCGTCTCTGAATAAAAACCCACCTTTGATCCGGGGGGCGTCCTCATTTTCGGGCTCAAGAGTCATGGTCAGATCCTGGTAGTCTCGGATCATCTTGAGACCCTTCCCCAAATACCTGGAAGCACAATACAAGGGTCACAAGACCACACACACACACACACACAGAGAATTCGTGGACTGTTGGTCCTCCTTCCATAATTTTTCAGAAGCTGCTTTCTTGCAGGCTCTTCTGGGTAGCACTGATGATGTTACCTAGATGGGTCATGAGACGTCTACAAGCAAACCACCAAGCTCAGAGAGCACCATTTCAACCCTGAGCTACAAATATTCTCCTTTATTGCTTCTGAACCCTGCAGGGCCTCCTTAGCCTCAGAAGTCATCTCCTGGCCTTTTGGTCAAGGAAGGACACCAGGATACCATCTGCACCCCGTCTGGGCCTCCAGAAGTTGTGGGTTGCTCCAACACTGGAGGTTTTTAAGAAGAGGCTGGACAACCACTTGTCTGAAACGGTCTAGGGTTTCCCGCTTGAGAAGGGGGCTGGACTAGAGGACCTCTAAGGACCCTGCCAACTCTGTGGTTATTCTGTGTTATTTGGGTATTCAGTTCACAACTCCTGGCAGCTCTTCCAAGTTTTCCCCACACACACACACACACACAAATTCTCCTGGCACAAAAAAAAACCCAGAACTGCGAACGAGAACTGTCTCTTTTTGGGGGGACCTTCTGCAGAACCTCTGAAGGCCCCACCCCAACATTTTTCCCCCCCCCCCCCCGCCACGTTCCCTTCTTTCTTTTCGGCAGGAAACAAAACAGGCCTTTGAAGAAGAGGATTTGAATATCCCTGCCCCGACGAAGGAAACTAAAATTCCTAATTTTAAGAGGAGAGGAGATTTTTTTGCTTTCCGCTCCGCGCTTCAGCCTCCTTCTCCGTCTCCTGACACCCAAAGGTTTTCGGAGACCGTCCCTTCTTGTGCCGAAGGGGAAACCGAGGCAGTGTCTCAACATGGCTGCTTTTCCGGAAGAGAACCGCAGCGACTCCAGAGGTGACTCCTAAACTGTTCACCTTGTTTTCTTCAGCATGGGTGACACGGCCCCTCTCCTTTTTATCTGGGTGGGGTTTTTTTTTCTAAATGGCAGCCCCTGCCCGGTGCCCCCTTCATTCCTCAAAGCCCCCCCCCCCCCCATTCTCATATAAGCGAAAGCTAATCCTCAAATTCACGCAATCCTATAATCTGAGGGGTCCTTGGTGGTCTCTGAATTTGGGGCTCAGAGACCCCACAGTCCTCCTCCTCCCCCTCCTCCTCGTCTCCACAAACCCTTCCTAGCGCTGATGATATTCCCTAGTTGGGTCATGAAACGTCTTCCAAGCTCAGAGACCACCAAGGACCCCACAGTCCTCCTCCTCCCACTTTTCCTCCTCGTCTCCACAAATCCTTTCTAGCATTGATGATATTCCCTAGTTGGGTTATGAAACGCCTTGCCAGAAAACCAAACCGAGCACGGAGAGCACCTCCTCACTCGAACCCCGAGCTGCAAATATTCCTCCTTTCATCTTTTTTTAATCTCCCAACGTCTTTTCTGCCTTTGAAGTCATGTTTTTTTTCCCCCTTCTTTTTGATTTTCAAGACTCCTGGCTCAGCTAGTCCAAGATGAACCTCCACCCCCACCCCACCTCCCCAAAAAAACCAACCCAGAGAGAAATGAATCGCACCTGTAGCGGGGATGAAGCTAGTCCTGATTGAGGTTGAAAGGGCCTATTTTCTCTTTCTGGCCAACCTTTCACTTTCCCCTCTTTCGATCTTTGCCCTGTCAATATGTTCTTCCTGTGGGACAAAGTTTCAAAGTTTGTCCGAAGTTTGCTAAAAGAGAAGTGCCCAGCTCGGTCTGCACCGCCCCCCCCCTTATATTGGTCTCCACGCTCAGCCCCTCCCTTGGCTCTGGGGTCTCCCCCCCTCCCTTGAAAAGAGCATTTCCCTTAAGAGAGGAACCGAAAATGCTCCAAACGTGACTCAATAGAGACAGACAAGCAACTGTACAACTCCGTATAAACCATAATCGTGTTTGTTTGTCTTTTTTAGCTGGCGCAACGGAGACGCTCCTTTTAAGCAAGGACGAGTTTCAGTTGGACGGTCTCCGGACAAAGACCGAAACGAGGGAACGAGTAGAATGATGGGGACGATTTGGAGTGGCTGTCCAAGAAAAGAACGGACGGGCGTTTGTCCAAAATGAAATAAACCCACTTGTCTTGGGGTTGGTCTAGAAGATCTCCGTGATCCCTTCCAGCCGTAGCATTCGATGAACGTCTATGCATTGGGACACCCAAGAAGGTGGAACGGATGGATACCTGTCTTGGAAGAATTCTGGGTAGTGGGTGGGGTCCTTTGTGGTCTCTGAGCTTGGGTTTTTTTTTTTTTTCCTGGCAGACGTTTTGTGACCCAACTAGGGAACATCATCAAGGCTGGAAGGGAGAGGAGGTTGCGGTGCGGAAGAATGGACAGACGGACAGATTAAGAGAGTTGGAAGGGACCTTGTAGGTCATCTAGTCCAACCCCTCGCCAAGCAGGAGACCCTCCACCATTTCTGACAGTCCAGTCTCTTCTTGAAAACCTCCAGAGATGAAGCTCCCACAACCTCTGAAGGCAACTTCTGCTCCATCGGTTGATCGTTCTCACTGTCAGAAAATTCCTCCTTATTTCCAGGTTGAATCTCTCCTTGGTCAGTTTCCATCCATTATTCCTTGTCTGGCCTTCAGGTGCCTTGGAATATAGCTTGACCCCCTTCCTCCTCTCTGGGGCAGCCCCTCAAGTATTGGAAGGCTGCTATCCTGTGTTAGCTGTTCCTGCCAGTTTGGTATCCTCTGCAAATTTGGTAAATTCCCCTTTGTTGTGACGTAGGCTTACGGAGTCATTGCAATACACAATTAGTCCCAAACAAACCTATTTTATTGTAACAGCTGAGAATTACGTTCATTCCCAGCGGAGTCCCAATTAGTTGCAAAACAAGTCCTTCGGAATGAATCCTTCGGGATTATCACCAACCTTTATCTTCTTTGCCAAAGGCCTTACTTGGCAAAGCCCCACAAAGTTCAGAAACAAACAAGAGATGCCGACTGGAAACAGAGTTAGCAACGTTGCTTTCCTGCAAAAAGGCCCAAGTGCCTCTGTTTCTCTTTTTTAAGCCTTATGGGTGGGGCCAATCATCTCCTGGCCTTACTCCCGAGTCGTCCCTTTTGCTTTAGGTGCTCTTGCCTTCTGGCAGCTCTTCTCATACGTGCACTAGGAACAGGCTCCTCCTATTCCTCTGCCTCTCTGCTGTCCGACTCTGGGGGCTCCAGAGTCCGTGCATCGCTCCCAGATGGCCCTGGCCCCATCTCTGCCTCCGACGCAGAGCCCTCGTCAGAGCCCTCCCCAGACTCCAGGACTGGCCCATGGTCCTCCCCAGCCTCCTCACTGTCCGACTCCGCTGGCAGCTCTGCAGGCTGCTGGCGGGCCACAACACCCTTCTATTCCCTCATCCATGAAGATATTGAAGAGTCCTGGGCCTAAGACGCAACCTTGTAGTACCCCACTGCTTACTTCTCTCCATGTAGACGTAGACTCATTAAGGACTACTCGTTGAGTACGGCTCGTCAGCCAGTTGCGAATCCATCTGGTGGTGACGCTATCTATCCCACTTTTTTTCTAGCTTACCAAGAAGCAGGTTGTGGTCTACTTTGTCGAATGCCTTGCTGAGATCTAAGTTTACTACGTCCAGGGTATTTCGCTGGTCTACTAATTTAGTCCCTATGTTGAAGAATGAAATAAGATTGGTTTGGCACGACCTGTTTTTAACATACCCGTGCTGGCTGCTAGTTATCACTTTACTCGTTTCTAGGTGTTGGCAGATCTGTTTTTTTTTTAAATTATCTTTTCCAGGATCTACCCGGATATTAATGTTAGGCTGATTGGTCTGTAGTTTCCTGGGTCACTTTTCCCCCCCTTTTTTGAAGATGGGGACCACATCAGCTCTTTTCCAGTCCTCTGGTAGTTCCCCGGTGCGCCAGAATTTTTGAAAGATGTGGTACAGAGGTTCTGAGATAACATCTGCCAGCTCCTTTAGAACTCTGGATGTGATCAGGTCCCGCTGATTTGTATTTGTATTCCTCAAGATCAGACAAGGTTGGACTGTGGGGTCCTCAATGCTCTCTGGCGGTGATTTTCTTGCAGATTTTCTTTCATGACCCAACTAGGGAACACCATCAGTGCTAGGAGAGGAGGAGGAAGAGGAGGAGGAGGAGGACTCTGTGGTCCTGAACTTGCGTTTTTTTCTGACAGATGTTTCATGATCCAACTAGGGAATATCATCAGTGCTAGAAGGGAGGGGGATGTCAGCACTTCAAGCTGCATTTACTCTAGTGCTGACATAAGAAGGAGAAGCGGAGGCATCTGGAAAGGGACGTTTGACTTTTCACCTACTTATTTTCCCTGGAGATAATATCCCCTAGGAGATCGGATGGGAGGGGGGAAATTCCTTTGAGCTGGAGCAGTAGATTAGGGGTAGAGTGACTTGGAAGATGGCCAATGAGTGCAGGGGAGTGGGGAAAGGAAAGGGAGGGTTTTGGGTCAGGAAGTCAGTGTTGGCTACGATGGAGTCGGAATTAGAATGTCGTGCTTAATAAATGGGAGTGTTTTTTCATCGAAGACTTTGTTTGAAATGCAATTTATTTGAGACGACCTCGAAACCTGACAGGGGATTTGTAAGGAGGAGGAGGAGGAGGACTACAAGGACTGGAAGAAGGCGGCTTGGTGCAAGTAGACCACCAAGCTCAGAATGCCCCAAGGATCCCACAATCCTCCTCCTCTTCCCCCCCTCCTCCACTCCACAAACCCCCCTCCCTTCTAGCACTGATGATGTAACCTAGTTGGGTTATGATATGTTTGCAAGAAAACAACCAAGCTCAGAGAGCATCAAGGACCCTACAGTCCTCCTCCTCCTCCTCCTCCTCCTCCTCCTCCTCCTCCTCCTCCTCCTTCCTGCAAACCTCACTCCCCACCTTAACACTGATAATGTAACCTAGTTGGGTTATGATATGTTTGCAAGAAAACAACCAAGCTCAGAGAGCACTGTCCAACCTTGAGCTACAAATATTCTCTTCTATTTGAATAATTCTTTCTGGAAATTCTCCCCCATCCCCCCCCTTCAAAAGAAAAAAAAAAAGAATCTACAGCAGCGTTTTTCTCAATGTTGGCTAATTCAATCTTGGCTAATTCCATTTTAGGACCTTAAGTGACCCCCCCTCCCTCCCTCCTCCAAATTCCTGAGGGGGTGTTTGTGGCTGCTTCATGACAAACGCTTCCGTCTTCCGCGTAGATGCTCTCCAAATTTAGATTCTGAAACCGAGCGCACTTTCCCCTTTCCTCCAGGGCTGAATTCGGACCATATGACTCGTAAACGGGGGCAGCCATATTTTGCAAAATTGCTGATGGAAAAATGCTAGGCTTTCCTGGAACTCAGTCAGCAGATGTGGAGTTCAACACCAGCACAATCTGTGCCGAGGGACTCCCTCGTGCGCTCGTAGGACGTTCTTCTTCTTTAAAACTTCCAGTGTTGGAGCATTCACAACTTCTGGAGGCAAGTTGTTCCACGGATGAATTGTTCTGACGGTCAGGAAATTCCTCCTTAGTTCTAAGTTGCTTCTCTCCAGTGGTGAAATTCAATTTTTTTTTTTTACTACCGGTTCGGTGGGCGTGGCTTGGTGGGCGTGGCGTGGCTTGGTGGGCATGGCAGGGGAAGGATACTGCAAAATCTCCATTCCCACCCCACTCCAGGGGAAAGGATATTGCAAAAACTCCATTCCCACCTCTCTCTGGGGCCAGCCAGAGGTGGTATTTGCCGGTTCTCCGAACTACTCAAAATTTCCGCTACCGGTTCTGCAGAACCGGTCAGAACCTGCTGGATTTCACCTGCTTCTCTCCTTGATCAGTTTCCACCCGTTGCTTCTTGTTCTTTGGAGAAGAGCTTGACTCCCTCTTCTTTGGGGCAGCCCCTGAGATATCGGAAGGCTGCTATCATGTCTCCCCTAATCCTTCTTTTCATTAAACTAGACCTACCCAGTTCCTGCAGCCATTCTTCATATGTTTGAGCCTCTGGTCCCCTAATCATCTTTGTTGCTCTTCTCTGCACTCTTTCTAGAGTCTCCACATCTTTTTTATAGTGTGGGGACCAAAACTAGATGCAGTACTCTAGGTGTGGTCTTACTAAGGCTTTATAGAGTGGTATTAGTTCCCCTTCTATTCCCTCATCTAAATCGTTTATGAAGATATTAAAGAGTCCTGGGCCTAAGACGGAACCTTGGGCTACCCCACTGCATATTTCCCTCCATGTAGATGTAGTAACATTGAGGGCTACTCATTGAGTACGGTTTGCCAGTCCGTTGCAAATCCATCTGGGGGTGATGCTGTCTGTCCTACATTTTTTCTAGCCTACCAAAAAGTAGGTTGTGGTCTACTTTGTCAAATGCCTTTTGGATGTCCAAGCAAATTATGGCCACTGCATTTTGCTGGTCCACTACAGGCAATGAACTTATAACAATTCATTTAACGACCGTTCAAACGGCACTGAAAAAAGTGACTTACGATCATTTTTCACACTTACGACCATTGCCTGCGATCAAAATTCAAATGCTTGCCAATTGATTCATATTTATGACGGTCGCAGCGTCCCCGGGGGTCAGGCGATCCTCTTTTGCGACCGTCTGACAAGCAAAGTCCATGGGGAAAGCCGATTCACTTAACAACCATATGGCTCACTGCAGGGATTCGCTTTACGGCGGCGGCAATAAAAGGTCGTAAAATGAGGCAAATTTCCCTTAACAACT